CTGCTCACGGCCACAAGACTACTAGCAATATTTGTGCTACTTGGCGTACTTCTATGGGTATTACTCTATTCCCCCATCCTGCAGTTAGCCCTGATATGAATCCTATTGAGAAGTGCTGGAGGAGAATAAAACAAGCTCTCCATAGGCGCCTAAGGCAGCCAACAACTGAGGTTCAAATGGTTGTAGCAGTATTAGAAGAATGGGACAAAATTCCTCAGGAATGGATCAATGGGCTTATTGAGCAGCAGGACTTCTGGGTACACGACTTAATTAAGCGATGTGGCTGGTCTACAGCTAATTAATTAATAAAATTCATGATTCTGATGCCCTGAACGCACGGACTTTTGTCCCCATGTTCGTTAGGCCATATTTCTACCCCATTCCCCATAAGCTCCAATGAGTTGAGATTGTCAGGAATTCCATTGTCTTGTTGAACATTGGACGTCTTCAAGCGACCGCGAAGAGAAATGACTTTACACTAAGGAAGCGCAGCATGTAAGCCGTATAAGCTGTACAGTACTTTTCAGCACAAAGCTCATGTCAATGCATCAACAAGTATTCTAGTGTCAAAGTCAAACGTAAAAGCTCTCGATATGCTCGACACCAATTTGTTTTATCTAGGCACGATCAAATTAAAGTCATTTGTTCAAAACGGAACAAGCGAGAAGGTGAAATCCTCTATCTGCGCCTCATGGGAGCATGCCAACATAACCGTACCTGAAATATGGAGATATAAAGTGAGAAGAAACAAGATGTTAGAAGTGCGTTAGGACTGTCAACTGTCATTTGGCACTAGGTTCTATCTGCAAAGAAATGTACATTTCGTTGACGTACCAGCCGAAGAGAAACATCATAGTCGTCTGTGAATAATACCCTCCGAGGCTTGATTGATCTCTCGTATCTCCTATCGCACATCAAGAACAGCTCCACTTTCCACCTGACCTCATGTCAAATCTTCGCCCGAAGAATATCTGCGCTGCTGCTCGGTGGTTCTGTGCAATGCGTGGTATGATCATAGTGGATGCCATTTGCCAGCAGCATCTTCACGAGAAGAAGAGCCATTCGTGGAGCGATTCTCGTTGATGGGGTCAAAGCCGTTGAACTTCGATTGGCTGTCATTCCCGCTTTCAATTGTATTCGTATTCATGTCTCGTAGTGAGACCTCGTTCTTGAGAGTCCGTTGAGATGTACCACGAGTTCGTTCAAGGATATAATCCCTGCGACCTGTGATCTGTCGTACGAGTGGTACGAGCGTAGGAACGCAGGCACAAATGATAATGACGTTTGCTTCGGCACTATGAGAGATTAGAGTATGACTTTATGCTATCGATTGACACTTACCCCGCCCCGCCCAGATCAGAGTTTCTGATAAAGCCCCTGAAGTTCTTGCGTCAGTTTTACTTTGTTATCTCAAACCATAGTTTTAACCTACAAGTCACATCTGAATAATTTTGGAGAGCTGCAAGCTTCTCTGTCCGGATCACTGCACAACAAAAAGCACTTCTTTATCAGCTTTGGATTCGAGACGGGAGTGAATTAAGACTCTACTTACAAAACACCCAGTCCAAGAAGTCCACACACTGCTATTCTTTTCCAGAGCGCCATCTGCAAATTGTAGAATAGAGAAATTGGATACAAGGCCAATATCAAGTCGTTGAATGCAGACCATGCTGGAGACCAGTTTAGTGCACATTGCTCCACAAAGCCTTTTGTGTACTCACCGCCACAAAACATCGAGTAATCTGCAACAATCCTCGGCTTCCAACATTTGTGCGGTATTGCTACGTTCCAAAGCGAGGACGGCGGATCGCATTGTGCAAACAGAACAATGGCGGCAACAATCGAGAAAATGATATTGCTGATCACACAAAACCAAAGAAAATATATTCCTTTCTTTTTGAACGCACTGACTAGCGAATTCAGCAGAGCAACAACAGCTAGCTTCGGAACCACGACTGCCATAATGCCAAAAGGGTCAGCAGTGAAGTTCCACTTGGCAGCGGAGACCAGATTGTTCGTGGTGAGGCAATAGGCATGTCGGCCAACTCCATAACTCGTGGCGACGCCCATACAGATGTAATTCATGATCTAAAGAGTCTGGAATATTTAGCTTAAAGAGATAATTGCGGTCGGGAACAATGTCTCTACCAGTGAAAACAACATAACGCCATCATCCCACGCTATGCTACGCAGTAAATGGTACCTAGTAAACATTCTAGCTGCTGTGAAGCATGTAGAAAGAACAGTGAGAACTCCGACGACACCAAGAATGGTTGGCACTCTCGAATCATCGCATGAAGCGGGCAGATTCGCCATTTCCACACCGGTGAATGAAGCTAACGTGTTGAGAGTGCAAATTGTCACAAAGGTTCTGGACTTGATGAAAGACTTACATTGTTCTCATGGTGTACTTGTTGTAATTAAACTTTGTTGGTAGCAAAGACAGGCACACATACCAACACGATTTGCAGATATTGTGGTAGCACAACATGTATGTATGAATTGCATATATTGACATCGAATAGGTAGGTCAATTCATGCTTAGTCCGGACCGGATCCCACTTCCCCGTCACCCCACCTCCCGCTGATCGGCATGCAACAGTATGCGCCGCCGCTATGTTCTGCCCCATGTTTGATAGATAACAGCTCACATACACGGTACGAGAGTAGATTCGTCCAGGCTGAAATGCCGCACTGCAACAACACACACACAATGACGAGGGTGCAAAGGTGCCCCACAGCGACCACAAAGAAAGGCTCTAGAACCAACATTGTTCTTCCATGCGGCGAAGTTGGCGCATGATGCAATCTCGTTGCCTCAATCCTGAGACCGGGCTCTATCAGCAATACCAAGGCCCCTCTGTGCTCAGACTTTATGGTACTTCGGTATTTCTGATGGAGAGATACTTGCTAAAAGCCAACGGATTTTGGGTCCTTGCAGCTGTCGTTGGAGCTGTGGTCATTTCCCAACTTTTCGCCGCATATTACCACAATGGCCTGAATCGCTATCCAGGGCCGTTGTTGGCCAAGTTCACTCGACTGTGGTACCGCTTGGATGTCAAAGCAAATAAACATCCAATACATTTGATAGAGCTCCATCGAAAGTAGGCGATGTGGTCAGGATTGGACCCAATTCTCTGAGTGTTTCCAATCCGGCATATGTCCCTCGCCTTTACGGCGTCTCGCAGGGGTTTCTGAAGGTATATGATTCTTCAAGCTGTTTCGAAGATAGCCGAAGGACGGAAGCTGACTCGGCACAGAGTGAGATGTATGATCCTTTTGCACCTAGGGTTAACGGAAAGCGTTTCGATTCTTCTCTATCCGTTCGAGATCCCAAGGTTCACCAGGCCATGCACAAACCAATTGCAAATGCTTACTCGTTGACGACTTTGATAGACTATGAGCCCCTGGTTGATAAAATGATCATCAAACTTCTGGCAGAACTGCGAAAGAGGATCGATGGCGGAAATGAAGCTTGCGATATAGGACTCTGGATGAGGCTTTGTAGGTGTGTGCTCATTGCCAAACATCTGGCTGATATTTTTAGATGCCTTCGATGTGATGCTGCAGGTAACGCTCAGCGATACACTAGGATTCATGGACAAAGGAGGCGATATTAATGGCTTTTTCGAGCGTCTTGATGACAACATCGATCGGTCAGGTCTTGTAAGTTCTTTAGTCATATTTCATGGCACCCCCGCAAAAGCTGATCGAATCAAGTTGGTGACGATGCCATGGACCGCATACTTGCTAAAACATAATCCGATCGTATCTTACTTCTCCAAGGACAGCTCAGTCTTCCCTGGCTGGACGGCTTCACGAGTTCAGGATAGGTTGAAACGTCGAGCTGCAAACACTGTCCCGAATTCCATACACCAGCAACGAGATTTCCTAGGCCGTTTTATTGAGGCTGCTCATATGGGCGACCCTCCAAAGTTTGACTTCTCCCAGGCTTTGAACTGGACGTTGACAAATGTCATGGCCGGTGGTGATACGACAACCATTGCATTAAAAGCAGTTGTTTACTACTTGCTTAAAAATCCAGCGAAAAAGACAAGACTTCTTCGGGATCTATAAGCAGCAAAGCTTATCATCCCAGTTTCATGGGCCCGGAGTCAGCACCTCCCATACTTGGACGCTGTTATCAAAGAGTCTTTGCGTATGCATCCAGCTATTGGTCTCGGTCTTGAGCGCACCGCAAGTGGTCTCGAGATGCCTGATGGATACGTGTTGCCACCCGGAACAAATGTTGGGATGAACTCATGGGTCGTGAATAGGCAAGCGATCTTTGGGGACGATGTTGACGAGTTTGTACCCGAGAGATGGTTGCAAAGTCCAAGCGAGACGGAAGCCGAGCATAAGAATCGTTTGAATCGTATGAAACGGGCAGATCTGGGTTTTGGCGCTGGTTCTAGGTCTTGTACAGGGAAATATGTGAGCTATTTGGAGATATATAAGGTTATTCCATCGTTACTTCTTACCTTTGATATGGAGATGGTCGATGAGAAGGATGAGTGGACGGTGGTCAGTCGGTGGACTGTGAGGCAAGATAACATTCGATGCTTTTTACGCCAACGCGGATCATGAGTTTGTTTTCAAGGTAGCTTGCATTGGAATGTAGCCCGATGTATGCTGGTGAGACACGAAATGCAAAACTCGGGTCGTGGAAACTCAATCATCCCTGATAACTTCAATCACACTCTCATATTCAACATCTGCAGTCTAAATCCTGTTGACTTTCAAACCGGAAGACTCTACCAAATCTTTCCACAAGCCTTCTGTCTTCTCCATGCCTCCAGCATTCGCCATCATGATCAAATCCAGTGATGTCATTTTCCACGAGGCATTTTGCTCGGGTAGCACATTCTCGTAAATCAAGAGCCTCGAATAGCCTGATGTCATTGCTCCTTTGAGATGCCGAAGGATTTTTTGACATTCTTCATCTGGCCAGTCGTGGAGCACAGAGTGCAAGAAATAGGCTCTGGCTCCTAAAACATCAAGAGCATTTAGCAAGTAATTGCAGACCAGTCGGGACACGTACCTTTGATTTTAGGTTCCTCAAAGAAATCGCCAACCACCACTTCAAGTTCTGGTCTACTCTGTTTCACCCTTGCGACTATGGTTTCCCTTTCTTGCAGCACTAGCTTCTTGTTCCCTATGATATTACCAAGTCTAGCTCTCAGATTTGCAATATCATCGCCCATGCCCCCTCCAACATCTAGGAATAAGACATGATCATCATCCGCATCTTTCAAGACTCGCTCTTCAAATGGATACATGTCCGTATTGAGCCAATTCGGCCGACCGATGTGGTAGCCAGACATGTGTAGTGCGAAGGCTCGCGCAACTTCCGGTCTCTGGCTGCCCCATCCCCAAGGCGATTGTTTTGTCTCATGAGCAAGATGGAAAGGGAGATCTTTCGAGTCGGCTGGGCTCTTGTACCCATTGGTCGATAAATAACGAGGGAGGGCGTCAAGATTGGGCCCATGGAGAAGAGACGCCAGTCGTAGCGCAACGGATTGACGTGGATCCTGAAGTAGCAAAGACAGAGGTGTTGGCTCGTAGATTTGTGGTGATGGAGATGAAATAACAAAGGTTGCTGCCAGATGTTGAAGCAATCTGTTTAGTAACAGGACATCAGTGGAACATGGCAACTTCTTCGACAGGTTCTCTACTGAGATTGGTTGAGTCATGTGTTCGAATAATCCAAGGTCAAGAGCTGTAGTAAGAGCTGCGGGACGTGCTGGCTCAGCCCATGCCAGATACAGCAATTGCTCAGTGGGAGGAATGATCTGTGCTGAGAGTTTTCCGAGAACATCAACAAGTTGCTTTCGAGTACTGTCCGTTGGGCGCAGAGTAAACGCTTCGCCAATCACGGCTACAGAGTCAAGAAGTTTTTTGATAGACATTGTGCCTCGATTTGACAGCACTTTTCAGTCGACTGCTTTGTGCTTTTTCCGAGTATTGTCTGATTGCATGGAGAGTCAAATGATCTCACTCACGCCACCACGTTCTTTAGTAGATCCACTCCTCAACAATAATAATCCTCTTTTGACTTATCCCGCATTTAATGGAGCGCGGAAATTACACGGCTTTTGCAGCTTGAAGCAACATTTTCAGTCCTCTCTCGAACGCGGCAGTAATCTTCCGCGGGTACGCAAAGATAATATCTTGATTCGGATCCACCTACGTTGCATCTGTACCGGTGGTCTGGATGAATATGAAGATCCTGGCAAAGCGGGCGCTAAAATTGCCTGCATATGCAACAATGCGGTCCGGGCCAGATTCAACCAGCATGCACCGTGCCGCCTACGGCAGTCGGCTGGAGCTACGGTTTCTTTCGAGGTTCACTTGTCATCATTTTCGATACGCGAAATCTATCTATTCCCTTCAAGATTACGATGGATGATGAAGCGCAGCGAAAGATACTTGCCAGATTTCCGAGATCAGAGATATGGGATGAAAGCACACAACAAGCCGTGGACATGATTCGGTTGTACATGCATCGTCGACCGCAACCTACTATTACGTATATAAGATCTTACAACAGAAGAGCCGCCACAGCAGACCAGTTAAGCACAAATTCCAGATTCAACAAGAGACTATACTGCCGCCCGTCGAAGACGATATCAGGAGGACTTTATTCAGAGTCATCAAGGAAATGGGAAGTATCCATTACGAAGAGCCAAAGCTAGCACCAGTACCGGTGGAATGGACTTCAAGTGAGGCTTCAGCAAGTGAAGGCAACAAACTGGTCGTGTTTCATGTACATGGAGGTGCTTTTTTGTAAGTGGAAGGCATCTAGTAACACTCTCGTAACCATTGCAACTCAGTTTGATCGATACGATACAGGTGCTAATTTGTGTTCTGCAGCCAAGGCAGTCCGCAGAGTTATCGATCTACTACAACACAATTTGCCTCTATGACCGGTGGGCGAGTGGTTTCTGTCGACTATCGTTTAGCACCCCAAAATCCTTTTCCTGCTGGCTTACTAGACGTCCTTCTAGTATACTTGTCTCTTCTCTACCCCACTGAGAGTGAAACCCCCGCCGTCGATGCTCGCAACATTGTCTTCGCAGGAGATTCCAGCGGTGGAACGCTTCTTTGCTCCATCCTTCAGATTATTCTCCACACTGCGGACTACTCAACGTGCCAATTTCGGGCTCGCCGCATTCATTTTCCGCTGCCACTGCCTGCAGGCCTGTCGGTCATCAGTCTGCCGGGTGACCTGCTTCAAAGTCTACCATCACACAAAGAAAATTTGGTCAACGATCTCTACTTGAACATTCCGTGGTCTTTCCCCGACTATCCAGCTTGTCCAATCTGGCCGAGTAATCCACCAAGATCGCAACACTATGGAGATCTTGAAATTCATAGTCATCCGTTGGTCTGCTCGGTGATGATCAAATCTTGGCTTGGCGCTCCACCGTTTTGGATCTCATCGGGCGAGGAGCAATTCCTCGATGGCGGCAAAGCGGTTGCCCGGAGAGCAGCCAGCCAGGGGGTAGGAGTGAGTTGGACTGTGTATGAGGCTATGCCTCATTGCTTCTCCATGTTGCCAGGTCTCAATCAATCTGCCCAATCGAAGCTAATCATGAAAAAGTGGGCTCAATTCTGCAAAGAGTGTGTGTTAAGCCCAAATAGCTTTAAGGGACGTGTTCGTGCGAGCAAGGTTGACTTCAGAACTGTCACAGAGACACAGGTAGCATTTGAAGACCCACGAGATTTGCCCATCAATGAGATCGAGGGTCTTATATTGCGGAAGATTTTGGATCTGGAAAGGGAGTTCACAGGAGCTTGGAAAGCAAAGACATGCTCTAATCTGTGATTTGCGGTTCTCAAAGATTTCACATTTACTTCTGAACTTCCAGCTGTAATGAACAATTTGATTGTTCCTCTCACTTCGTCTTTGCTCTGTTGCACCTCTTTGATTAGCCTGTGTGACACACCACGGACTTGAAGGCACTTTCAAATTGTAAAGCCTCATATAACGCAAGTCTTCCGATCCAAATTCTTTCGAGAACATGGTGCACCAAATGCACCACATCATTGGAGCTTCGGCATTTGCATTTCAGCATGGGGAAAGCCTTTGACTGGAAATCATTCCATGGCGATTATGTCGCAAGGAAGGTGCATAATCATGGCCTGTAGCATTATGCGCCGCAACAATACAGTATGTCCCGGGAGTGTGGACTCTAATGTTGGTTTCCTTGACTCGGACCGAATCTGTACATCTTGTTTACAGCTTACCACTCTTTAGCACGTTGGTTTTTCAGTTTGAGGCATAGATCACCGAAAGATGCCTGTCCAAAGTACTTCGCATGCATTCGTCAGCATTTGTAAGAACCAATACTCTTTACGGATGTTTCATCAAGGCCGAAATCAGGATATACGAGGGCTATAGGGTCATGATGCTGTCGAGCAACCAATTCATGATGCAAACGATTCTTGTAAGTGGCCCCGCAATTTTGTTTCCAGCCAAACAGTGCTCCTCGCAAAAGATCATTTCTTGAAGCTCATCGTTACCCAAGGACATGGAATTAACTTCGTGGCAACAGATCTTTCTCATAATTGCTAGTTTTGTCATCGCCAGGAGAATATTGCCCAGCTTTCGCTACTGGCGTTCCGTTGTTCGATATGGTTGCAGCCCAGTGCCCTGGTATCCCCACTGGGAGCCCGTCGTTGGGTACGATTTGTACCGCAAAATGAAAGCCGCAAAAGAAGGAAATAGACTTGACTCTTTCATAGCAGAGATTCTATCAAAGTATGGCAACAAGAAAACTCTGATGTCGTTGATATGGGGTTTGCCTACATTGATCTCATCCGATCATCGACTTGTCCAGGTGATTCTAACTACTAAAATGGACGATTTCGTAGTCGCGCCCATTCGGAAGGTTGCCAATGAACCATTCTTTGGACAAGATGTGTTTGTTTCAGACGGATTGGCCTGGAAAATGAACAGAAAGTTCGTTCAGCCACTCTTACGAAAAAGTCGTTTCGCAGATTTAAGCTGCCTTGAGAAACACGGCAATCGCCTCTTTATGCAGCTACCCGCAGACGAGAACACTCAAGTGGACCTGCAGAGATTGTTTACTTTTATGGTACGAGTTCAGATAGTCGAAGTGCAATGGGATGTGCAGAAGACTGATTCCATCTAGTATGTCGATGTCGCCACAGAACTGGTCTCTGGCTGTTCTATGAACTCGCTGGTCCCAGAAGGAAGAGAAAAGGCCAAAGAGTTTCTTGCTACACTCGAGAGAGTCAACAAAGGCGTACAACGCCGCATCATGCTGGCCCCCGTCTTGAAATTCGCCAGCAGGGATTGCGAGTTCGAAGACGCCTGCAAGCAAGTCCACCAGCATTTCGAGGACTACATCGACAAAGAGATTTCAGGAGATACAAGCGGTCAGCAAGAAGGACGTCCAACCTTAGTTCGCGATGCCCTCTGTGTCAGCCAAGACCGATCCTTTGTCCGAGATCAATTGATCGGATTCTTCTTACCAATGCATAGTTCCTCAGTCTTTACACTTAGCGACTTGTTTTTCCAGTTGGCACGAGCACCGGAGGTTTGGAAGGCTCTCAGAAATGAAATTGTAGCTCAGAGAGGAGTACCTCTGACGTTTGAGCTTTTGAAGTCCATGACATTCCTACAAGCGGTTATACGAGAGAGTAGGAGCTTCCAAGTTCGTTTCAAAGTGTTCATGGCTAATAGTTGCGTAGGTATTCGCTTGCTGGCACCCGCTGATCGAATCATCAGGATGTGTCTCAAGGATTGCATGCTACCGTGTGGTGGCGGTTCTTCCGGGGATGATCCGATTTATGTCATGAAGGGAACGCTTGTAGACTTTCGTTCAAGTGTTTTACATCGAAACAAACAATTCTGGGGACAAGATGCTGAGCTATTCAGGCCAGAAAGATGGCTTGAAGGAAATATTAGGCCCAAGTGGGAATATGTTCCGTTCGGTGGAGGAGCAAGAATCTGTCCAGCGCAGCAAATGATCTTGACACATTATGCATATATACTTTCCAGGTTCGTTCTTGAATTTGAGACACTGGAGAACAGGGACCCTTGTTTTGAGTTCGTTGCAGAATTCAACCTGTCAAAGAGAAGCCGTAATGGAGTACAAGTAGCTTTGAGAAGAGACTTTGCGACCTGCGCTCGAAGAGGAAGAAAAACTCGTCCATGAAACATAGATAGAGTTGATGTGCTACACTAAGCTTCGGTGAATCAACACAATCCTCTGATAGCACCAGTAAATGTGAAGTCGTCTCCCTCGGTCACCCATCTCCGCAAATTTCGAGGCCATAGACTCCTGCCTAGGTAGGTGACAAGTCTAGCTAAGCTACATGATTGATGCTCCTGCTCATAATCATGGTTCTGCTTCGATGTTGGTGGTATATCAAGGTAACATCAACAGGACTGCGCTTCTTGCGGCAGTCTTGCACAGTTTCTATCAAAGTCTGTTTCATGAGTGAAGTGGTCTCGGGTCTCTACCTGGGCCGCAAATCGTACGACCGTGGTAACTGGAGACTGTATCCTTGAGCGGTCACATGCCAAGAAATTACACCCTGAAGGGATGTCGATCAGATCAAGCTGATGCAAGCAGATTTAAGACGACAAGAAGAGTCTTGTGTCACCATGGATACGAGCAAAACTTTGAACGGAAGTAACATGTCGTATTCCGGTGGGTGATTTACATAGTGGCGTTGGTACATTCTGCACCGGGTCAAAGTGCGGCGCGGGGAGAGCAAGGTGCATTTCACCCTTGCGAGGATCTGCACTCTTGCTCGTCAGGCACAGTTGGCTTGTTCTGTGCATTGCTCTGCATTTGGCAGTGAGATATATTCAGGGGTACACGTACATACGTTTGATAACCACTAAAGCATGCTGATATCCCTATGCACAGTATCATCGACACATCTGCCTCTCCTTTCGTTCAAGATGTTCAAGATGATGGAAATGATGTTAGGAGGCCCTTTCTCCACGATCCTGAAATGCATGATACTCAGCATTCTTGTCACGCTAATATTCCTTGGTATTTACAACCGTTATTTCCATCCCCTGAGCCACATCCCAGGACCATTTTGGAGTTCTGTGACAGACCTGTTCAAGCTTTATGTCCTGTTATCGCAAGATCTATCCACCATGGGAATCGAACTACACAAGAAATATGGTAATATCGTCTAGTAGATGCTCATAGACGGCGAGCTTATGGATCATAGGCCCAGTAGTTCGAGTTGCTCCCAACATGCTCTCATTCAGTGACCCTTACATGATTCCAAGGATATACCACAAAAAAGCGGATAAAAGTGATTTCTGGACGCCAGGAGCTTTAGGTCGGCCGCCTGCCATGATTCAGGTCAAAGACCACCAAGAACATGCTGCGAAAAGAAGGATCCTTGCACCAGCCGTGAGTGCTCTAACTTCATGATTATGGTTCAACCTATAGATAACCGCAGCAGATATCTGGCAGGAACTTGATTCAATTAGAACATAGACTTGATGAGAGACTCAGCAGAACGATGAATGCTCTAGACACAGGATTTGCCTTTACTCACAAGAGTTGCAACCTTCCTGATTGGGTCAGGTAAGCCTTATGAGTATCTGACTGCCATCAACACTTTATAACGTCAAGCACAGATGGTTCTTATATGATGCCTTCACTGATATGACCTTTGGCGAGGTACTTGACTTTACTGGTAATGAAAAAGATGTTTACGGCATGCTCCAAGCATTTCGAGGCTCAGCTTGGATAATTGGTCTTACGACGATGTTTCCCTGGATTATGGGCCCACTTTATGGGAGTCCCATGTTAAGTCAATACTTCTTGCCCAGCAGTAGAGACAAAGATGGGGTTGGAAAGATGATGAGGGTAAGGTTGAATTCCCAGCCAGACTTCTTGCCTACACCTACGAACTACTTGTCTTGTAGCTCCGCAACAAATTTATCAAAAACAATCTTCTGAATCCCACAGAAACTCAAGACTGTATCTTCAACAAGTGAGCTTCTATTTGGTGTGTCTCACTTCTTGTCTAACGCTTGTGGAAGATTTCTCCAAAGTCAGTCTATGCACCCAGTTACACTTAGCACAGATGATATCAAGGCTGAAGTTTTAATGATGATGGCTGCTGCTCCGGATACAACATTGGCCCTGATTTGCTCTGTCGTGGACAACATCATTCGAAACCCACAAGTATATCAAGAATTGGAAAAGGAAATTGAGATACTTGAGGTACAAGGTCTTTTCTCGTGTCGAGTTGTTTCCTATGCAGATGTTCAATGCATGCCATACCTCTCAGCTTGTATCCTGGAAGCATCACGAATTTGTCCACCTGTCCCAGTCCTCCTTCCTCGCCGGATCTCAAAAGGTGGAGTGAGGCTAAACGGGATCTATGTCCCAGAAGGCGCGGAGGTTGGAGCAAGCCCTCCAGTGATCAACAATAACGAACTGGTTTTTGGACCACAGACAGACATTTCCCGACCTGAAAGATGGATGGGTGACGCGGAAAATATTTCGGTCATGAAAAGATATCTCTTTAGCTGGGGATGGGGATCACGGAAGTGTGTGGCTAGAAGCTTGTCGTTGATGGAGACATCAAAGTTTTGTGCGCAGGTATGCAAGCTCCTTCCCACTATGTGAACAATGTCTTTGCTAATTGTGTACGACTAGCTTTTCAGAGATTTCCATGTGACTTCGGTATGCCCGGAGAATCCTTGCTCGAGACGTGAAGACAAAGGTTTCACGATTCATGAAAACCAATATTTACGATTCGAACGGCGTTCAACGGCCATTCTCAAGGACAGCAAAGAAGCCGAGAACAAGTAAACCTGCAGCTGAGTGTCATCTGTATGTTTATTAAGGGTGAACTCCTTCTCATGGAATAAATTTTGGACTATTTTGGATTTGTCTCATGGGAAGGTCATGGTTTCAAAGACTCGGTGAAAACTGATCATGTGGAGAATTACTTCAACAAGCCTAGAGTTGCTATCGAGTACTCTCTAGTTGTCGCACTACTTCGTCGCTCAATTGTCCATCAACTGACATTCGCAAGCGTCTGACGTATTCAATCATCATGTCCATTCTCGAAATTCTAAGTAGCTCAAAATAAATACATCGAGCAATTTAAATGCGAAGACGTCGATGCTTGACTTGCCAAATCATCCCCATTCCCCACCTTCTAATGTTCTCCCTTGATAGCTCCTTGAACTCATCACTAGGATCAATATGCCTCACACCCTCCGGTTCGCTCGTTGTAGTACAAGCCCACATATCCAAGTTCACACTTTCTTTCCTCCTTCACTCAACTAATGCGTCATATCCCTACATTTATGAGTGATTTCAATCCCGGAGAAGGATAGCCTTGAGTCTCCACCCAGCTCAATGTAGAGAAATCTGTGTATCCAATCCACATGAGAACTTGAGCCTCGTGGGTGAAACTTTGAGCTTGTTGAAAAACTTGACGGCTTCATAATCAGAGTCTCTATGCTTTGTGATTCAAACTTGAAATGCCTTTTCTTAGCTTTCCATCCCATCTGTGCCTCCACAAGAGTCTTAAAAGCGACCCCCTCGGCTATATTGGGTCACGTGCACCCCCTTTCTTCACGAATCCCCTCATTGACACATCTGAGTCGTACGGCATTGCTTGGGCGACTGTCTAGTAGAGATACAAGAGTCCAGTGTTCGATGATGCGTGGATATAGCAGGCTGAGTCGCATGATTTGGCTTGGTGACTGTCTGGGAGAAGTGCTCTATCTGTGAGGATTCATGAATATAACTGAGTCGTAAGGCTGACTTGAGTGACTGTCTGATAGATCTATAAAGCTTGATCTATGAAGATCTTCAATCCAAAAACTCTTGGTAACAAAAATAACTTGTTGTCTTACATCCTGCATTGCTTTACGTACTGATCTGAACAACATCATAACATTAAGAACATCAAAATACAAACAAAAGACTAAGTGGAAGCTGTTCACAAGACAGACACGTCGTTCAACTCTTGGATACTAGCCTGCACACATTGGCAATACTTGTAAGTCGACCATCTCTGGGAACTTTGCAAGTTAAGAAACCGTCAAGCATTTGACCGGCGCAAACGCCTCCGCATAAATGTCTCGTAATTTTATGCTGGAATCTACATAGGCGATGAACTAACCTTTAAACTAGCCAATGCGCCAGTGTCTGACTTTTGTTGAGCACATAGAAGATCGTTCTTTCCGTCGCAGGAAAGAACAACAAGCGAAAGTCAACGCTATCAAGAGACGACAACGATCAACACCACAACTTCGAATCCCAAAGCCTCCAATTCCAGGATATCGATCTACGCAACCTCGAGCCTCGATTCCATCATTACAAGTGCAATCCCACACAATGTTACGTGCAACGGTATCTACGAAGGGTCCCTATATGACCAGCCACCAACAGATCGCCGCGGATTCAATCGAAGGAAGAATTCAAAGCTTCTTACAAGAAGTCAAAGGCCTTAGTTATGCTCCTTTCGGTACGTTGAAACAACCTTTATGCCCTCTTCGTGTAGCCAACAAGCTATTCAGGGGCCGGGTTGTTGAAGAGTCTTTGGGCAGTAGCTTATCGAAGAGGTTCTTTGACTTCGGACGGCTCGCTGTCTGATATCTCTATCAATTACCATACTAACTTGTCAATAGCCTCTGCTCTTGTTCGCTTCGTCAAGGATCGTAATACAGTAGACGATGAGTATCTTCGAGTCCAGAAGAACAAGCTCCTATTAGCCCTCGACGGTGTAGTTGATTTATGCAAGACTCAGAGCAATGCTCTACTCGACGGGGTTACTGAGGCAACTACAAAGGAAGTTGGGTGAGTAGCCTCCATATTTGCCGACATAACTGCATTGGACGAATCGTCTCATGTCATTGAATGGGCGATGTACTAACTTGTTGTCAAAGACGTATTAGGAATGGCCTTCTTGGTGTCCCTGATCCTGACCTCGGCACCTCCGTTCCCGGGAATGATTCACTTAGTGTCGATCTTGCCACTGTCGATGGCCTTTTCATGCTACTAGAGGTAGCCCCTGATCAAACCCCTCCCAATTTGGTTGAGCCTCTCTTCGTAGGACAACCTCCTAAAGTCGCTCGTCTTCCACGCAACGCTGCAGAATACAACCAAATCCTCAAGTATAACAGAAAGCTATCGAACGAAGCTTTAGTTCTACATAGCAGGAGCCTCGAGAGCCGTGTCGACGAAGCCTTGAAGCTTGTTCTTAATAAATTCCAAGACGATCTAAAGAGAGAGAAAACTAAAGTTAAGGGTAGACTCAATAACGCTGAGAGGGCAGCTCATAAGACGTACGATGGGTTTCTTTCCACTTCGACGAATGTATTAGCTAACAATACCACCAGTTTCGAAGATAACCTAGAGACTAGCCAGGAGGGTCTGCTTGCTTTATTAAAGCAATTGGAAAGCGCTGAGGTTAGTCAATCATTATGGTCCCAGTGTTGACTGGTGCTAACATGTTCACTAGGATACAGTCAATAAGCTTGCTGACATCAAGCGAGCGAACGACGATGATACCCGTCTAGACTTAGAAGAGGCTCAAGCTGAGGCTCAAGCTAAGGCTCATGCTGTGGTCGGATCTTCTAGTGTACAAGGCAAGGCTAGCACTCCTATCATCATTGATGACGATACCGACCACGAGGCCGACGAACCAGCCAAGCGCCATGATACTGCATCAACTTATGGTCGTGTCGAGTACTGGGATGGGAAGGGGCAATTACCTGTCTCTGGAGAGGGGTCCAAATATGCACATGGCTTCATTGAACCAGTCATTGAAGACGCCAGTGCTGCTAACGTTAAGACTCGTCGCATTGTCCTAACAGGCAAGGAAAATCTCCCTCTCATCGGTGCCAAGAAGCGCAAATTGTCCCCGGATGGTTTTACACACGAGTAGGGTAGACCTCGTCATTATTTCTCTGGTTTTGACTTGAACTTTGACTTCACGCTATTGGCTCAGCTATGCGGACTGGAAAGTTAAGGAATACTTGCATTTCGCGGTTCTTTTCGCCGAAGTTGGGATTAGATAGACCTTGACAAATGCAGACATACATGTACATAATGGGGTGATCAGGTGACGCTTGTGAAAATGTGAAATATGTGATGTGCAGAAATTTGAGACGTTATGGGGTAATGAACTGTTATAGAGAACAGAGAATCCGGGTTGTGTTTAGAGAGCACGATCTCGAGTGATGAAAGATGCGACGCAAGTGAACCATGACGACTAGTCACTAAGACACATGTTGAGTAACATCCTATTCCTGGACAGTCAAAAGGATCTACAGAGCACTTCAAGTTTCTTTGATGAGTGTTCATCACGGGAAGCTTGGGACTCGAGGGCAACAATGAAAGAATCTAAATCATATTCCAAGTTGTCTGCTTCTTTACCGAGGACATCATTAAATCTGCACCAAAGCAGTCCCCAAAGAAGAATGTGTCCCCGAGAAGAGATAGATACACTTGATGATGCCTTCGAGGTTAAAGATCAACATACACATGGGCAAGCTTTGAAGAATGAAGGGAGAGAGCATGTGGGGAAGGAGGAACTGGATTGTGTCTGATGGTGAAGGTCAAATGCCTAATGAGAACCGCAAGTGAAGACGAGAAACGATTTATGCTGCTTTGGGAATGGAGAGGTTAGGAGACATTAGGAGTATGGACTGGAAATCTAAATATGGGCGCCAAAACCTTGATGTATCACAAATCTCCAAAAAAAACCTAGATAGAAAAAGGCCAGCTGCGGCATGAGAGAATTATCTTGAATTCAGTCTATTTGAAAGATGACGCCAACCATCCAAGTCAGCGCGACAATTTTGGTATCCTTAGATGCCCACACCTTAAACTCCGATGCGCCGTAGATGCAGTATGATTTTGTACATCTTCTCAGTCCTTGTCCATGTCGTGATCTTCATCACCACCAAACAAGTCTTCCATAGTACCACCTTCTTCTCCATCTTCGACGCCCTTCTCCTCTATCTCCAATCCTTCCATCGAATCTCCGCCCATCTGTGTATCGTCATCCTCTGCAACCCACTCGCCCTTCAATCCCCATGGCACGCCCGACAGAACGAATCTCTCACTTGGTAGTCTAACACCCCATTCGTTCTGCAGAACTCTTGGCAGAGCGATCTTATTCCTGACTTGTGCAGTCTCCAGTAGAAACTCTTTGCTCAATCCACCGCCGCCGTTCCCGCCACCGAATTGATATTGCAGCCTGCTCTGAATTGCCAGCTGAACAGCATTCGAGCTAACAGCATTGTCTGCCTCTCTAACTCCACCACCAGGAGGTGCGTCCCTCGCGCGAGACTGCTGTGATTGGTATGCATCGGCCGAGAGATGTAGAGCATCGGAGAGGATGGAGGACGAATGACGGTACGCGAAGTCGAGCAGCTGAAGAGGAACCCGTTCTTGGTAGGCAGTGCAACCTAACGAAGAGAGGAGCATATGGATCAGGCGGGCATCTCGTGGGCGTTTGTTGAGGCCGTTGTCTTGGAGAGATGTGAGAGGGATTGATGGATTCGAGATCGTGACTGGTGCTGGCTGGGAGGCTGGTTGTGAAGGAGCGGCTGTTGGCTGGGAGGGAGGAGAGGTATGGCCGTTCGTCTGAGGAGCGTCGCCGTTGACTTCTGCCATATTGACTGTGGTCTCTCAGTATTAATGGATGCCGTATTGTAAATGGGAGGTCGCAACGTCCTGCGCTCGCTTTGCAGGCTTGTTTCGCGGTCGATCGAGAAGAAGATTTATCTATGGAGGACAATCACAGCCTCGGGTCGACAGGGAGCTCTTCGCTGCTCCAAGTTAGATTCTCCACTCAAATATCTGAGAGGAAATCCGCAGTCCTGTCGTTGCTGAATGTCCGGCGCAAAAATGAAGATATTCGAAAGAGAGAGGTCACGAAAGCGCGTTGAAACCAGAATGAACCCTTGTCAGAGCACTGACCACACCTTAAAATTTCGCCCCTCTGAATCTGCCCCTCCATCATCCAATCCGTTGTCGGACATTGTAAGAAAATCTTGAGTCGAATCGAGTCACATTTCTTCAACTTCTTCTCTTTCACTTTGCTCCAGGTTACAATTCAAAATGGACACGATCCTGCCCCTACCATTCCTGCCCAGTGTCGACTTGGCCAGTCCTCCTACTGCAGACTCTCCAGGCTTTACGAGAAAACAATTATCTTATCTAGGATGCGTCCACTTCGTAGCTACCGACTCGAATATCGACCAATTGATGATCTTCTTGCAGAGACATGTGTCAATTGAGGCATACGTGGATGTATCTGGCATATCATCTGAAGAGGATATCATTACAATCCTTGATTCTGGTGCTCGAAAGGTGTTCGTCACAGCTGGACAACTCAATGGTCTGACCAAGTTTGAGGATCGAGTCATACCAATTGTTTCTGCAGAAGATACCAAAACTGAGACCTCATACCCAAATGGCGTCCTTGTGTCATCTACAGACGTACGGTCAACTCGATCCAAGTTGCAGGCTTTGACTCAACAAAAGACATCTCCCATCTTCTTCACAAGTTCCCAAGACCATGTTGAATTAGCAAAAGTATCTGCCGCAATTCCAATCATACCTTTCAATAGCCTTACGATATCCGGAGAAGGAAAGATATCTGTACCGGAGCTGATCGCTTCCTCATGGACTTCGGACAGGCCAGACGGATTGATCCCAACTGTGGTCACGGATGAGAGAGGCATTGCTCTTGGATTGGTATACAGCGGCCAGGAGAGCTTGGGAGAGTCATTGAAGACTGGCACAGGAGTATATCAAAGTCGGAAGCGAGGACTGTGGTATAAGGGAGCTACTTCTGGAGACACACAAGAGCTTGTCCGAGTATCTCTAGACTGTGATCAGGATTGCTTGAAGTTTGTGGTTCGACAGAAGGGTCGTGGTAAGTAACGTCTAGGTTTCGGATAGACATGTACTGATTCACAAAAGGATTCTGCCACCTACCTCAATCGACATGTTTTGGCGAACTACGAGGGATTTCGAAGCTCGAGAAGACACTGAAGTCAAGAAAGGAGTCAGCACCTGAAGGCTCATATACTGCACGACTAGTTTCCGACGAAAAGTTATTACGAGCTAAGATTATGGAAGAAGCTGAAGAATTATGTGATGCCACTACTAAGGAAGACGTCGCTTTCGAGGCAGCAGATTTGATCTACTTTGCTCTTACAAAAGCTGTTGGCGCCGGAGTTAGCTTGTCTGATATCGAGAAGAGTCTTGATAGGAAAAGTCGAAAGGTCAAGAGAAGACAAGGCGATGCTAAAGGACAATGGGCCGAGAAGGAAGGCATCACTAATGGCACAAATGGTACTACTAAGCCAGCAGAGGTAAAGGAAGCAGTCAAGGAAGCTGCCTCTGTTCCAAAGTCTGCTGAAGACAATGCTGGACTGAAAAATGGCCGAATCACAATGAGACGCTACAATGCGGCATCAACGTCACCAGAAGATCTCAACGCAGCATTACAGCGCCCCTCGCAAAGGTCAACAGAAATGATCATGGGTATAGTTAACCCTATCATCAAAGCTGTACAGACCGGTGGAGACAAAGCTTTGCTATCATACACACACAAATTCGAGAAAGCGACCTCACTCACTTCTCCTGTCCTTAAGGCGCCATATCCTCAGTCTTTGATGAATCTGCCTCTGGAGACGATTGAAGCAATCGATGTTTCATTCGAAAACATTCGCAAGTTCCACGCCGCTCAAAAAGAAGAGAAGCCGCTTCAAGTCGAAACCATGCCCGGAATTGTTTGCAGTCGGTTTGCAAGACCAATTGAGCGTGTTGGCTTGTACGTACCTGGCGGTACCGCTGTGCTACCATCCACTGCTCTCATGCTTGGCGTTCCTGCTATGGTTGCAGGCTGCAAGACCATCGTTCTCGCTTCTCCTCCTCGTGCTGATGGCAGCATTACTCCGGAGATCGTATACGTTGCTCACAAAGTTGGCGCAGAATCTATCGTCCTTGCTGGTGGTGCCCAAGCCGTTGCTGCGATGGCATATGGTACTGAGTCGGTGTCTAAAGTGGACAAGATTCTTGGACCTGGAAACCAGTTCGTCACCGCGGCAAAGATGTACGTTAGCAACGATACCAATGCAGGTGTCAGCATCGACATGCCAGCAGGACCTTCAGAAGTACTCGTTATTGCTGACAAGGACGCGAACCCTGCATTCGTTGCTTCAGATCTTCTTTCACAAGCAGAGCATGGAGTCGACAGTCAAGTCATTCTTATCGCAGTTGATCTTTCCGAGAAGGAACTATCTGCGATTGAGGATGAATTGCACAAGCAAGCTATGGCATTACCGCGGGTTGACATCGTTAGAGGTGCTATTGAGCACTCGGTCACACTCGTGGTGAAGGATATCAAGGAAGCCATGGCTCTAAGCAATGAGTATGCTCCAGAGCACTTGATCCTCCAAGTCAAGGACGCCGCTGGCTTGGTATCGTTGGTGCAAAATGCCGGCTCAGTGTTCATTGGCGAATGGACGCCGGAGAGTGTGGGAGATTACTCTGCTGGTGTCAATCATTCTTTGCGTAAGTTTGTCTCTAATCTTGCCTACTCAAGCCGTGCATATCTAGCTGCTTCCCATGCATATCTAATTCATTGTAAAAAGCTGACGATGTTCCAGCGACGTATGGCTATGCCAAGCAGTACTCAGGTGTCAATCTTGGATCTTTCACCAAGCACATCACCAGCTCCAACCTAACAGCTCAAGGTCTGCGCAACGTTGGCGGGGCAGTGATGCAGCTCGCTAAGGTCGAAGAGCTCGAGGCTCACAGGCGAGCGGTGAGTATCAGGATACAGTACATGGATGATAACAAGATATGATGTCCGGTGGATGGCAGTTGTATATTGATGAGAGAAATTAAAAAAAATAAAAAAAGATTGTTAGTTTTGCTCGTACATCTCAAATCAACGCGTCCCGTTATCCTCTCGTTGGCGGATTGTAATTGAAACATGTAGGAATGCACAGAACCTTCTATGTCTAACGCGACTTTGTGACTTAGTACGCATATCACTCCCCCAAAAGCGTAGTAACCTTCAACTTCTATCTCAAATGTTAAATTGTGTTGCCAAATATCTGGGAAATCAAAGGATGCTTAACGATCTTTCTAAAGAACGCGACATGTAAGCACGGCTTGCGATAGCGAGTTATTCAATTCAAGAAGAAGATCAAACCTTCAAAGGCTTTGAGATGAAAGTCGTGACTCTATTGACATGCAACCAATGCAGTCCTGAAGCTATCGCAAGCTACATCAATCAAGAGTACCCAGGTGCTCTGGATTGAACTACGAACTTATATCTGAGAAAATAACTCCTATCAAAATGCTGTCAAGGGCCTTCGTACTTACAATGAATGTACACACAACAGCAGGCCAGGTGGGCCGGTATGCAGGCATTATGGCAGCCGTGTTTAGCTCCTGACCACATCAGCTCGCATTTGGGTGGTGTGACATGGGATAGACAATATGGGACACTGATGTTCCAATTGGTTGCATCTTATTGCTGTGCGCCAGAGGCGTTGTGGCTGACGAGTTTCACCCAACACCATTATTTCTTTTGCTGCGTGTCAAAATTCCTGGTTCTTCCAAGCATTCCACGGCTGAGCCGTGGGTGCAACGCAAACCAAAGCGACTTCCCCAGCATCTTCATCCTAGATCTGTCATTGAAACGAATGGATCCTCTCTCTGCGTTAGCGATAGTTGGGTTTGTTGTTGCTTCGATACCAACAGCAATAAGCCTGAATCTACTCGTGGCTAAGATCTTGACAAGGGGATCGAAAGGCCTTTGCGTCGTCTCTGAGGATGAGCATGCGCAAGTCGAGTACGTGATCAGAAAATTCCTGCTTAGAAATGACTGATACGGAATAATAGTATTGTCTTTGTTCATGGCTTGGGAGGTGATCCGCACGAGACCTGGTGTACTCGGGACACGACGAAGAAGGTTAACTGGATGACTGATCTCCTGCCCGAGGATATACGATCAACAACCCCTTCTCGGATTCTTACCTTCGGTTATTCGCAACGTCTTTTCTCGATTCCAAGCTATGGATTTCTAGGAAAGAGAACCAGGCCGTCGATTTTAGATAATAAGGTTATCAAGTATCTTCCACAGGCACTATATCTTCACTCGAAAGGACTCATGGAAGAATTGACTATACTGCGGGGAGAATACGCTCGTGATAGACCGATAATCTTTGTAGCCCACAATCTAGGAGGATTGATCGTGAAAAGTACTCTCGTCCAAGCCAGCGCCGATGTAGGTGAATATAGTCGACATAAAGCGATCCAGTTGTCCACTACTGGAGTACTATTCTTTGGCACCCCACAGAGAGAGACATCAAGAAAATCTTGGAGTAAGCTATTGACTAGAATCTTCACTGTCTCCCTAGAGCTCCCGGCAATATCTCTTGGAGAATCAATCACAGCGCAAGCTGAGCTTTTTGATCTGCAAGTCCAACGATACAAAAGCATCGAGATGAATTTTCAAAATTATGCTTTTTACGAGAAGTACATGACACAAAAGGAGCCCTCGGTTAAATTATACGTATGATGAGTTCGCTCCTGGTATAGGATATTGTTGCTAATCAATCCAGGTTGTTCCCGAAGAATCTGTGCTGCCAACGAATGCTCGCCCATGGTGGCATAAGATTCGGCTTGATAGAAACCACCAAAATATGGTGAAATTCGAAAGAGATGATGAGGACTATCAGATAGTCTTGGGGTGTATAAAAACGTGCGTTTCGCATTCAAAAGAAGCTTCGGAAAGATGCTTAGAGTTTTATAAGAAATTAGGTATGCATGTCGACCATTGGGTGATGTTTTAGCTTCTGAATCGAGTGAAGGCATAGCTCACAACGATACTTTCATGGGACAGCAACAACTGGAAATGACGCCAGCTCGGATCGATGATCCAAAGGTATTGAATTCAATCATCAGAATAAAGTCATGGGGAAAGGAACACCGACGCAAAGAAGCCGAGGAGTCATTAAAAGAAGAGCTTTCTCGCAGCGAGAAAGACAACGGGCTTTCATCCGGATCTACTCTGGAACTCATCAATCAACTAGCGCAGCACTATGTTGAATTTGAGGAGTATTCGAAGGCTGAACAGCTATACAAACGTGCTTTCGTGGCAACTCAAGATCACCAGGGACCACTACACCTCAAAACTGCTGCAATTCTGCAACGTATAGCTGACGTCGAAAAAGAGCAAGGGCATTATGCTGAGGCATCAGAATGCCTCTCTCGTGTGGAAGCAATCCAGAATGCCGTTCTACCGCCAGGAGATCCTCAAACCTTGAGTACACGTGCTTCCATTGCGATATTATACGACAAACAGAAGCAGTGGCAACAGGCCGAAGGACTATACAAGCGAGTTATCAGCGAAAGGGAGAAGTACCTCGACAAATATCACGAAGATATGCTTATGGTGATAGAGAATCTGGCGCTGAGTTACCAGATGCGAGGGAAAAGATGGTTATCGCTGTCAGCAGAGCAATACAAACTAGTTCTTGACCGCCGGGAAGAGTCAATGAGACGAGGAGGCAAACATGGTGATGATTCTCGTGCAGCGATAACGGTCAAAAAGCTGGCACAGATTTACAAAGAAATGAGGGCTTGGAGATCTCTGCGGAATCTGCACCATGATTGGCCTTCAGTTTTCAGTGAGGATGGTGAAGACGTGGAAAGGTACACAGACCCGAATGAGAGCTGCACCGACCCATTCACCAAATGAGCTATTGGCCAGTAGAGCGAATGATTAGTATAAAGCTTCACTTCTTTCAATTCAGAGGCAGTCTCGTGTTTCTCTTGATAGTTATGATACCCTATTAGAATTATTTCTGTATATACACCGTAATACACGTGTCTGCGACACTGCCGTTGGAAATCGGTGTATATACATACGTAAGTACACAGTTGATCGCTCGTTCAATCAAAGGACTCTACAGTTGAGCTTATCTTCGATGGCATTACGCTCTACCATGCGAAATACCTACAGCCATGACTTACTAAACGGAGGCTTTTCTGGATTGTATTTAAAATCGCTTGGATTCGTATACTCAGTTATAGCAGTTAACTTGAGAGCTGTGCATTTCTTGAGGTTCAAATCGAACTAACTTTTCGTGTTGTGTTTGCGGCCCTGTCTAAGCAAGACGAGATACTAAGTTAAGTTAAAACTCTCCTTAGTCGGCTACTCCCCCCCCCCTGTCGGCCACCTCGCTTAAGCACACCGCTAGACATACCCTCCCACTTTCGACCTCAATATTTTAATAAATCCTTAATTAAATTCTTCCAAACTTGCTAGTCAGCTTGAACCGATTATGAATACTAAATATACTGAAGAGGACATCTAATGAGCACTTGAGGATGTTGCAAAAGGAATGTTAGTGCGGAGAGTTAGTCTGAAGTGGGGGCCACTAAGGAGTACTCTTGGAGATAGAATAGCCGGCCGCATCTCTCGATTAGAGGTTAACTAACCTAATTAGAGGCTTTTTCTGGTTCAAGAGGAACATTTAGCAGAATGGGTCCTTGTTTAAGAAAGCATTGGGTTAAGCCCTACTTATGCGCAAATCCGAGCTTTTGCCGGCCGGATATTATGGGCTAAACATAATGCCTTACTTCTTGGAAAACGATGGATGTCTAATTTTATACAGCGCAATTTTATTTTTAAGACTAAAAAATAATATTAAATCGATTTTGTGCGTGTAAGTAGTGCAACTACTAATATAATTAAACTTTAGTCTCGAAAATTGGAGGTGCCCGCTATTAAGGCCATTAAACCTGAAAACCGCTAGAATATGGATGAAGCAGGCATCATGGAAGATCAAAGAGAAAATGGCCTAGTAGTTAGGAGTGCTAAAAAACGTTTTATTTAAAAGAAATAGCTTAGATCGAGAGTCTAGACTTTATTTATTAAATGCATTTTCGCAGCCGGCAAGGCACTCAAACTATTAGTGATTTATAAAAGGAAGTGGGTTTAGCAGCAATAATTCGGCTTGGATATAGATAATTATAAGAGTTGGAAGTTCGAAGCAACCAATAATAGGTGAACTACTAATACTACTACATTAAAGTGGTTAAAGTTAGTGTTTATTCTTTAATTTGCATCACGTGATCTTAAGGAGTATCGTTTACTTATTCTTGATGGCCATGGGAGCTATGAAACTACAAAGTTTATGTAAGAGTGCTTTAAGAACAAGATTTACTTGTTATTTTTGCTATTTCATACTTTTTATGTGCTTTAACCATTGGATTTATCGATTTTTCCCCCCTAAAGCGCGTTTACCGAAAGCACTTAGGTGCTTTACTTATAATAAACGATTTAACTTTAATTAGTAAGCGAAAATTCTTAGAGTGTTATAAACAAGCTCGAATAGATACTTTAATATATCTAAATTGCAAGTAAAAGTGGTTTGCTTTAAGCTTATAGCCGGTTCGCATATCAAAGCCCCTCATGAACCGATTATTGCTTGAAAATAGCAATAAACGGGCCGACAATGCCTCAGAAACTTTTAGGAATGTTGAAGCACTCGAGTGGCACACTTCTAATTTAATAGTCGAGTGGGGGACTTTTCAAAAGAGTGCAAATATTTGATTGCAAGTTAGGCAAATCACGGGGCTTAGGACACTTGATTTATCCACTTCTAGAATACTTTTCAAAAAAGTGGCCAAAAGCATAGATCAAAAGGATATTATTATTGCACAGCAAGAGCGCAAGATCAAGCAATTGGAGGCTAAAGTAATGGATTTGTAGCCTAGAAAAAGGCGCAAGGTAGAAACATCCCCTAATTCGAGGTTCGCTACTATCGAAGATATTAAGAGAGCCCAAAAAGCGGTTGGTGAGCGCCCAAACGTATCATCAGACTTAGAGGACACTATTACACTCGCCTCTACTTTATCTTATATAATTATTGAAGAATGAAAAAGTTATTAAGCTTCAAAGTGGGAGGGTCTGAATTAAGCGAGGTGGCCGACAGGGGGGGTGGCCGACTAGGGGGGGTTTTGACTTATTGTATCATCGCTCACTGTCTCATTCGACTTAAAGTGCTTGTCGACCCAGTCTGCGAATCTCTGCTGAGCTTGAAGATGATAATCTTTCAACAGTAACCTCTCAGGGTAAAGAGAGTTGACGTTATTGATGACTACCACGGTTCGCGTTCCTTGAATAGCAACAGATGAAGACAGGTTTTTCAAGCCAGGACTGAAGCTTCCTATCCATAGCATCAATATGTGGCCCAATGACTTCATCGACGCTGCCCAATCGATGAATCCCGATTGATCTGGTGAGTCGGGCTGGAAGTGTTGAATGAACCATTCGGCCTGTATGATAACTCTATGCTCAACAAGATGAGTTCGGCGCCAAATATCTGTTAAAGTATCAAGTAATCGTGGTGCCGTTTCCCCCCTGTCATTTATAGCATGGACAAATATCTTCTTCGAGCGCCTCAGATCACCTTCGATGCGAAGTATGTTCTTTCGGTCTTGATCGATAGTTTCGAGTCGCTTGCGAAACTTCCACTTTCTCCAAATTTGCAAAGGCCTCAAGGTCTTGTGAAGACAATAGGGCAAGACAAGGCAACAACAAGTCGTGAAGTATAATTGCCTTTTTTGTTGACTCAAAGCATCATTTATATGGGCAATGGGCTTCAGAATAGAACTCATAAGAAGGTTCAAGGCAGAGGTGGTGTTCGTGATCCCAACTATAGTGAAAATGCTCAAAAACGCCCACAAAAGCCAAGAGAATATAGCTTGTAAGACGCGCCGAGTACCCGATTGGAGATTTTTGTGGCGATCAATGTACCAGTCGGTTCCGTTCGAGTACACCACTGGGATAAACCAATCCTGCACTTCAACTTCTTTCTTGTTTCTGTACGACCAGCGTAAGGAGTTCCTTCGCAGGTCTTTTCTGGCCCTGGTGGCTGCTTCCGCAAACTCCTCACGCTCGACAAAGATTTGGTGATAGAACGTGCTGTAGAAAATCTTGGACATGCTGTCAGGCGCATTGTAGGACAATCCAAGCACGCAACACAGGCCACTTTCCAGAAAGCTCAAGCTGAGATTGGCGTGTATGCTTGAATCTGCTTTGGCTGATTTACAAGCACTCAATACTGCACAGTCGATATTGTTGTTCAAGAGTACTTGTGCGATTGTGCCAGCTTCTACAGGCGTCGTAAGAAGCTGCTGGGTGAACTCATCAAACTCATTGAACTCAAGGTAAGCCCCTCTTGAATTTCTATGAAAATCATTAGTAAATTGACATCGCGTTCTAGAAAAAACTGGATTTCTTACGAGACTCCACCACGCATATCAAAGTGAACCACCCGGAAAGCATGCTGGGGGCCCATTCTCGAATGCCTCTCGAGATGCGCTTCCAATTCGTTCAAGCTTCCAGGACGGACCACTTCTATGTGAATGCACTGATGAGAGCCGCTGATTTCGAGCTCTTCCTGTGCTTCCAGGAGTGCACATTGGACATTGGTGGGATTGTAATAGTCAATCTTTGATTTGTCGTAGAGGTGTTTTCTTGCAACTACTAGAAGTATGTTGAATTTTTCAACCTTCCCATCTTGACGGCGAAGACTCGTAGATGTGGTTGTACTTCTAGCATAGCGTCTAACTGTCACGCAGACCGGTTCCAAATTCCTCATATAACTTCGTACTGACCACAGCTTAGTGTCTTCTAAGTGTTCCCAATGAACACTATGAATGGATCGCTGCGCATGATCTGTTTGGAGTTCATGTATCTGTATCTCAACCTTGCACCCTATGAAACTCCAAAGAAAGCTATTCAGACCAAGTGAGTGAAAGAGATCTTTCCGATATTTATCGATCTTGTCCCGTGTGGCAGCGGACTTCTTGCGACTCTTTTCGTTGATTTCTTCATCCATTGTTCTGTCGAGATATTTCGAGACCTCCTCATAGTCGCCTGAGTGAAATGGGTCACGTACTATAATGTTTTCGTCGTAAAGTTGATGTTCGTCGATCTTTATTTCCATCCGCAATCGCCATTGCTGAAACTGGCCCTCGAAGCTACTCGACTCTGTCCTTTCGATTTTGATCACGACCTTTTTGCATATAGAGCTCCACATATTCGACAGCAAGGTCAAAAATGTTGCGGACAGGCGGTACCGACCAAAAGAGGGACAATTCAAGGAAAGAACCAGAAGAACACCAGAGAGGAATTAATCAAGGATGATCATTCAGCAGTGCGGAAAGTCTCATATTAATTTTGAACCTAGCCAAACATAAATAACGCCACATGAACGGATTGGAAGAGAAATGCATGAAAGTACGCCACAGACACATTGGTGTGCGGGCGGAGCCTACCCTGACAGGCGAGCCTCAAAACGCCACCATTTCAGTGTCAGCCGCTTGGAGCCTGATTGGAGTCTCGCCCAGTCTGCTGGACAGAAACAATAATACAACAATAGATGGTGGAGGCAGAGATCTTCTGTGGCTTGGCGGCTGAGGATGCGGGTGAGGCAGCATTCATTCTATTTCTTTCGACCTCTTGCGATCTTTGAAACCTTCAGACGCTTGACTCCCACAATCTCTTCTTTGAGATCTCGAAATATAAGTACTCAAGTACCCCAGTATGTCGCATAATAAATCCTCTCGTCTTGGATCGTTCCAAATCCTGGAGATCCCGCAGAACGTGCGGCGAAAGACTCGAATGATAGGTGCCGTGGTACCATCTGAGTCTTGCACAAACCCTTTCGACAGCTAGGCGCCTTACTGGGACAATCCTCGATGGAGCAAAACAGAAGAAGACAAGAAAGCCCTGAAAGAACTCCAAGGCGCCATCGATTTTTTCTGGAAACCCAACACAAAGAAAGGTGGAGAGGGAGTCAAGTTGGAAGATGTCATCGCTACACGAGGCGAGTCCGCAGACAGTGCATGGAAAGTGCAGCTCACGGAGGCTCTTCAAGGATATGCAAACAAAGCGGTGAACGAAGATGTCTGGATTGAGGCAGGAGAAGTCGAGATATATACTATGGATAATGCAGATGGAGCTATCCGCACACGCCTGGGTACTTGCAAACCCTGGAAAGACGAGCTACAAGAGCTCTATCAGAACGACAAGCGCTTGGAACCCACCTATTACATCATCACGGGTGTTTACACTTGTAAAAACATGAGAGTTGGCTGGGCCAAACAAAAGATGAATGGTGGAGGAGTTGCGGTCGGCGTGCCAGGACAGGCTATTGCAGCAGCGGCTGGTGCTCCCATTCCAAACAGCGCAGCTAAGCTGCTGGACATGACTGCGAAATATGACAATGTCAAACAGACTGACACCGAAATCTCTGCTCGTATACCTCAAGAGATTATCTTTGCTTTCCGATATCACATCCTCGAGCTCGCATTCGAGGAACAGCCCGCGCAGAAGCAACCTAACATACTGACCAAAGCCTATCATAAATTCATAGGAAGGTCTGGATCGACTCGTGTGTCTGCTCACAAGATTATCAAATCGGTGTCGCTAGGACCGCCCGTTCGAGGTCCAGGGGCTATTACTGCCTATGGGAGCGATGAGGACTAGGAGGATGCGCTGTATTGGGAGGAGCCTAATTATATTCTGGCTGACCTCAGTAAGAAAGGAATTCAAAAGGTATAGAGAATTTGTGACGAAGGCTAGGGAGGGGTGTTGACAGTTGCTGTAATGGTACTCATTCGCATTGCGAAATATTTTTTCCCCACGATCTAACTCATCATTCGATGTACTAGCTAGGTAGTATGGGCGGAAATAAAGTAGTCGATGATCAGTATTGGATGCCCGTGAGCGTTAAGACACAAAATCTGAATGACAGAAATCACTCGATTGGATTCGAGATTAAAGTTCACTTGGCGGTGAGAGAAGTTTGCTGACGAGAAAATTGGAACAGATGAGGCTGTTGAGTCGGAATTTTGCATTTTCTGATGCTTTGTAATTCGATTGCGCTTCGAGTGTCAGAGAACTTCTTACACAGCAATGTTCTAGACCACGCTGCATCTCTTCAAAATCAAGTTTTCTAAACTCGCAAAGATCTCGAATCTGCAGCACATAAATGAAGTCCGTGAGTATTGGATACAATCGCATTTGCTAACGAGGAACGCGCTGGTTTAGAGGGTCGCTTAATCCGGCATTGACGGAAAGGGGTAAGAAGACGAGGAAGTAGTGTTTGAAACGAAGGAAATGAATCCGACTGGAAGTTCTAGAAGGTTTGAGTGTGCGACGTGGTGTGCGGGGAATGGCTGTCTGGCAGGAGGGATGGGATTGATGAGAGAAGGAGATCGAGATTTGAAAATCGGATTCGGGCTTCAAGTTTTAACGTATTGCGAGAGTGTGTTATTAATTACTCTGGAGATCGGATACGGGGCTTTGCTTGTTCTTAATTGAGCTCATAGCAGACGAAGTACCTAGGTAGGTAGGCATCGATCCAAGATCAGAGTCACGTGAGAAAGTATCCAAGTCGTTCTCCTTGTTTTGTTCCTCTAAGTAAGGTCCATGAGTCTGAGCGCATCTATGAGGTATGTTAGACCTCATATTTCTTGATATCTTAGCTCAAGGTTTATTTGAGCAGACCGGGACTTTCAAATCTTTCGACATGTACTATCAAGCGGTGAGTCTAAAACCGTTGCCGATTTCAGACGACAAATATCCTCCTCTTTCTCCCACCACTTCTGCAGCATCGATCGACAATCTGCATCAAATCCCATGCCATGCTCGTACCTTTCTCCTCTTCTCAGGAATCCATCCGAACGAAACGCTCTGTTCCAAAATGCGGTGAGCTTAAGGTTTGTCCCGCAATTAGTTGATCGCACAAGGATCATCTATCACGGGTTCAAGACACCGACTCGTGTCCTCGCTTCCTGTTAGGCACTTCTGCATGAGAGCGGGAGATGAGGATGGGGCTGGGCGCCTTATCCGCAATCCTTTGTTGTCTGCGGATCCCTGAGTTGATGAAATGGGGTGACGTTCCTAGACAAGCCGAGTCAAGGACTGCTGGCTTGGGGATCGTTGTGAGTTATGGGAGTAAGAGGAACCGATCCCGATGAGAGGGAGACGTTGGGGCTAATATTAGAGTCGATTGAGTTTAGGGAGCTCTCTTTTCTTGTCATCTCAAGTTATTTTACTTTTTGCACTTCTCCGCAATATCTATGTCTTGCTGTTATTGTTGATGTGGCTTGTGACAAGCTTAAAAAGAGAGAAGGACAATGTCCAAGATCTCGTTCACGATCGCATTGCCTCATGATGGACCGAATGGGAATCGAACACCACAATTTTTTATATCGACGAGCAATAACACATATCTGAGCTTTAAAGGGATGGACTACAAGGGTGCGAGATTTGGCAATAGCAATGCGACAAGTGGATGGAAGAACAGATTCGAGTACAGTGTTGTGGCTGCCAAGGGAATTACGAAGTTTTCGATGTGAATTGCATTCTTATACGTATTGTGTGGATGCTGACTGGGGCAGACAAATGAACACTTCTGTGATACTACCACCTCTATCATGGGGCTTACCTGGACCCGCTCCAAAAGCGAAGAAGGAGGAGAAAGAGAAGCGGAAGTCCAAATCCAACGGATCAAGTCGAGGGACTTCTAGCTCAAAGTCGTCTTCGTCAAGGTCGTCGAGAAGTAGCTGTCAGTCACTACACCAATGCATACCTAGGATACTGACTGACGACAGCAGACGACAGTAGGGAAGGTCCGAGGCGTAGCGGAAAGCGACACGAACAACCTAGGTTGCGAGATCACAGTCCTCCTAGACGACTCCGCGATATTGAAGATCAAGCTTATAGAAAGCATGGTCAGAGAAGAAGAAGAGAATCAACTCGAGAGCACAGTCCTGGTGTTGTTGATCACCTCGACCCCTTCGACCCCGGAGAATGAAATCGTTGGCACGATTCAACAGTGGCAAGTTATGTGAAATTCTGATATCACAAAGCAAGCGAGCGAGGAGTATGGGAGTTGTTGGTTTGGAACTAGGAATGGAGTTTAATTTGCAGCCTTGATGGTCAAACAAGGCCTGAACAGTTGGAATTGAGCAATATGATTCCGGTCGTTTTGATTCCAGTTTTGTGTCGTGGAACTGTGTGCTGCGCTGAGTTGGATCTCTACGCACCACAGTGCTTTCTACTCCTGCAATTTCCATATATACACCACTATCTGACTTGGCGTACATCCTCTCATCTCTCACCAAAGTTTTGTCTTGACGATGATTCTGTTCTTTGGCATGGCAATGAGTCGCACCTTCCAATCATGACTGCCCGTTCCCTTCAAAAAATACCTCAATCTTCCTTCCTCATATGATAGACTTAGACCTACTCTTGTATTCTCGCCGTCCTCAATTCGATCTCTCCATCTTCGCAACATCTCAACATCGCAACATCATCAGAACCAGTAAGTCAGCAGCGCATCCCTAAATGCTTGCAACAACTTCTGACTGTGCGCGCAGATTGGAGTTGTCTTTGGATAGTCAGCTATCACGACTCAGTCATCACATGGACGCAAAACTTCGTGAAGATTACCGTAAACGACTCGATTCATACTACTCTCGTCTTGCTACAAAAAGAGAGACCGCATCGAAGCCCGCATCAGACGTTCAGCAAGAACAGATTCAAGCACCACAACCAACATCTTGCATGCCTGTTCGGGATACCAAGTTCGATCTCCAGCAACTTACCAAAATCACCTGGCCAAACAAGCACGCTACCACACAGCATCAGTATCGGTACTTCCCCAAGAGTACCGCTACTCTTATAAGTTCCCCTTTGAACGCAGACGCAAACATCTTGCGTCCCTTCATATTCCCTCCGGCGAAGAAGACAAAACTCCCAGCAATCCACAAAGTATTCCCCGAATTGCATATACGATGGCAGCCAGAATTCCGGCGCCTTCATTCTTCCCCCTTATACCACCCGATGCAGGATCACCGATGAGAAAGCGTGTGGATTCGTTTTTCGAGCCTTTGCCCGGTTTGATGGAGAAATTGACAACTCGCGGGCTTCCTCAATCACCGTCCGCATCTAAGGATGTCAAGACCACTTCAGGGTCTAGAGATCGATTTCATTTTGAACATGATGAACAGGCCGAATACAGCCAGATCACATCGAACATCAATCGAAAGATGCGCGAAGACGGCGAGGATTGCATCATGGGAGAAGAACCTTTGGACACTTGGAAAGGAGATCAAGACACGGCGTATTCAGTTGGAAAATCCCTTGTTGAGATTATTGATTCTGCTGAGCCATTGAACGAGTTGGCAGTGAGAAGATTCATCTTCCGCCACCAAGACTTGCTTCCCAGGAAATTGGAGACAAACGTTGATCTTATGGGAAGGGTATTGACCGACTTACTACAAGTCGATTTGCCATGTCCACAGGAGCAGTTGGGCGCAACGTTTGATTACCCCATCAACCTCGAAAATGATGCTAAAATCAAGAAAGGACTGAGAGAACTCATGAATGGTCAGGGCAGTAAACGTATCGAAAAGGACCTCCTGTCGCTGGTAATGGTAGAGTCGGCGGTTTTAAAATTTTACGATAAATATGCTTCACAGTATAGCAAGGAACCAGCCGTCATTTTGAGACGAGTGCTGATCGACCTGAGGGCTGAACTTTTGGTGGAGAAGAGACAGTGTGACAGGGCAACTAAGCAGCAACAAGATCAACAAAAGCGCGAAGCGTTCAAACAAGCATACACCACATACCATAAGATGCTCAACTCAGGCAGGTCGGGTACAGAAGCAATGGAAGTAGTAAGAATGGAGCAGAATGCCGATTCAGAGGAGGAACAATTAAGTCCTCAAGGAGAAATGAACAGTTCGGCACTCTCTGACTGCGACAATATCTATGATGATTCCGACGATGAGATGAGATTGGAGGAGTTTAGTCCTGTACGTCAAGCAGTCCGACACGTGGAGGATCATTCACAAGTTTCGGTGGCCCGTTCTGCGATTTTGCATCAGGCGAAGACTGAAAATGATTATCTGGGTGATGCAACCATGAACGACGATAGTGACGAAACCAGCATCGACTCTTATGGTACCAATGATTGGATCGACACAGATTCGGGTGAGGACGAAGTGAAGACGAGGGGAAGAGCACCAGGCAGTCCTCCGAAACGGCGTATTGTTTCGAGGGATCGAAATCCTTCTCCTCCGAAGAGGGAAAAAGTCTCAGACACGAAGAGTCGGGGTATCTATACTGAAGTCGAAGCTGATATTACTCCCAAGAAGAAAAAATATGTCATTCCAGCGAAAAAAATACACTCCTATTAAGATAGTGCCAACCACACCGAGGCCGGCTTCGCCACCATCGGTTACAAGGACACAGGCAAGAAGAAATCGCACCCGTAATGGGCTTTGCTAAGAGATGGTTGCGTGGTGTACTGTATTTGTATATCTTGGCAGTGAACGAAGTATTCGGGAAGTATTCATATCGAGAATGTCGTTGACGAGTGGTCACGGGAATACGCCCCAAGGTATTCAGATGCTCGACAGACGACAGTTTTGTGGTAATTTTCCTTTTCAACAGTATGTATCATCAGGAAGAGATGGAGCAGCAGAAAGCATTGACATAGGCATAACGAAGAGGACTTCCTCCGCGTGATATGCCCCCAGGCATAGATAGGTATAAGCATTGATAGCAATAACACATTCATTCTTTCCACAGGGACATCCAACACATCAATTCACGTGAGTGCCTTAATTCTTTTTGTTGCACGTCACAACGACGCTAAATTGTGGCTGCACATGAGTTCAAAAATTGGCTCCTGAAACTTGAAGATTCTAATCTCTAGCAACAACCACTATGCCAGATACTAAAAGGAACGATCAAAAGTTCAATTAGTGCTTAAAGACGCAACCCCAATTTTTTTGAAGAGATTTGATTAATATGGTGGAGAAATATTCCCGGATTGGAGACGCGAAGAAGAAGAGAGGGCTCCAAAGGTGAGGTCTCTACAATGTACCCCCTGACCATGTATTAGCTTGCCAATAATACAGAGGTATGCTGCTTCAACTTGAAGAGAGTGCACAAGCAGAATTCGTATTAAGATTCAAAGTCCGTCGGTGATTCAGTACTCTAATGCGGCGTAAGTTCTCTCCTCTTCAAGTCAAAGTAGAGTGAGTAATCGAGTGGCAAGAAACTAATATTGGATCAAGGGAGTGCACTGTAGCTGAAGGTGAGACAGAGAATCTTGAGAAGGAAACAGCAGTATAGATCCTTGAGTGCACAATTGAACCACCGTATGTAAAGAATACAAATATGATCCTATGGGTGGTCGACACTTTTGTTCCCCCGCGATTCCTGATAGGTTGCGCCACTTGGCATCCATCAATAGCTTTGTTTCATGAACTTCTCATCACAGGTCAATGATCACACTGGAAGGCAAAACATGTTCATAAATGCATTCAGATTTCTGCAGCTGCATCTATGGATCTTATCCAGTTTATCGTAAAAGCGTCTTGGTCGTTCGCTCCCTACCACATCAACTCTCCCCTTCTCTCCTCTCGCTCTCATACAGTGTCAATCTGTTCTCTGTCCATCACCTTTCTCTGGAAAAAAAGTCACAACGCATATCTAAAAGCACACGCACGCACGCAAAACTGCACTGCTTGCTCCATCCACCACCACGCTCTCAAAGCGAAAGCTTTTCTTTTCCCTCCCCTCCCGTTCCATTCTTTCTTTAAATTCCACGCGGTCCTTCCAGTTCCTTGAAAATGCAAATGTTCCCAAACGCCGTCGTCGAAGAGGACCAATCTGATCAGGAGAAACTCAAGCTCAAGTGAATGATTCAAGTAAACGGCTGATGAAAGACCGATAAAGCAAATCTTATGTGCGTGTCCCCGAAACAAAAGGTAACGCGAAAACCCCAAACGCCTGAATGCAAATCTTCTTTTTTCTTTTTGTGAGACGCTTCGTATTGTTGTACATTGAAAAAGGTAAAGGTCGCAAAGCTCCTAAGAGCGGGGAGATGTAGGCGAGAACTGGGGACTATGTATTTGTTAGCAGAGATCAAGACGAGGCAAATATTGCAACTGACCTTGTTGGTGAATAGGAAGGGCTGGTTGGGGAGTATTTGGGCGACGTGACAGCACCCTGAGCAGGACTGGTTGGGCTCCAATTTGGCGAACTTGGACTGTAGACTGGGCTTGTGGGAGATAAGCCTGATCCTGGTGAAGTCTTGTTCGGTGAGAAATTGGGCGAAGATGGGCTGTAGTTTGGCGATGTGGGTGAATAGCTTGGAGAGGTGGGGCTGTAGTTTGGAGAGCTTGGAGATACATGAAGGTTGGGAGAGGTTGGAGAGTAATTTGGTGATGTCGGTGAGTATGAAGGACTAGTTGGAGACACAAAGGACGGTGATGTGGGACTGTAAGCCGGCGAGGTTGGTGTAAAAGCGGGTGAAACTGGCGACCACCGAGGAGAAGCAGCATAGCCAGGGCTTGCACCACCCATGAGAGGTGAGGTTGGACTGTAACCAGGGCTTGTTGGCGAGAAACCGGGAGATACTGGGCTCGTGCTGAAAGGTGATGTTGGGGAGTAGTGAGCTGGGCTTCGGGCCGAATATGGGCTCTGGCCTCCTTGGCTGTACGCATTCGGGGTGTAAGATGTCTCGAAGCCACTGGGGGTTTGTGAGCCACCAGCTTGGATAGGCGAGAATTGCGACTCGTAATTTGGTGTGCCACTGTAGCCACTCTCTGAAAGAGGAGACCCAGTATCGTAAGGAGTAGCAGCACCGCCATCCGCACCCTTGACCGTGAGACCTGGCATAAGACCCATTCGTCCATTGTCAGACATGACAGTCTCAAGCATCTTTGGATCCAGAAGAACCTCGAGCTCACCAGTTCCCATGGGTGCCAATTGACCAAGCATAACATTTTCAGAAATACCGCGACAGTCATCCAATTCACCAACAGCAGCAGCCTCGAGCAGGATTTCGACTGTCTCTTCGAAGGAACATCTCATCAAAGCACCAGTATCAGCACGATTGATACCATGACGAGTAATAGCCATTAGATGACCACGAGCAGTCATGACATCAACCAAGAGTGCAAGATGGCGATGGTTAACATAAGAACCATCGAAAGCTAACACCTGAGTCAACTCGCGCATAAGCGCAGAACGAGTAGCTTCAATGCCAAAAACCTCAAGAACTTGCACGAAATGATTCGAGTAGGTACGTGTGGTATCTACACCAGGTACAGCCAAGACAGCAGCAAGGGCTGTACCACTAGTATCAAGATACCACTCTTCACAGCGGGGATCGCCCTTCTTGGCAAGTAGACCACCTTCTGGTGTGGTGATGAGCTTGGTCTCTTTGTTCAGGAAAGCGCGATCAATACCATTAACACCACGAAGAGTTAAGGAGGCGAGAAGATGAGCTTCGAGACGCTTGAGCATGATGTCTTCTTCGACGTCATCGTCATCATATTTCGAGTCGGGTTGCTTGATCATTCGAATACGAATGACCTGCTCTTCAGCGTTGTTGTCACTGAAGATAACAGCCAGATCCTTCTGGTAACTTTCCTTGATCTTCATAGCCACATCTTCGACCTTTAGACCCTTGTCCAGCATCTTTTGACGGTCAAGAATAAGACGAAGAAGCCATCTTGACTGGAGTTCAGGTGCATCGTGATGGTCCTCAGGAATGATGAAGTAAGACTCAACCATATCAACATCAGCATCAATCGTTGTATTGGTGATCTCGGGGTCGTGGTAAATCTCTGTGGCAGCAGTGACGGAACGCAAATTGGTATGCTCGACAGCACTTCGCAACAATTTGGCAGTTTCTTGCCCAGCTTCTCCACCTTCCTGGTACACGACCATAGAAGGCGTCTTGATGTTGGTGGCAATATTGAGAATTTCCTTGAGACGAGGCACACCAAGAGTAACGTTCTTAGAGGACACACCTGCGAAATGGAAGGTGTTCAAAGTCATCTGGGTAGCTGGCTCTCCAATAGATTGCGCAGCCAAAACACCGACCATCTCACCAGGGTTGACAAGAGCTCTTGTGAAACGACTCTCGAGTTCGCCGAGAACGTGTGCGAATGCCAACTTGTTCAGGCGCATATGCAATGCCACACGCTTGAAAGCAAGTCGAGATCGTAATTGAGCCTTGATCAACAGCGTAGCGTTTTCTTGAGCTTCTCGTGACAAATCGTCCTCACCACGGACAATAACCATACGATCCAGGAGTGCTTGGACCTGAGGAATGACTTCGGCGGGGTGTAAGTCACTACGCTGCGAGTCATCGACCTTGAAAAGTCTCTTCGCACTATCGATGATTCGAACAACATTCATAGGAAGTTGCATCGCCTCGTCGTCCTTCTTTCTGAGATTGACCCATCGCAACATCTCACGATCCTTGTTCAGCTGCTCCCATTCTTGATCCAAGAGTTCTTGTATAGCGAGATCGCCAGAAAGGTCTTGTGCATGCTCCAAGAGCTCGGAGTTGATGGGATTGCTGTCATCCATGACATCAAGACGATAACGCTCAGCGAACTTCTTGTCATTCAGATTGATGGAATCAACGTTCTGCTTCTCAATGTGAACACCGTCAAGACCATCTTCACCATAGACGAATTGAACAATATCGCCAAGAGAATTTCTAACCGTGCCGTCGTACTTCGCCATAACATCTTCGAGAGCCTTGACAAGACGACGTTGGATGTAACCAGTTTCGGCAGTCTTGACAGCAGTATCAATAAGACCTTCACGACCAGCCATTGCATGGAAGAAGAATTCAGTCGGCGTCAAACCTCGGAGGTAAGAATTCTCAACGAAGCCACGCGATTCAGGGGAATAATCATCCTTGGTGAAGTGGGGAAGAGTGCGATACTTAAAGCCGAAGGGGATGCGCTTTCCCTCAACGGACTGTTGACCGACCAAAGCTGTCATTTGAGAGATATTGATGGTAGATCCCTTGGAACCTGAACTGGCCATGGTGACAGCGTTGTTGAGATCCTTCAAACTCTTTTGTGTTCTGGTACCAGCTTGATCACGAGCTGTGTTCAATGCCTTGGACACTTGAGACTCAAAAGTCTCACGAACGTTCATACCAGGAAGCGACTCAAGCTCATTGGCGGTGGCCATTGCGGTGAGCTTCGCGACTTCATCCTTCTGAGTCTGGATTGCATCTTCGATCTTGTCGATGGTAGACTTGTCAGGAATCGTGTCACCGATACCGATACTAAAACCATTGTGGAGGAGCCAGTAGTTGACAACGCGTTGACAACCGTTGAAAAAGGCCATTGCCTGTTCCCATCCTTGTTCGTTGAAGATGATATGGATAATACCACCACCAGTAGCTCCAACGTTCTTCTTAGCAAGAAGACCGAACATCAACTCTCCCTCGTGAATCAGCAGACCGTCGTCCTTCAACGGAGCGTCCTCGCGCTCTTCATTTGGCATGTGAAGGTTGACAATCTTTGGGATGATCATGCTGATGACTTGCTTTCCAGTCCATCTTGGGCGAGGCTTGAGAATGGCTGGTTGAGGGATCACGCCATCCCAATCTGGAACCCAGAGCAAGATATTCATAAGATGCTCCTTTGTAATGAATACATCACGTCGGCAAAGCTTGTAAACACCGGCCAATGTATCTTGCACGATACCCATCAGAGGACCGTTACGTTGAGGAGAGACGATGTTGAGTGGCACCATGCAAAGATTCATGACTTCAGCGCGAGTTTCCTCAGTCTGTGGGACGTGCAAGTTCATTTCGTCTCCATCGAAATCGGCATTGTAGGGCGAAGTGACAGACAAGTTGAGTCGGAAAGTCGAATAAGGCATGACCTTGACTCTGTGACCCATCATGGACTCCTTGTGCAGCGAAGGCTGACGATTGAAGATAATGAAATCTCCATCAACAATGTGTCTCTCAACCTTCCACCCATATTCCAAAGAGATGGCACCTGCACGCTTGTGATGTCGCAGATCGATACGAGTTCCATCGGAGCGGATGACGTACTTTGCACCAGGATGCTCGTTCGGGCCATTCTGCACAAGTTGATGCAGCTTGCCGATGTTGTAGGGCGTAACAGTCTCAGGATAAGTGAGGGTACGAGCAATGCTTCGCGGTACACCAACTTCGTCCAAGGACAAATTTGGGTCTCCAGTAATGACGGTACGCGCAGAAAAGTCCACACGCTTACCCATCAAGTTACCACGAAGACGACCTTCCTTACCCTTTAGACGAGCTCGGATGGACTTGACAGGTCTACCTGACTTCTGCAAAGCCTGAGGGACACCCGCAATATCGTTATCCATATATGTAGCAACATGATATTGTAGCAACTGCTCAAAGTCTTGTAGGATATGCGCAGGAGAGCCCTCTTGTTGTGCCTGCTTGACGTTGCCGTTCGCACGAATGATATCACCAAGCTTGTAGGTCAAATCATCTTCTCCGCGCATGCCCGTGCTTGTGCCGTCCATGGAAATACTTGGTCTGACCGGTGGAGGAGGAACTGGAAGGACTGTGATGATCATCCAGTCCGGACGAGCGTAATCGTAGTTCAGGCCAATAGCCTCAATCTCTTCCTTAGATATGCTCCGGAAGACATTAAGTGCCATCTCTGGAGTAATTTGTCTCTTCTCTGAGGTTGAGCTTTCATTCTCTTCGTCCTTTGGCATCTTCCATGTACCCCAAAGCTGCAGAGCCTGTTGGCGCACTTCGGGCTGAGTATTTCCACAACCTCCATGAGAACGCTTCACAGCTTCCTTGGGATCGCCACCGAACTCATCTTCATTAGGGACATCGCTGTCGCAGATCATCTTCGGCTTGCAAAGTCGCCAGATCGTATCGAACTTACGCTTCGGATCTCGAATTTGAACAGCTGCATGGAATGCCGGATTGCCCTGAGGGACCAATGTCAGCACAAGATTCAAGCACATCCGCCACCCTATCGGGCGAACTGACTTTATCTAGCAATACTTTACCACAGTTGTGGCAAACCATCTCCAGCAGCTTCTTCGTCTTCTTAATAAAACCTGGGTGAAAAACTGGCTTGGCGAGCTCAATATGACCGAAATGACCAGGACACTCAGACATGTTCTGCTCGCAAGTAGCGCACTTGAACTGTCTGTCGATAGAACCAAGTCGAGGATCGTTGAGTCCGCTTTCTCGTGGCTTCAATCGACTCTCGTCCATGGTCTCGGGGTATAGGATATGAGCCACGCTCATGTTCTTGATCTCCTCAGGCGATAACAAGCCAAATTGTACCTCCTGGATCGTGCGCAGCGGCGCATCCGAGTGCGTGAAGTTGAGATTCGCCATCTTGATGGTTTTCGATTCTCGATCGGTGGGTATTTGGGGGCAAAGGGATTAGGGGCGCGACAGCGGCAGCAGCGCAGTCGTAACTCGAGGGAAGTCGCAGAAAGGACTCGAGGTCGCAGGTTGATGGTACAGACAGAGGAAATCTATGCGCGCGATAGAAAAGAGTGTCGTCGATGCGATGGCGCTGGAGGCAGCCAGGCCAAAGGGCCAGTGGGAAGCCTTCAAGAGTCCGACCGTGAGCGATCCAGCGAGGCGACGGCGACGGGGAAATGAATGTGGTGATCTTCTTTCTCTCCAGAAAGACCTTTCGAAAGGAATGCGCGATATCTTACACGCGATTCCTGAGGGTTGGTAGTGGATGGCGTTGGTTGAAAAGGATGGTCGCGTCGACGCAAAACGAAGGAGACTTTGAAAGTTCAGAGCCGCACTAACGACGGCGGCCGGATGTGGACTAGTCACGACTTGTTTCAAGGCAACACTGATCCAAGAAAATCTTTTCTGATACGCTGTGATTGAGTCCGACGTGATTCAGCCTGTTCAATGTCAGCGACTCGATCTTGACTGGAGATCTTTTCACCCCTTTCTTTCGCAGCAGGAAGCAAGTTTTTCTCAGTCACGTGTAACAGCCAGACAAGTTGGAACATGCGCTCCTTTGTCAGCTCAGCTGTCCAGCTTCAAACTCAGAATCATCCTTTGTCTCTAATATCGGGCCTGAGATGAGGATGATCTGAAGTACCCAAGAGCTGTCTTTTGAGACGAACAATCCAAATATCCCCCTTTTCTTACCGCCGCCACTGTCTCGTGCCGAGGATTTGCTTGTCTATTGTCCTTGGAAAGGAGGATGTCTCAAGCTTCAGACTCGAACTTCAATACATGATTGCAGATTATAACATTCTCATTGCACTACACTTTACCTTCAAATGGTATCCCCAGATTATCTCAAAATAAGTCGTTCAACCTCCTTACCTCGTTGACCTACTTCATCGTCACAATTTCCTCCGCACTAGTAGGATGGATAGCGACGCAAGCATCGAAATCCCTCTTTCTAGCTCCCATCTTTACAGCAACTGCGAAACCCTGCAGCATTTCACCCACACCCAAACCTAGCAAGTGCAAACCCACGATCTTCTCTTCTGGCCCTTCACAGATGATCTTGAATTCAGTTGGATTCTTCTTATCCTCTTCTGGCGGGAAGAACCAGTAGAACGTCGCAGAGACTTTCGACTGGTAAATCTTGATGTTTTCTTTTCCGTATTTAGAAATAGCTTGTGGCTCGGTGAGGCCGATCGTGCCGATTTCTGGGTGAGCGAAGACCACTGTTGGGACGTTTTCGTATGGAAGAAAGGAGTTCTTCAGATGTGGTGGGCCGAAGAGGCGATTTGATAGATGTCTTCCTGCTGCGATGGCCACTATTGTAATTGTCAGCATGAAAGTTCAGACTTTGAAGGGACATTCAAAGAAGTGTACCTGGTGTTAGTTCCATCTGTCCTGTTACGTCTCCCAGAGCGTATATTCCGTCAACATTAGTGTTCTGAAATTTATCCACGGCAATGTAACCCTTGTCTCCAAGCTTCACCCCCGAATTTTCCAATTTCAAGCTCTCAGTCTCAGGTTTCCTACCCACGGCCCAGAGGAGCTCATTAACAAGCATGGTCTCCGAATCCTTCAAGAACAGCTTCAACACCTTCTCATCCCCCTTCCCATCACTGACTCTTTCCACCTTCTCAAACCCCTTGTACCCTTTATGGATCTTGACTCCAGCAGCTTCGTACCGCTCTGTCATAATCGTCTGAACCATTGGGTCAAAACTCCTCAAGAACGTCTCTCCACGGATAAACATATGAACTTCAACCCCCATCGCATTCAACATCCCCGCAATCTCAACAGCAATATACCCCGCCCCCACAACAGCAATCTTCGAAGGCAACTCCTCGATATCAAAGAACCCATCACTAGTGATCCCAAACCACGCTCCCTCGATCTCCTTTGGGACAATCGGATATCCTCCTGTCGTCAGACAGATATGATCACTCTTGACCCTCAACTTCCCAGACCCATCTACAAGCTCAATGTCCATCTCTTTAGGAGTAACGAACGATGCTGTGCCGCGCAATAGCTCGATACCCTCTCTCGACCAATTCCGGTCATAAGCCCGATTCAAACTTACAATCTTCTCATCTCGTCTCTTTTTGAATGCCGGGAAAGAGAACGGGATATTTGCTGGCGTCTCAAATCCATAATGTACGGAATCTCTGAGAGATTCGGCTACAGATGCAAAGTTCCAAGTCATTTTCTTGGGGATACAACTGCCAATCTATGTCAGCATTCTGTGCCCTGATTAACAAACAAAGGAAAGAACTTACCCCACATTAACACAGGTACCTCCGGCTAAAGATAGGGGCGTTAGCATTTTCCTTCTTTGTTGTTTCAGGAAAAGGATAAGACAATGTCTGGGAATAGGAAATGGAAATACCTACATTTCCCATTCTCCACCAACAAAGTCTTCTTTCCATACCACCCAGACGCTCTCCTAGCCGTGGCACTCCCACCACTGCCTCCCCCAATCACAATGTAATCGTACTCCTTCACCTTCCCTTCCGCTACATTTGCCGCCATTCTTCTCTGCGAGCTGGCACGTGATCTAGGTAAGCTGGGCCTTGGAGCTTTGACATGCGATGTTAAGAGAGAAAGGCGAGGAGCTGCTGGAGGCATTTCCTCGAGAGCTGGAGGAGTCGACATTTATGTGTTGATAATTCAGCTGTGCCATGTTGGGAGGACTGAATGGGATGCTTGTCCGGAGGCAAGCGAAGTGTTGAGTAAGCTTCATGCGTCCATGCTGGCCAGGCCGTTGGATGAGTAATTTTGGCACTTTACTACATGCGGCACTTGAGCAACTGCGGATTGTCAAGAGATTATTTGATTCCAAATGTACTACTTTATTTTCCCCGAGTTGCATATCAAGATGCAATTTTGCCCCATTCGGCCCTTCCGCGCCATGCAATGCAATATGGTATCCCAGATCCGATCCACAACGCCAGTCTCGTCCGTAAAATAAATGCCTACTCAAAGTCGCTCGAAGGAGTCCATCGAGTCCTGTCTCTATTTTCCCACTAGGAAGGAGCACCGACAAACCCCTCAGAATGTGAGCAATACACCTTCAACGCCTCTTCTTTGTCTTCGACTTCCTGTCATCACCACTCGCCACCGCATCTCCTTCCAAAGTATAATCTCTACCATCCGTTGGACTCTTCCTCCGCATTTCACCTCTGCCTATAGCGATGAATTCTTCCTCGCCATCGCTATCATTAAGATCCAGCTGGACAGGCATTCGGAAAGGATTCTCCTCTTCGATAATGCTACCCTTGACCGGCTCAATTGTCAAGACATCGATATCTTCGTCCTCAAGATCCAATCTTCGCTTGTGGATCTCCTCTTGTGGATGGATATCAAATTCATCTTCGTGCTCAATGTATTCGACATTCTCCTCAACCTCAACGAAGTCGGGAGCCAGAGCAGACCATCTTTGCTGCGGTATAATGGACCAGATGTGTATTCTTCCTGTTTCGAGACCACACGCAGCAATGAGGGGGCGATGAGGATGCCATTCAACAACACCGTGCTCCTCCTTCGGACCTTCAAGAATCTTGACCAAAGAGCCGTGATTTCGTTCCCAGATGTAGATATCGTGGTTGTTGTACGTACTCGCAGTAACATACTCACCTGTAGAACTGAAGCATACATGGTTCCAGCTCAACCGATTGACCACGTCCTGGAATTTGTGCTCAACTTCCATATCGATCGTGTCTGGGTCAAGATCTGCGGCTGTGAGGTTGGGAAGTTGTATAGTTCGAATAATTCTGTCCGATGCATTGAGCACCACATCTCGCCCTGAACTCGTAACTCGTAAATAGATGACCACACCCGAGCATATCTTGGTGGAATATATCGTAGTCCTCGTTGATAGCTCTATAATGTTCAACCAGCCCTTGCTCGTTCCAGATATAACATGCTCGCCCGAGGCAGTGAAGACAACTACAGTCGTATTTTGCTTCGCATCCTGTGCGGCTTGTTTATCGGTTGTAGCTTCGTCCTCATCATATCTCGTTCTCTTCGGTGCAGATGGAAGGGTCATCTTGATCGCTTCGCGATTCGTCGCATCAACAAAGAGGGGTTGGTCATCGAAAAGAGCGACCACGAATTTGAAGCTATTTGCATTAGTCGTGTCTTCCCCAGCACAAGAGAACTTACTGATTCCAAGGATGTAGCTCTCCAATATAGATAGGAGCTTCAAACCTCACACTCCGCACTATACTACCGTCCGAAAGATCCCAGATATTGCACTTCCAATCTTGGCTGGCTGTGAGCAGATATCTGCCATCTCTTGACCAACTCAGAGACTGGACCTGTCGCGTATGACCTTTCAGCTTGCGCGCGACTCCATTAGTCTCGACGTCAAAGATCACAACTGTGCCATCGACGCGGCCAGCAGCAAGGAAGTCGCCTTTGCGATTGAATCTAACACAAGTCGCGTGGCCGCTGCGGAGACTGCCTGTTGTAGACTCTGGGTAATCTTGGGCGAGTACGAAGGGATCGACGAGGGAGAGATTCATGTCGCCAGAGTTGATTGAATATCGTTGAAATCGTGTTGTCGCATTGAGGTTGGAAGTAGTTGTGTTGACAAGGCTGGCGACTTTTTTCGAACCAGGGTTTGGCGCGAGGCTGAAAGTGAGGGCCACTCACCACGGCACAGCAACTGAGATACAGTCAGACTTTCTCTTCCTTCTCAATTTTTGAAGACTACAAGATCTTTGTCGCTCCTTTGATCATTATAAGCTAGAGCAAGTCTCTTCGAGATCCCAGACTGTCCTTTCTGCTCATCTCACAATGGTGGCTCACATCCCTCTCTTCTATCGGATCGTCTTCCTCTATATCGATCCCTTGATCTGCCTTTCAGGAATCTATCTCATGTTCTTCGACCACCAGACCTTCGTTGTGAATGGCACTCCGAGTTCTTTATCGGCCTCTCTCTCCAAGGTCGACCCTCTAGCAGCACATCTCATCATGAACATTGGCCTGTATTCGATTTGCATTTTCTCCTTGCAAGTCCTCCTCCTTCACCAATTTAAAGACGCTCCGAACGGATTGAATGTGAAGCTATGGCGTATCCTCATGTTCTCTATCTTACTGATAGATGTTGGACTTATATATGGTGGATATTCTGTGAATCCGAAGGCGTTCTTGGATTTTGGTGCGTGGACAACTGGGGATTGGGGGAACAACGGTATTCTGGCTGCACTTGTTGTGATTAGGAGTGCGTTTATTTTGGGTATCGGAGGAGTGGGGAAGAATACTTGAGTTTGATTCATGACTTTGGGACATGTTATTCTCCGCTCTACCACTAATTGAAGACTCCCCTCTTCTGCTGCTTGTCCTGGCGACTTTCATATGCTCTAAGTTGCAAAAGTTCCTCAGATGAGCAACCAACGTGACGGGCTGCAGGGTACAATTCCCATATGAATCATCGACAAGTGTCGAGTGATTAAGGTCACAAGAAAGTCTCTTCTCTTATCATACAAGCTTGAATAAACTTCTTTCGACGATACCATCTAACCTTGTTATCCTATCATATACATTCGTTATCATAACACTCTATCCATCATCAAAAACACGCTCAAAAGCTATCCACTCTCCTAGGAGCAAACGGCACACCCTCTTTACCCCTCACTTCATCCACCACCCATCTCATCTGTCCATTCGGATCTCTTCTCCACCCATACGCATAATTCTTCCCCAATTGCTTGATAGCCTCATCCCTTTCTTTCGTCTTCACCATCGATAGACTCTCAAAGTCTCTGCTCATGCCGGTACCAGCCACATAAGTCATCACCGCCGCGATAGTATCGGGCGGTCTGGTCAGCATTGGTAGCTTTCTCCTCCAAACATTTACAATCAATAGTTGTGCCACCATTAAGGTCAGGATAGCGAGACTGAGAACACTCCAGAATAGGAATTCGCCGCGCTGTTGTCCTGGCCTATAGGGTAGTCCGGCTAGGGCTATGATGAGGAACTCGGCAGCGAGGCCGGTAAAAGCTACAGATGCGGCTGTGAAGTGACCTTTCCACAGAAGTGGAAAGAAAGCGGTTATTGGGAATGTGTGTTTCCGAAGCAAAATCGTCGGGTCTGGTTCTGCATCACCTCGTCCGAGGTCGATATATGGAGTGAAGGTTTGCATGTCTGCAAGCACGGGTCAGTGTTTGAATAGTGTTTGAATAAGGAGAAAAGAATAAGAAGTGAGGTACATACCTCGGAACAGTCGTCCCCAGTAAGACGAGACGAGCGTACCAAGCACAGCCAAAAAGATCCTCATCCCCGTCCCTGAAGCAGCGGCCGTAGCCAAGAAAACGACCTGCGTTTTATCTACACGACTCAGCGCTGCACACGTCAAGCCCAACAACGCCAACAACAGCATCGCGAATACAGTATCAAAATAGAACCTATTATTCCTCCAATCATTAATGAAAGGGATCTTCTCTTTTAAAGCCCCAAGCTTCGAGAAGAACCCATCTTTCCTTTGTCTCCGCTGAGCCATTTCCTCGGTAGACATAGGCATGATGCCAAATTTCACGATCCCGCTATCAGTCTGGAAATTCCCTAACTTGTATTTCCTCCCTTTCAATCTCCTGCGAAGTTCCGCGACTGTGAGATCAGCTGGGACATTGGAGAATTCTTCTTCAATTCTCGGATGCCCCATTACGACGGCAACTCCAGCAATGCTGGTTGGATCCGCACTCAACGAATTCGGCTTCCTCCACCATTGCGAAAGCATGAACAGGAGGGCAATAGCTTGGATGATCAGAGTAGTGATAATCACATTGATGACCCATGGATTGGCGGACAATCTAGGCGGACAAGGAACATCTGTGCAGTACGACGTATCCAAGAATGTCGCACCGGCCGTGAACCCACTGCCAAGATTCGCAATTAGCATAGCTAAGTTGATCGGAACTGCAATTCCAGGCGAGCCAGCAAGAGTTGAGAACGGTGCCCCGCCTGGGCTTGTGAGCTGGCGGACGGGTTCGTGAAGGAGCATTGTTTGATAGAAGGGAGTGAGGAATTGTACAAATATGCGACCAGCGATCACAGGGACGTAGTTCCCTACTACAACTTGAGTTATAGGGAAGATGTCGAGACCTGAATTGGTAGGAACATCGGAGCTGTTTGTATTGGGATTTCCTCCGCCCCCACCTCCGGTAGCTGAGGGCGAGAGCGTTATTCGACTACCTGGTGGGAGGGTGCCTGTGGTTGAAGCCTCGTCAGATTGTAGAAGACTAGCTAATGAATCTGTGGATGAGGGTTGGCTTGTAGGCGATGGTGTTGAAATAAGATGAGCGGTTGGAAGGGTTGCAGAATGCTCGGAGGTTGATAGTGGTGTTTTGGAGGCTGAATCGATGGATGCGGACGCAAGTGTAGAGATTTGGGATGATATGCTTGCTGAAAGAGAAACTAGAGATGGTGACACGGAAGACGTAACCAGTGTTCCTGGTGAAAACTTCGGAGTTGGTGACGCTGCCGGTGGAGTCGTTGGAGGAGTGACTGAAGGAGGGGTGTTACTACTTGGAGAAAGAAGAAGTACAGGTAATGGAGTTGTGGGTACTGGCAAGGTCGATATGGACGTCGTTGGGATTAAGGGTACCGGCGATGTGGAAAGAGATGGAGCAAATGTCACGACGGCGAGCGAGGAGGTTGTTGGGACCAGTAGCGTACTTTGAGTAGAGGAAAGGGGCAAAGGCGTCGGTGAGACGACCACAACCACGGGTGACAGAGTTGTGGACGACAGAGATTTGCTAGATAAAACCGAGGATGTCGGTACAATTAATAATGTCGGGGTAGTCGATAATATCGGGACAGTTGATAATATCGGGACAGTCGATAATGTTGGGAGAATCGATATACTCAGCGATGGTGTTATAACCGAAGATCCTGGGACTCCTGCAACACTTGGGTTGGAAGATGTGGATACGAGGACCGGTATTGAAGACGTGGGACTGATAATGATTACTGGCGGCGGAGATATCGGGGCTCCTGAGCTAACTAAACTGGAAGAACTTGAAAGCGTGGAGCCGAGAATTAATGTACTCGACGAGGACAGTGCAGGAAGCGACGAACTGGTCGATGGAGACACAAGTAAGACTGGTGGTGGTGAGGATGAGCTTAGAGGAGAGAGTGTGCTGCTCGGACTCGACGTGCTCGGCAAATATATTGAAGTAGGCGAATTGGTCGGCGGTGTGACCACTACGATTGGCGATGCTGGTGAGGAGCTGGTGCTCACAACAGGCAGGCTTGAACTAGAGCTTGGGGTGCTGCTTGGAGGGGCTGTAATCGGAATTGAGCTATTCGATGAGATAGTAATCCCGCATCCTCCTATGGAGGCAAATATAGTCGTACAGTTGATGATCGGCTCTGGTCCACCGCTCGGATCTACAGTCCCAGTGAAGAATCCCCCTATCGAGGCTATTGCTGCTCCGACGTTTCCTGCAGGCGGGATAGTGGTGCATACAACTTCTGGGCTGAGGCAGGAGTTGGTGCTAATGGGGATGCTAGAGGTGGGAGTGGGTGTGATCTGACTCGACGAATTCGAAGAGAGTGTTGATACTGGAACACTGCTCGAAGAATTCGAGGAGCTAATCGTCCTGATTGGAAAACTGGAAGAATTGGACGAGAGTGTAACTCCACATCCAGGTATGGTAAAGAAAGAAGTCGCACAGTCTGTTGCCAGTTGTCTTCTTCCAATCACCTGGGACGTTGTACAAGATACTGCGCTCGAGATGCAAGATGGCAAGCTGCTCGTTGGCGTTATTATCGGGGTTGAGATGGGAGATGTTGAATTAACACCACAGCCTGGGATGGAAAAGAATGATGTTGCACAATCTGTCGGGGCCTGTCTCTTGAAGAGGGTGTCTGGGCAAGAAACTGTGCTTGTTATGCAAGGTGGAAGACTGGTTGGTATTGTAGGGTAAGAAGTCGTGCTGTTATCGACAGGAGATACGATATGTATTGGCACCGACGTTGTTGGTGGTGGTTGAGTGGATGAGATAATAGTGACATTGTGTACGCTCGATGTTGGAGTGACCGATACCAGTGTTGACGAAGGTAGACAGCTGGCTTGTGTGGAGAATCTGGTGACACAATCGGTTTCTCTACAAAAGACAGTGCTCGTTATGCATGGATTAATGCTCGAGGTTGGGGTTGGGATAACTGAAATAACGATTGATGAAGGAAGGCAACTCGCTTGCGTTGAAAATAGAGTGACGCAGTCTGTCTCGACGCAAGATACTGTGCTAGCCACGCATGGATCAGAGCTCGAAGCAGGTGTGGGGGTCGGAGAGACCGAATAAGAGCTAGATGAAGGCAGACAGCTTGCCTGTGTCGAGAACAGGGTATAGCAATCGGTTTCAATGCACGACACCGTGCTGGTAATGCATGGGTCAAAGCTCGAAGTTGGAGAGGCCGAAATAACGCTCGATGACGGAAGGCAGCTTGCTTGCGTTGAGAACAGAGTGACGCAATCTGTCTCGATGCAAGAAACCGTGCTAGTAACACAAGGGTCGACACTCGGTGTAGATGTGGTGATCGGTGCGACTGACGAAGAGCTGGACGAAAGTAAACAGCTTGCCTGTGTCGAGAATAAGGTAAAGCAATCAGTATCAATACAAGATACTGTGCTGCTAATACATGGGACAGAACTCGAAGTCGGAGTAATACTTGGAGGACCCGATATTGCAGGGAGGCAGCTTGCCTGTGTTGAGAACAAGGTAAAACAATCAGTCTCAATACAAGAAACTGAGCTGGTGACGCATGGGTTGACAATCGATGTTGGAGTAATGCTTGGAACGCTTGGAAGGCTCGACGTTGTTGGGAGACAACTCGCTTGGGTCGAGATTACTTGGTAACAATCCGTCTCAACGCAATAGACTTTGGTAGTGACACAAGGATCGCTACTAGATGTGGGAATAACGGGTGGAGAGCTGGATGGTGGAAGACAGCTCGCTTGTGTAGAGAACAAAGTAAAGCAGTCCGTGTCAATGCACGATACCGTGCTGGATATACAAGGGTCTACACTCGAAGAAGATGCGGCAGCTATCGATGAGCTTGGTGGAAGCGTGATTACGGGGGCGTTGAGACTTGATGTGATTGAAGAGGATGTGAATGCTAATCCCGTGGAACTCGAAGCTGCTCGCACCTCAGTTGCTAAACAAAGCATGAGCCTTCGATATACTACAAGAGTATGCGCGACTTACTCTCTACCACCAATGTTTCTGTAATATCGGTTTGGGGGTTTCTTGGCTCTAGAGAAACATCTCGTCGCCAAGTTGGATGGAATTGAGACTTGGAACCATCTGGCAAGGTCTTCTCCAGGAATATCATGAGACCGATGAAAAAGAGTGTTACGGCGAGACCTCCAATCATCGTATAAACACGAGTCCATAGAGGTCGCGCGGAGGGGTTGCCTCTGCCTGCAGCCTTGCTTAGCAGATGGCACCTAGAGAACATCGACGAGTTACTCACGTGAGAGCTTGACTTTCCTCTCCCCCTCAGCCTCATCCTCGGGGTTCTTCCTCGAAAACATCATGACTAACAATGAATGGAATAAATACGATATGAAAGAATGTAGGGAGAAGAACAAGTTCAGTTATACGATTAAACGAATGGAACAGGCTGCATAGCAGCTAATTTTTCTGCATTGAAATCGCAAACAGAAAAAAGCGAAAGCGTGACACAAGACTGGCAGTGCCCTTGAGGTATATACGCCCGAGATCTCGGCGCGACGGTGAAAACCCATGCAATGCTGAGTTTATTTTTGTCGAGGAGACTTTGAAGTTCCTCGAGGCCGAAGGCTTGCAGTTGTACCCGGGAAGCTAGCCAATCCAAACAGGCGCGTTGGAACAGCTGAAAATATTGAGGTTGTACCTGCATTTTCTGGCCAATAAGAGAAGTGAGGCTGTGCTTCGATGGCTTCTTTCGTCCAGTCTTTGTGCGTTGATGGAAGACCTTTTTTGTGGCAGAGGGGTGTTCTGCGACACTGAAAAACAGATCATCTCATGTCTTGACACCTCGAACGCGAAGGTGTTGGGATGAAGAGTTGCATCGTTACGAGAACCGATGATAGTGTCTGGCTCTAGGTAGGTATTGCGTATGGAAGGAACAATGATTTGTAACATTATTCAATGATCGACTGCATTTATTGAAAATATGCACACTCGAGGATAAAAGTGGTCGATTGACTGCCTGTTGGGACACTGAACCTTGAGAAGATAATCGGATTATGGCATCGTGGTTGTTTAGAAAATGATACAAGGCTTTCCAGCCATTCTGTTTCAGGGTCCTCCCGCTTTTCAAGCCACCTCAAGGAGACAGAAAAGGGGCCCACAGAGGACGCCTACCTAGAGGTAAATATGCCTAGGGGCTTGAAGGGCTGAGATTGTGGAAGGTTCCATGAATCAATCAGATATCCGAATGCGCTATCGTGGATCTTGGGCGTTGTGCCTAGGAACGGGCGCTACACAGGAGTTGCCATCGATCTTGGCGGCTTGTGAGTGAATAATGTCCATAGGTTAGTGTTACTGAGTGATTGGATAGGAGTTATAATCTCGCAGCTGTCAGCAGAAACTTGCAAAGCTGTGGACGTGTTTTTAAGGTTAAGGTTTATGCTCCCCGAATTACCTAGGTAAGCTAAAATAGATCAAACCTCACGTGATGCAATTACTGCTTCTCGTTTATGACGATACAGTCAACAGTGTGAAGACTTTGATAGCTTCCTGATTTCTCTTTCCGTTTGGTAATAGTGATAGACACAAGAACTCAAGACCCAGCAAGTACCTAGGATATATGTCACGTGATACTCGAATTCTCTACCAAATCTCTCTGCTCTTTCTCTCTCTTTGAAAGAAACGCAGAGCAGAGGCAAATCATATCAAGAGATGGTGCGTCCAAGCCCATTAGATCTAAAGTTAACCCGGAGCCATTTTCAGAGACGGCCCGGATGTTCTCCTTGCTTCTCGCCCTAAATCCCAGACCCTGAATTTATCCGGATCCTTCAAGACTTCGGGACAGAGCTCAAGCTGCCGTCATGAAGATCTAGATTCGAAAGAATGTTCCGCTGTGGAAACGCATGTCAAAGTCCTCTCTCGACCGTGCCCCGTCCACACGGCACGGAACGCCGCTAAAATGAAATTCAGGGTTCTTTGCGAGCTGAAATGACGAAGATTTTGCTATAAGGTTATGTTCTATGCAATGGAGAAAAGGAGGATTATCGTTTCTATGTACGATCCTTCAGGGCATAATCGGAATTGTAGATCTTGTGATGGTGGTGGGAATTTGTTACCGGTGGTGTTTGACGATAACTTGCATTAGCTGGCGGATTATTACTCGGGGATGATTTGAAGGGGTGACATGGAATCTGCTATATGACGATCTCGGGCCTTTTTTGAGTGATTTTTTGGGGAGACATTATCTGTTAGGAGCACAAAATGACTTCTTGAAAGCTGAAGGTAATGGTGAGATTTCATTTCTCGTGAGGTGTCTTTGTCTACGTAGATTGTGTCATAGTGACTGACTGTCGTATATCATTACCGTGAACGCCTTGCCCAAGTCCATACCAATTCATATCCCATTTCCCATTATCATGTGGTTATAACCATTAATCGTAGTCATATTTGTTGCTCGTATTCTCCCTGAACCACTGAAGTAAACATAGAAACTTAAGCGGTCAGCTTTCACTACTCCCTGCTTCCGTCTGCAATTCTCCTTTGATCGTGTCTTCACTTTCCGAGCTCGACCTTCCTGTTGTCAACCCCTCATCTTCACTACTTGTGAAGTCCAGCAAATCAGCAGTGAACATCCCCACTACACTCAGTCGACTCCTGCTACTATCTCTCTCATGCTTTCCTTTTGTCAACGTTCTCGTCGGCCACTTCAATGTCGGAGCTTCAGTTGCCACTTCCATCGTCTCTTCTTTTTCTTTCCCTTTTCCTTTGCTGATGGATGACATGAGCTGAGGAATATCTACTTGCACCACATCTTCCACGCTGTCTATCCGAGTGTGTGTCCCATGGGAAATGTTTTGAGGGACTTGTACCTGAACCACATCGCCAACATCTGCCATCCGAGACGGCGCACGAAACGGATCAGGTATAGCTGGAAGGTCCTTCATGGTTTGAACCTCAAATGTTTTCTGCACGTATATCTCACTCTTGACACTAGCTATCGAGCCCGATCTCGAAGGCCTCGTGGGGATCGGCGACATGATGGCGTTGAACCTCATAATCTTGGGAGGTGGAGGTAAGAACCTTGAGGTGAATGTTTGAGACGCTGTATAAGTGTTTGTTCTTGTAAGAGAGTTCGTGAGACCATTCTTTTCTGTTGGACTGGAGGCGCGAGAGGATTGCGAGAAAAGGTTTGGGATGAGACGTTTCCCTAGAGGTCTCAGTGAAGAAAGCGAGGCGCAAACGATTCCAGTATCGACTTCAACGACGCTCCAGTTAAGTGAGCTCACCGTTTGATCTGTGAACATCAACGAGTCAGAAAGTCGCCAGCTGGCTAATATGCATTCGATAGAGACTTACAAGTGACATCAGAACCACTGCCAAGATGATTCAAGTGAGCAAGTCGAAGAATGCTTGCAACGCAGGCAAAAGTGCCCATCGAAAAGAGAATGATTAGTACTGTTCGTTGAGGTTTGGGCACTAAGATTGTCAGCAACATTTCTACAAGTGGTACCTCCAACAAGCAACAGAGATTGGAAGCATGTCAGACTTTCTGGAAGTAGTAATATGGGGTTTCCGTATACTTACATTTGAGAGCCCACAATGTTGGGATAGGCAACACGCACAATAACACATCCGTTGCAATATTGAATGCCGAGGAAGCGTAGAAGAAGTTGACAATCGGATAGCAATGACCTTTAAGATTGTAATCCCAAGCCGCAGAAACCGGAACACAGGTAAAAATAATCGCAAAGATTGAGGATATCCAAAAGCACAGAACCACGATTGCAGTTCCATAAACCGTGTTGCGTAGAATGCCATGTGGGAAGATTCTGACGTAGGTAGCCATGATCGAAAACTTGGTGAAGGTAATGGCTGTCGAGTATGAAAGATAGGCGCCATAAAGAGCTTTCGTGATCTTGCCGGTTGCGCTTGGGATATCGGTAAGAACTGGGGACAAGTTCCATATGTGCTTTCCCAGGCCAAGGCTCTCCCCAACCAGACTAGATATTGAAAGAAACGTGGCAAATATGAGAGCAACGATGATAAGGACTTTAGAGCTGTCAGTTAATAGAACTACAAACTTCTTTGCTAGAACTGTACTCACTATCATCAAGTCCCGTTGACCGAAGCATCCGGAACCGTACCCATAGCCGTAATCCAGTTGTCACACATATGAAAACTAGGAATACACTGTTGATAGTAACAATCGAATTCTGGACAGAGCTGTTGTCCTGCTTCTCGTGAGTGAGATAGGGTATCAGATCTGGAGGTATCGTTGACGTCGACATAGTTCCTTCTACTGAAAATGACCATAGATGAACCCGCGCTGCTTGATGAGAGGTGGACGGAGCTTTTAGGATAAATGATAAGAAGTGTTCCTGCAGTTGATGCCGCATCTGCATTCGCGGCTCAATTTGAAACATATAGACATGAAAGGCCCGTGGCTGGTTTCCCAGACTAGGGATAGGAATAGTGGGCGAACTGGTCTGTGACAAAGGCTAATGCGCCCTATAGCTATAGCCCGCAAAGACATGTCGGACAAGGTCTTTGCCGCCCGCCAAAGTTTAATGGTGGTGGTATACCAGTAGCATGCTGAATTGACTATGTTGAAACTCGAACATCGTGAGAACTCGCTACATTAGGTCTAGAGGTCCGACAGGAGGTCAGTGTCGTGACAGAGTCAAACTATCATGCATCGATAGCGGTCGATCCGGGTCTGTTGGCTGGTGGTCTACGCTCATTCGGGCGGGGGGGGGAGCTTCAAGCCTGACCCTAGTGGTGGCGGGAAATCAGGCTATCTGCTCGAGTACCTGGAGAGCTTTAGACCATCTGAAATAACTTGGAATGGCGTTTCTGCTGAAGCCGTCTGGCAAGCAAATGTGCACTTACCATAGAAGCCTTCGGAGACAGCGACGTCATCTAATCCAGCCTCGCTGCACATCGTCCTAATATGCTTGAAGTTATAACTTCCCAGACACAAAGATGGATGGTTCTGCTTGTCGTTGTTTCTCTTTGTTCAGAGAAAGGGGGGTTCGAAGTCCCCCTCCCCGAGCGGACGTCGGCATGAGGCGTTGGCTAGTGTATTGTTCTCAAACCCTGTTTCTTGACTCCGGCATGCTGCGAACAGCTGGATCATGCATCAAGGGCATCTCGAAGGATTGGTTACTATATCATTAGTACTCGTAGTGTTTTCTAAGAAAAGTCTTGGTCTCGACAAAGAGGTTGGATGTGAGTGGAGTGGAGCACTGTCGCTAAAAATGTCCAGCGCTCGGTCCCCTGATCAGCATGCACAGACATCGGAAATCACCCACCAACCCCTCCAAGTAAGGAACAGCAGCTCGTAGAACACGGAATTCTTCACCGAATTACCAACTGCTGTCAGCCTGACAGAGTGGCAGCTCAAGATGTACATCTGAGCTTGCGGCCTCAAAGTTTCAATAGTCATCACGAGGCCGCTAGACCCTCTCCGCAGTAGTGTTGTATGTGGGAGACGAGACCTAGCAACAGATCCCGCTCCGGGCCTTCTGGGGGACGAACGAGGAGATGCGGGACGATTCCAAAAAGCCCGGAAAGGCTATTATATTCAAGGGTATGCTCCCTTAAGCCGCATGACTGTACATTGTACAAGACGAACGATCTGCTTGGTACACTGGACGACACCTTCCAAGGTCTTCTGGGAGGAACTCTAAACTTCAGACAGCCGTTGTATGAAATCCGCTGTCAAAGATTGATGGCTTGTGACTAAAGATGGGTCCGTCGAAAACCGGACCTTGTTTGGGTAAGCTTTAGCCTTCCAGGGCATAACGTATTGCTGGGACGTCAGGAAAGCTACCTGGTGACCCATCGTTGTCCAATCATCTGAAGAGCGCATTGTGTAAACATGACGGGCAAGGAGATAGCTTGGTACACCGCTTTGACTAGTGCAGCGAAGGGTGGACTAAGTTCGCAAGGTGGATTTACCACTTCCCATCATCCCACGCTGTGAGGGACACAGGCAGCTCGGTGCCCAGTGCTTTCGATGGAAGTAATAAGGCAAGCGACAAGTAAATGCACTTAAAAACCATGGGAGTTGCTTATATTGCTGCCAACGACTTGATAGCAAGATCCATCGAGAAGTTGAGAGTCCGAATTGAAAGGACTCTGATAGCTGCGCGAATACTCAACGACATCATCCCGCCTAAGCTCGAGCCATCGTCACGGAACGAAGTGACAGAAAAGGTGCTGCTTGCGAAGAGAGAGGTCATAGCACAGCGAGTGTCCTACAAGTACAGCGCTTTTCCAACCCGCGAGATCTTAGTCCGAGAATTGAACCTTTCGGGGATTTTATACTCAGCTTCAGCTATGTTCGCCCGCATGCCCGAACACCGGAGAAGCCGTGCAAAGACCTGCTCCTCCGAATGCCGACGAAGAGGTTGGAGTGGGCAAGATCTTTCGACTTATTCCCGGGAAGAGACGGAGACTGTTTCCAGTGGCAGTTTTAAAGTGGTCGGTTTATGATGTTGTCGAGGTTATCGGTAGTTTGAATGTTGTTCGCAGTCCCATAAGTATACAAAAGAAGGAGGCACGACTGCACCATCGCTTGGGAGGGGTTTTCTCATGGACCCATCTGCATCTAGTGTGCTCACTAAAGAGTTCATGCAGCTTTCATGTAGGCTGTCAGTGCAGTCAACACGTTCTAGACGATTCCTACTCACAATTTGCACCCAATTGACTTTCTCAATTTGCCCGCTCGAAGAGGTCATAGTGAGCACTAGTGTGTTCTTTTGAATGTACCTTACAAATACGAAGCTTTTCTTGCTAGATCTCCCCCACCTGTTCGTGAAGCAGAATTTGCTTTTTTATCCACTTTCCCAGAATTGGGACTTTCTCCGATCTCCAAGAGACACGTTCACCGGGCACATCGATCGAAAAGAGTCATGTTATATCAAGTGACCTGAACATAATTCCAGCAGAAGTTGATCTTTGCGCGAAGGTTGTTTGAACATGAAATTGTACACGCACCCATGCATTGGAATTTGTAAGCCCTGGACTGTAAGGGCAATAATTGATCAGGAATAGTGAGTCGCTAGTATTTCCTCTTACTTACGAGGCGATTGGGCCAACTTGGGCACAAGGGCTGCAAAAGATGGAAAGACTCGAACTCAACCAGTACGGAGTAAGTACGCTTGACCGACTTTGTGGCGATTCAAAGGATCCTTTGACCGTCGCAGCGTGACAAGGTCTGTCTTAGTCGTGATGAAGATCATCTTGACAACGACAGTGAATTCTAGCCTCGCTTGATGAAGTTGATGGCATCATGATGAGGGGCATTCATCAGATAGCTCGGAATATGTGCATGTTCTTGCATATGTGATGGACATGCAACATTCCGCTCATATCACTTCCGGATCTGAGGACGGCATTGGACACAACCTTCAGCTTCGGTGGCGGCTCTCGGTGTATTAGTTACTTGACAGCCCAGTAAACAGTCTTAAGGAAAGATTGGAAGTGATACTCGCTCCTTTCAGTTTGAAAATTCCACTCCATATTCATAAACTAAAGTGCAAATTCTCGCTGCACCGCATTCATTGGAATAATCCTCTTGGAGCCACTGGGGGATCCTGACATATGTGCATATGAAGCACTGTCTTTGATGGCATCATATCCTCGCTGCTCAATGAGCCATACTCGAGCTGTATGTATATTGTTTTGGGCACTGCTCACAACTGTATGTTGTGTTGCTCTGTAGTACGCTGGGGTCGCGTATAGCGCACCCAGCGCACCCAGCGCGTACAGCGCAAAACGCGCAATCTGCACTAAAACATGAAATACACAAAAGAGACAGAAATCTTGAGGACACGAGCTGATGATTATGCTCTAGTTTTGACTTTGACAGTGGAGCAGACAAAGTCGAAAATTAGTCACCGGGATACGGTGAAGTTGAACCTTTCGCTGGATGGTCTGGAAGATGTGCATCTTCTTGCACCGCTTATACTCTACCTAGTCTGAGCAGGGATTACAGATCCATATTTCAAGTGTTTATAGTCGATCTCAGAATACTATTTACTTGACAACTAAGTAAACATTTTCAAAGAAAAGCTGATCAACCCTAATGTCGAAAATGTAAAGCGCAATCCACGCCGCGAGAGTTTCTTTCAGATAACTATCCTCTCGGCTTAGAGAAGAGTGTATTTAGTTCTTTATGCTTACATCATATAAACTTCTCGAGACTGAACTCTTCGACGCATGCGGAAATCAAGTACAACGTCTTTTGTTCTGTCACGTGATACTCAATGGCTCCTTTGATATGGAGAAATTCTTTATCTGCCTGTGCATAAAAGCACAGTTCAGATATCAAAAACTATTAAGATTTCATTTACGCCAAGTTTACACCAATTGCAGAAACATCAATATATGAAACCCAGTTATCAGTACTGCAAGTATATAGCTATATTTCAACAATGTCTGCCTTCGAAAATTTGCCGAATGAGATAAGTGCCATGATCTGGGAAATGGTCGACGAAGAAGCACAAGGAGGAATTATCGAAGTTGCTTTCACACGCACGCCTACTTATGAAACGCCCGTGGAGGGAGACCCGCTCGAGTCCTCTGGAGATTTCGCTGCTTTGCAAGAAACCCATCTCCTCTCTTGGGCGTAACAACAGCCGGCGTAACTACAGGCGATTGCATCCACAAAGAATTCGTTTAAACAACGGTCCGAGGGTTTACTTCAATGCTACAAAAGACACGGTGTTTTTTGACGCATCATCTTTCGGCGCTCTTTGGTATTATATGGTGCGCCACAGAGCAAACTTCGCGCAGCCTGCCGCTTGGCGCCTAAAGGAATGACTAATGTTCTGACATATGGCTTTTACCATCCCGCCGGATTGACTTCCAACAGAGTAGGCTTGCAAGACACAAGAAATGCGACAGGCGATTTGCGTAACATAACAAGCATACGTCTACCCGGACATCGAGGAATCATGCCACAAGCCTTTCCAGGGGCGCCAGTATTGCCAACTCTCCTTGGCTTGATGAAGACTGAAGTCCGAAGTCAGCTTTTTTTGCTACGTGAAAGTAGGAAAAGAGACGGAACCTACCGATATACAGCCGCGCAGAGGGGAGTGATAAATACTCAGCGGTTAGGGGTGAATATGGACTTCAACTGGTTTGATTTGGTGGTGGGGGCTGCACTTGACATCCCTGAAGGGCCGTGAACTGATGGTGGGTACTTGATAGATGGCGAATGGTGATCTTGGTTTATTTTTCTCGTCTTCGGTGAGGTTAATGTTACTGAGTAGTGGAGATGTGATGCGCTCTGCTGGAGTTCTGTACTGTTCAATGAAATGACAATTGATTTGAAAATGCTGCTGCCAAACTTTGCAGGAATGCTTTCCGTTTCAGATTTTTGAAAGGGCTTCGATGATTTGAATGTCAAGGCATAACGAGGGGGAATAAAAGTCCAACGCTCATAGCGGATCACCAGAGATATGATTATGCTTTGAAGTGGAATATTGGAAAGGAGACACCTTCACAGCAGACTTCTCCTAGATATGGAGGACACTCAAGCTGCTTTGCAGTCTCCTGAGCGCAAGGGAACTTTTGAATTGAAGGGTATGCCACTGGGCATGTTCTCTTTGTCGTGACAGCATCTGCGAAATTGGACTTGAAATCAAGCATAATCGGCCTGCGGGAGGCAAAAAAAAAAGGAGGTCGTGCAGGGTCTTGGCACGTGACCGTCTCCGCTCCGCTCCGCCTCGCATGGTGTGGGGTCATTTAAGGTTAAAGTACGGATGCCAACATCTTAAATCTGCATTCATCCAAGTACAATATACCTTATCTTTCTCTAGTCTTTTCGACTCTCCATCAATCATTCACCCCCCGACAATGATTGTTGCTGATTCATCTACAATGTTTGAAACGCGGAAAACCAAAAACCAGCTACTGTGCCGCGCCAAGACTGTCTTTTAGTCAAAGCTAGTAAATTGTAATCAATGCGGCGAGAAAGCTCGTGTCTCTCGCCTTCTCACTGCAACCACTTCAGCAAATTTTCCTTCTTACACCTCCTTACTTTCGTTCCATTCTCTCTTTCGTCTCCTTACCACACTCGTTCAGCATAATTGTACAGTAAGAAACATTCGGAACCCCATCATCATGCATTCAACAACCATCAGCGTCCTCGGCCTGGCACTGGCAACACTCTCTTTGGCACAATCGTCCACAATTTCCCTCTTTATTCCCGGCGCAGATTCGCAATCCCTCGTTGCCTCCATTGTCGGCTCAGATGCTACAGCAACGACCTATGCATTCCAATGTGCTCCCGGCACAGACGCCGATGACTGCGGATTTCCTGAAGTCGTTACACTCACAGAAGGTCCGGCCATAGCAGCATACACCTTCGCTCCTGAAGTAGATGCCAACGGCACTACTGCTTTGTAAGTTATCTCTACTTGGCGTTTTTCACACTCCTGCGCTCTTTGAAGATCACTCCTGACTGATAATCCGTCCAGTGCCGGTTACGTCGATTGCTCTCTCGCAGCGTCCAGTGCAGTGTGCGCAATTTCTGCTGGCGGCACAGAGGCTAACGACCCTGGCCTTGAAACTTCCACTCTCACGGGCACCGATTATAGCTACATGCCAGTTGTAATTACTGCGGGAGCATTGGCTTCAAACACAGGATCGAGCGTCCCTGCGAGCACGACGAGCGCACCCAGCAGTAGCAGCACTGGCGAGACATCGGGAACAAAGACATCAGGAAGCAGTACAAAGACCTCGGGAAGTCAGACTTCTAGTGGGACAGCGGCACAAACCTCTGGCTCGTCATCGAAGACTAGCACGGCTGGTGGGTCTGCGATTACTGGAGGGGCTGCTTGGATGGTTGGAGGGGCTGCTTTGGCTCTCGCCGCCATGGTCTGACTCGGTATGGGATTCTATACTATAGAACGAGCTTATAGATTTGTTATATCAATCGTGTAAGCCGGGGCTATATATATGTATATTACTAAGAGAGCGGGGAAGAAAACTTGGACGAAATGCACGCATCTGTAGCGGGTCGAATGGCATATAAAATCAATAACGAAATATACTAAAGTCTTTATATAAGTTTCACTTCTCCCCATCCTCAAAAGCACACACTTGAAAGCCATGTCTCGGTGCATGGACCCGCACAACTGCATCCCCAGCCGCTGTCTCTATAACCACTTCTTTATTGTCCATGCTCACAAGCTTACCATTATCCTTGTGTCGAGACCCGCTATCTGTTGGCCAAAGTTGTACAAACTGCCCTTTCTCAAGCCCTTGCTGCTTGACCACTGGGTCATTTTCATCCACCAAGCCTTCTGTCTCGTTGAATAGTGAGGTCACAATAATCTCCATAGCCTGCTCTCCATCCACCGTCTGAGGAGCAGAGATCAACTTCTCCGCACTCGACACCGTCCTCTGAAACCTCTCGATCCAGGAAAATACTCTCGGATACAAGACCCCTGAGATTTGGTCTGGAGGAAGTGCTCCAGGAACCGCAGAAATCCAGTGTAATAGCCACACAGCCTCAATATCTGCAATGCTCGGTCCATGTGTTCCGAGCACCCAATCCCGGCCGTCTGCTAGCAGCGTCGTCTCAAGGAACTCCACGACGTTCTTGACCTCGTTGATAGCGTTCGGTCGCGCTGCTGTCAATGCTTCGGGTGTGAAAACCATCATGCCCTCGAGAAGGTCAGCTCGGTCTCTAAGGAAGGCGGGGTCTTGAAGCTGAGGGAGATGTGCTGGCATTAGTTGGACGACGCTCTTAAAGAGCCCGCTGTCGATGGCGAGGACCTCGAGAAGGTGCTCGATAGCGCGGTGCTCAGGGGTAGCAAGTGCAGCTAGACGAGGCTTCGAGGGGTGGAGATGCTCTAGTTTCTGTAAGATGAGCCGGGTGTCGAGGTAGACGTCGCGGCCTATGGAGAGAATAGGGATACGTCTGTAGTTGATGCCCAGACGAGCTAAATCAGGTCGTGGGAGGATCCTTGGTTGCATCTAAGTCATAATTAGCTTGAGGTCTGCCTGGGGAAGGAACATGATCCTACACATTGGATATACGGAATGCCTCTTAGGGCCAAGTACCATATGATTCTCTTCGAAAGCGGAGATCCCAGGTGGTAAAGAAGTATAGGCAATTCAGATGCTGGAGACATCTTGACAGATTAAGGTTCAGTCCTTTATAGACTGGCGAATATAGCTGTCGTTTTGTTCACGAGTTTCTTTAGCTTTCTCGAATTGTTGTCAAGGGATGAGGTTGGGAATTGACAAGTGGGGGATCGTGCAAATTAATGCTGACTGCATAAGTACAAGGAAGCAAAAGCACATGCGGCGAGCATTGCCCACTAGATGATTGGAGGGGCTACGTTGGCTTTTGTTGCAATGATTTTATTCATTGGAGACTCAATGCGAGACTATCTAGGTTTATAAGAGCGGAACATTTATGCTCCTCTTTCACGGAGACGAGTCACAAGCCTCGCTTCTAATGCTCATATTTTCTACGTTTATTCTAACAAATTATCGATCAGATCTATAACGTATACTAGTCGGATTCAAAACAACTTCCAGATTCAAGGTGATACAAGTAGGAGTTCAATAGGGCAGAGTCGAGCAAGCGCCTCCTCCCGCAGGTAACGAACCTGGCCCGCCATCAGTGACGACTCCCTCGGCAGCAACTATCAAGCCATCTTCTCCTGCTTGAACCTGGACATTGAGATGGCGAGTCAGTATATACGGTTCACAGTGTGGGGTCCCGACTCTTCAGAAATAGGGACTTACCAACGCAGGGTACCAAATATTAGCCATCTTCATATACCCAACCTCATTTGGATGCGTTCCATCAATCATATCAGTGGTTGGAACAGAAGACATGCTTACAAGCCTAACGGGCTTGCCTGCATTGGATCTCGCCTCAATGATAGCAGGTAACTGGGAGTTGAAGACTTGAATTCGATCATTTACTGTCGAATTCGCATCGTTCAATATTTGTGCTACAAGGACAAATGTTGCAGGACTGTTGGAGAGGATCTTGTCAATTAGATTCCCGAGTCTAGCTGGAGCTTCATCCACAGTGTCGTCTCCAATCATATCGTTGGTTCCAGCGTGGAGCAGGACGACGTTGGCTTTTGGTGAGCCTGTGATTTCGGGATCACCGCTTGCACTGATTTGGTCTATGGTTTGCCCGATGAATCCTGTTGTTCAACCGAAGTCAGAATACATTATTGGCAAAGATCTAGGAGCCGAAGAGCCAACGAACTCATCCAATCAGTCGAAGCACATTTTTCTTCTTCACTAGCTCTCGATCACAATCATGAAGATCTCTGCTCCCAGAATAAATCCAAAACAAGGGCAGAATTTAACGTACCGTCAGTGGCGTTGTTTGGCCAATTGCCGTTACTTAGCTGCCCAATGTATTGGACGGGACTCCCTCCTTCTGAGAGAAGACATTGCAGGTCCCGACGATATGAGTTACCTTCTGGCTCGAGGAAACCGTAAGTGATCGAGTCTCCAAGAGGCAGAATTCGAAGAGCGGCCCCGTTGGCTACTGATCTTCGGTAAAATGCATTTATAGTTGGATGAGGCACTAGGTTTTGTCAGAGGTGAGCTTTCTTTGAGGAGATCTTACTCACGGGCAGCTGCTATCAAAGAAAATGCAGCAAACAATCGTGTGAACGGGGTATTAAGTATCATCTTGGACAAGGTGATTTGGGACGTCTTTGTCTGCTCCTGGTGGGCACATTTTGCTATTTATACCTTCCCTTTTATCTGTACTATTCTTTGCGACATGAGGCAAAGACTTCATACGCCTCATGCTAAAGCATAATAACATCATTGTAGATTGCACGAATACATGATTATTTTTAGATATGATCAATCCCAAGAACTTGGGAGACGGTAGTTCAGCACGTGAGAAGTTAGCGGTCAGCGCCATGCCCATTCTGGCACGGACGTCGATCCTTCGCCTTTTTCAACGACTGCTATCCAATTGAATCTCTTCTTTGGAAGTGTGTAGTGAGAATAATGTTGGTAAGATGGATTGGGGTCCTCTTGCAGCCACAGTTGAACGCATCCGAGATGACTCCTATGCAGATCTCCTACGTGATGATCTTGACTGTCTCATATTTACGACTAAAGCACAACATAATCTGCAGGTGCTACGATTTAACATGGATGAAGACGCAATCTACTCACACAAGTTGCCGGTGAGTTTTCATGAGCCCTGATTATCCCGACGAGGTTTTGGATGACTTTCATGTTCTGAGAGGATTCCTTCTTCGTAAATCATCAGCTTCCGAAAAGTAAAAATATGATGATCCTCAGCCTCGCCTCTAAGTTGCTTGACCCAATAGCCGTGGTTCGTGTCCTGTGCCGTATTGTCTGTCCAACAAGCATCCATTCTTTGCAAGTCGTGTCAGATTCAAAACCAAGCTCTAGAGTGATATCATGTCACCACTTGTTTGTAGCCTGCATGCACTTTGACATCAATGGGGCGCAGTCCTGCCCTGTCATGCCATCGGGCAACTTCGATCTCCAAGCTTCAGTGTGCTCAAAAGTTTGCTTGAATCATTCTGACCAGAAAATAAAGTTTTACCAATACGGCATTGCTGGCCAGTGATCCTCTGATTCTTTACCAAATTCGCTATTCGCATAAGCCCAAATACAGTAATACTGTGCATTCTGCTGTATGAAATACCTTGATCGCTTCCTAGTCTGAAATGAGCAGTAGATTCGATGCTTGGCTTTGGAAAAACTTCACAAGCATGCTGACGATGCTTGGCAAGAACTCGCATTCAATTTTACGGTACCTAAACTTGAAGGAAAAGCTCTGTCTAAATGCGCGTTCGAAAAAGGACAGACAGGGAAATCAATGTCTCGATTACTATCGAAGCTTCGAGGCTTGGAGAAAGCAAGCACGTGACTCGAGCAGGTGGAAACATCTAAGCGAGAGTGAAAAGGGGGGAGCGGGGAGATTATCTCAACATAACAAAATGGGAAGCACAGGCTCTAACAAAAGACAACGATAGATACAAAGTGCTGCTCAAAAGAACAAAGTTTCATGACATGAGAATTCGGGACCACGTAATGTTCAAAGTCCCTTATTTCAGGGACATTCTGAATCCACACCTCAATCTCTATATGATAATGCTATGGGATTAACATGTACCATGAATATACTTCTCGGCCAGTGGCTAACCAAGCAAAGCGCCTTTCTGGACAATACTTTAACATACTTGAAGATGAAATCAGACACCTCCGATGTCATGCACCTCGGGCTTGTGAATGTGCGCTGGCGCTGTTATGGTTTAGCGGAATCGCATACCACCAATACGAAGGACAAAACTGGCCCTCGATCTTTCAACCTTTTTCAACAACCCTCACAATTATTTTTCCCAACGCGCAAACTCATACTCCAACGATGAAATCTTTGATCATCGCAAGAGGAGGAACGAAACATCAAGTTGCGGGCGCAGGAAGTAGGGCCCCCTTACAGAATACTCACTGCGCGAAGGTTTCCCCAAAGGTGTGACAGATGTTCTTGGACTGGGTGAGTAGTTTAATGAAACATTTGGGCCAATGCCCAGAGCGACTGTAGACAAAACAAAGCACTCGCTCCAGGACTATCAAGGGCAAGTCTACTTAGTCATGCCTCGTAGCAACTTTTGAACCACTTTCCAGATTATTTCATCATTTTGGAGTGTTTCTTTCACGAAAACATTCGACCTTGCATCAAATAGTATTAGTCGCGTAGGACTGGGCATTGAAGTAGTTGGCATTCGAGTGCTCCCACGATCTGACACTATTACAAAGGACTTTATATCACGAGATCACCGCCAGGCCTTCGAGGGGACTAACTCAAATACGAAAGATAGGGTAATCTGAGTCTGAGGAGAGGACAGCTTGGCGATATCGATCGTCTGGAGTTATCAAGAGGATCCCATGTCAGGAAAGTGTCTTAGGGCTCTTGTTTAGCATGGCATAACAGATGGTACCTGCGTAGGAGGATATAAGTTGCGGATTAAGTGAAAGGTGTTCATTGTAAAAGCTTCATTCATCCGAGAACGTCTTCTGTAGCCATTATCATTCGAATTTGGGTATCCTACGGACATTGTGTTAGATATTCCAAGTAAAGGATTTTGACCCTTAACGAAATCCTATTCACTAACTGTTTTCATCACTAATAACTGATACAAGGTGAAGTGATTAGAGAGTAACAACTGTGGGGAATGGACGCAGTCAATGTATTCGAAAACGATATGATGTGCAGGACCATGATCTTAGTTTATGAAGATAGAAGATTCCTCGTAAGTTATCTATCACAGTCGCAAGGAATGAAGAGCGTTCGACATCTATCAGCTTGCAAAGTCTTCGGTGATTTAGGTCAATGTATTGAGCTGCTTTTCTTTTTGTTATCCAGAAGACAGTATATACTATCATTCATATGCAGCTTCATCGATCAAAGCTCAGTCCATTTCTTCGATGCCGAACTTGAAAAGAGCGAGAGGAATGATAGGCTCTTCATGATATTACAATGGTAATGGCCGAACGCGACGGTCGTCTACGACATCCACCCCGCAATGGCACGATTGTTTGACTTAGCGTATCATTTATCTGTGATATAGAGGACATCGTAGAACTTGAAGTGATAGAATAAAATTGGCTAGCAAGGCTTCGTGCAATAGAAGAGCTAGTCGATACAATCGCGAGAAACTGCGGTGGATGGATCAGGTTTTATTGCAATGACTCCGGATTTGCAACAACTGCCTAATATTTCTGAAAAAAGCTAAGAATCAAAATCATCATCCATAATTTACACATCGCAAACGTGAAGCATATGTGTTTATTGTGGGGCTTCAGAATGGGACTTAACCCACTCGTATTGTCCCACAAACTCTGGAACAATATTGTCCTGAATTCGGTTTCTTTCTGGGAACGTCAAGATGATGCCAACATGGCATTTGATCCAGCTTAAAGATGAGGTTTTAAAAGGTCTTCATCTCAACTTTAAGCCGTTGTGACAAGATCGATTCACCTATAAAAATAAGCGCCATTGGGTTTCGCGACGCTAAGACCATCTATTTACACTGCCCTCTTTTTCCACTTCCCTCTTCCTACATACAACTTACAACACGATTGGGTTCCGCGCAACTTGTTCTGGAAACTTACAGATTCCGCGCTTCGAGCACGAGATGTAAGCCATATATCCGTGCATCTCGATCTCTATACAATTGAGACTAACCACGGTGCAGTAGTATGGATTCTAGAGGACGGTGGCTTCCGGGCATACCGGTTATTCCGTGCTTTTCCAAGAAGTTTGGAGAAGCTCTGGAAGACGCATGCCGCATACATGGAGCAACATCCTGTCAAGAGAGGACCCTTCCAGAGGTACATGACAATCAAAGAGCTGTATGAGCGTGCCATTAGCGCGGCCTTCGACGCCATCAACAAAAAGAAGTTGGATGGCAATTTCGCTTTCATGACTCCACTTCAAAGATGTCAATAGATCGCGGAAGCCGAACGCAGAATCACCGCTGCTATTGCTGAGCAGAAAGATATCACCGAGTTCCTGAACAAAGATATTGCGACCCATAGGCAAACTCGAATGGAAGAGCAGGAAGCGAGCGACTTAAGCCTTGTCGAAAGTCTTAAATCGAACATTGATTTTATCAGTAGGCAGAAGATCCTTGAAGGAGCCATGTCAAGTACTGAAGGTGGGCCACAGGGTTTGGAGTCGCAAGATGAGGAGCGGGCTGTTGTGAAGGACAAGAGCATTCGTGGTCCGAAGAAAGGCAAAGCTGTATCTCAACAACAGTTTAGCACGAAGGTAAAATGCGAGCCAAATATCTAGGTTTTCGACGGAGATTTACTTACATTAACTCAAGGGCCACAAAGTCCCCCGGACGAACAAGTATGCGCATCTACGAAAACCCTCAGAAGATTCCCCTACCGATGAAGGTTCACCTGCCGACGAAGTTTCACCTGCCGAAGAAGGTCCCCCTGCGATGTAGATCAGATACGGGTCAATGCTGTGTTTATGATGGGTGCAGGATGAGGTATAACCCCAGGTTCGGCTGGTGATAGTGGACTTGTTGGTTTATATACGACCTAGATTAATGAGAGCTATAAGAATAATCATCTTACCGTCCTTGTGTGAAGACTTTCTCCCTGCTGGATTCGGTCTCTTTGTCCCCCAGTTCGTGAACCGATGTAGTTTTCAGAGACTAGATGTAATGAATCCTCTCATTCTCCCTACAATAGTGACTAGTCAGCCTTTGAAACCTTTCAAAGTATTGCAACTAAGTGGCTCTTATTATCCACTAGATATCTGTGCCAGCAAGGCCAAAAAGTTTTGTTGGCCTTTCGCGAAATACTTGAGACTCGATGAAGCCATGAAATGAAATATCGTCACATTTCACTTAAAGCGATCCGTTGTGTATTTCAAGTATTTGATTAATTCACCTTGGTTATGTTCAAATAAATGAATACGCCAACCAATTGACTTCTAGTTTGCCTGAGGGACAAAAGGAGAAAGGCAATGAACAGCATCCATTTTGAGCAGCAAGTATGTAATTGTAGCCAATTAATTATTGTTCCGTTCCATCCTTTCCAACACGTCGTAACAGCTTGAAAACCTCGGTAGTGATACATTCTTGATCATGCCACATTATCTCTCAGACTACCCGGCCCTAAATTGCGCCAATCCGTCGCAGCGTGCGTCGAAATAAGGTAGTTTGGCAGGTCTGTATGGCGGTTAATGCTAGTAGTGTGACCCAGCCTCTGAAATCGAGATTATATGAGTATTACAGCAGCTTCTAGGTGAAAAGTTAGCCTGACTGTGTCTATGGAGGGGATGATCCGAGTATTGATGACGCCGTTGAATATCCCAAGTAGGGCTCGTCTGCAATTTACCATAGCTTTTGAAGAGAGCAAGTCACAATGCGACTGTGCCCTCTGTCTGATGGAGTGAATCCATGGAGAAAAAATAATGAGCTATTGCCCAATTTTGGTTCCAAAAATTATGCCTAGAGCTTCCTGAAAAGTAAAATATCAAGGTAGATAGACTTTGTAGATACTTAGGTCTTGCGACCAAGATCTCCCCCTAGGACCCCAAACGAAAAGTTTACTCTGGCTGTTTCGCAAGATGACAGCGGCTCAGCTTGCGCCAAGTTACCCCCATCAAGCGGAAGTTCTTCAGAGCCCGGGTAACCCACAGCAGGTCTACTTTCGACATGATAGGTTTGGACGCCACCGCCAGACGCTCTCCAAATTCTATCCATGTTTACTTGAAGAAGGCCACCCCCGGAATGGGAGCATGATCTTCCAGGAACGCTCCAGAATAGACTTCCGGGCTCCTCTCTGTAGACAAATCAGTACACACTTTTGGCAGAAATCTGGAAGAGCCTGGCTCCTTAGATTGAATATAAAGCAAGGGAAGAATTCGACGTACTCGTGTGAAGACCCCTATGTCGCTTTGAAATGATTGCTCTTACGCCATGGCAGGCACACCTAGAAAAAGATCAGCATTGGTACTTGTAGATGCGCAGGTCTTGCGACCAAGATCTAAGGCCTCGCGACCAAGATCTTTCCCCCCGATCCCAAACTAAAATCTTAACGAGAAGACCCGGGTGATGAAGCCGGAAGACGATAGGATTCGCTCTGGCTTAGCAAGTGGTGTGGCGGCAGCTCGCGCTTGCGCAACTTGCGCGAGGCCCCCATCAAGCGAAAGTTCTCCAAAGCTCGGGGTAACTCAGGACAGCCCATTTTCGACACGACAGGTTGTATGCCACCACCAGACGCTCTCCAATTCTGTCCATGGCTACTCTGTGAGGATCCACCCCCAATACTATAGTTCAATCAGTAAACGTAGCATGACATGAAGGGAGAATGGAGCTCACTGGGCGCACAGTCCCCCTGGAACGCTCCGGAATAGACTTCCGGGCTCCACTCCGTGTGGGGACCACGATGTCGACTTTGAAATGACTGCTCTTGCGTCATGGTAGACCTATATGGATGGAGAGGATTAGCGCTCCCTACTTGCGATCGGGGTACTTCTCTGAAGATGAGGTTCGCTTTCGCGACTGGCGAAGATGAGTATCGTGTCGAAGTGGCGTCGCAAGGATGGCAAAGGTAGGAAAGAATGGGAGTGAAGAACTAATGATATTGTAGTATAGAAGTCGATCTGGCGCAAGAAAAACTTTATGTTGTAGTTGCGAGGATGAAGGTTTGAAAATTTGGAAAATGGGAGGGGGTTTAGATCGCAAAAAAAACCGCTAGTCTCTTCTCGGACTAGCGCTAAATCAGAACATCCAGGCAGAGACGGATTCACTTTTATTCAAGTAGTCTAGGATTCTAAAGATCACCGAACTCATTTCATACAAAATACTCACCTGACTGAATTATTAATGTCGCCGACTCGTGGATTTCCAGAACAATCATTCCTAGCTCTCCTATTTATCTCGCTTAGCTCAAGTAGCGCATTTGATTGGCTCCGTTCGGGACAACCTGATTGAAACGTTTGATGCGTTACAGACGGAGAGGATGCATCGAAAATACGAGGTTTGCTGACCAAAATTCATTGCCAATAGTGCTAATTCTTCAAGTGACCCTAAGCATGTTCCATATACCAACTCATATCCTGGTACAATGTTTCAATTACTCCTGAGACGAGGAAAACCGCTCATGAACTCTTGATGGGTGGCTTACAGAACTGGGTACCCTTTCTACCATTCACAACAAGCTCAGATGCCTTTCCACGAGGTTCTCGAATTGTGGCTCTTGTCGGCCAACCTCTGTAACATCAACTAAGATTCATAGTGAGAATCCTTGTTGGTGTCTGTTACTCGGGACACCACGGGGTTTTGGGGTATACCGAAGCCAAGGGGGTTACAACATGGGTTCAAATATATTCTTGAATTGGCGGCAGCTTCTGCTTGATGTAATTCTTAGGTAGTGCAACCAACCCAAACAGAAGATCCAAAATACTGCTATTGAAGATTATAAGGGTGCCTCTTGAAAGAGGATAGACGCCAGTCTTGTTGTTGATCAGCTTTGTGATTTGCCCTAGGAGTCTACTTTTAGTCACGCTTTGACACTTTGCTGGACCTAGCTTGATAATTTCATATGTTGAGTTAGTACTTGCTCAAAGAACTTAACATTTCGGAAGGACCAGACTTGTGTGTTCACCGAGAGATAAGCAGTCTTAATAGTCTGTCTAGGAAAGAGAACTTTTTACTGCTATCATGAGCTCAAGAGCTAGCCAACATATAGGATGAATAGTGGAAACCCTATACTTGCCTATGGCTCCATCGTAGGAAGGCCGCTGATGATACCTCATTCTAATCAACGCGTCTCACAACGCCATCTATGTGCAAATGCCAGCCCGTACGGAATGCAGCCGCACTGTGTCGCATCCTCAACCCTCCGCCTCGATCTCATAACTGTTGCTCTTATGCTTCGGCTGGAACTTGAAGTCCTTGTGGGATGGACCGAGATACATCTCACTAACATAGGTTAGCACGGACACTCAAAAGGCAACTAACATGACATACCTGATCTTGATCCAATCCAAGTAATTATCACTCGCCAGCAACGTCTCCAAATCACTTCTTCCTCTATACGCTGGTGGACGATCCTGCAAGCTTGGCGGAAGGTGCGCAAGTATGCCTACAGGAACATACCTATGAGCAAAGCTCAACCACTCCAGCAGGAAACGTCGAGTCAGTCCAACACCAACTTCATCAGAGCCCCATACCTCCAATCCATAGCGTACGAACTTCTCGACGTAGCCAAGACGCTCGGAAGCAGATTTGTCAAGGTATTGTCCTTTCTCAATCTCCTCAAAGATCCATGGCTTGATTAGAGCTCCACGAGCGACCATGACGGAGTCAACAGCAGATAATTTGATGTCATCGTAGTACTGCACATGAGAATAGCAGTCGCCGTTACCAATGAAGAACATTCTGTTGCCTTGGGTATTTGCTTGGGTCCGCTCATCAGCTTCTCTGATCGTGTCTGTGAGATCGTCCTTCTGCTTGTTGTATGACTTGACAAGAGCAGCACATTCAGCAATGTATTCCCAGTCAGCACTCTTGGTATATCGTTGCTGTCTGCTTCTACCATGCAAGGTCACAGCTGCACAACCAGGGGCTCCAAGACGTTCGCGTGACTCGTAGCCACCAAAAGCTAGGCGTTCAAGGGTCTTCTGAGCTGTTGGCTTTCCGTCCTTGGTACCCATTCTGATCTTGGCAGTGATTGGGACTTCTCCAGACACAGCATTCATGCCTCTGATCATCTTCTCTAGCTTCGATGGTGCATCTAACAATGCGGATCCCGCACCACTTTGATATACCAATTCAATTGGGCAGCCGCAGTTGAGGTCGATGAGGCGGAGGTGTGGTAACAGTTGGCCCATCACTTCAGCTGCCTTCAAAGCTTGCCATGGTTTGCTCGCAGATATTTGGGCTCCAAACTTCAAATCCTTCGTGTTGTCGTAATTCTGCACAGTCGAAGTAGGAGTGTATCTTGGTGGTGATATTTCACTCTGGTGAGCTTTCATCAATGCCCATTCAGACTTTTGTCCCTGAATCAGTGGTATCGACATTGCCATCTCCGAGTATGTTAATTGAGCTCCAAAATCCACGCACATCCTTCGGAATGGAAGATTGCCTTGGGTCGTGAGAGGTGCCAGGACAGGAGTCTCAGCGCCAAAGTAGATTCGTCTCTTTTCCGACGGCAAAAAAGGAGGATCGGTAAAGTTAGCACGATTCTCCTCGCGGGTCTCTTCTGACGCATCTTTCTTCTCATGATAGACCTTCTCCATCTCCTTCTGCTGTACATCTAACCAACCGGTGTACGTGTCTGACTTTTCAGTCGGTGTTCTTCGTCGAGCGAGGTTTATCTTGTCGTTGGTACTGACAACATTGAAGATTCCAGGGCGATCCTCGTCATCGAATCCTTGCTTGAGTGCATCCTCTCTTTCGATGAGAACCAATTCTTTTCGGCCGTCTTCTCTTTCAATCTCCTTGGAATGGCTTGAGACGAATCTACATCTCCAACCCGCAAAACAGGTCCCTTGAGCTTCCCATACTGGACATTTACCTTCGAATGTAGATAGATCACCTCTCTTCCCTTCCCGAAGATATTTTCGTAAGTCATGACAGCATTTGCAAGTATCGCCAAAGCTGCATGCCTTGGGAGAAAATTCGGGAGAGTTGGATCGACTGACACAGAGTCGAATAGCATCGAACCAAGAACCGAATTGGCGAGACTTGTTCTGGCCCTTCTCCTTTCTCTTTTTCTTCTGGTTCTTTCCATTTCTACCCACATTATCTCGGTCATCGGTCTTGCCTTGTCCTTCCGCAGCGTCGTCGTCAATCTGAGTCGATGTCTCCGGTTCAGGTCGACTGAATGCGTTGATGAGGTACCTGAAGAGAATGTCAGCTAGGGCCTGAAGGGGGACGTATAGTATGGACTTACTCTGGCTTCACAAGAGCGATTCCCTTGACTTTCTCTCTTGTGTCCACCTTCGCAGTCTCTCCATTCTGCTGAGGTTGAAGCTTAACTCTCTTGGCTGCAGGCACGTCCATCATTTCCGAGTCACTGTCTTCCGCTTTGCTCCTTTTGAATGTGGTTTCTCTTAAGCTTGGGAAATTATCCTCAGCCCCAATCTCGGTGTCCACCTTCGCACCCTGACCATTCTGCTGAGGCTGAAGCTTGACTCTCTTCGCTGCAGGCACGTCTGTCATTTCCGAATCACTGTCTTCTGCTTTGGCTCTTTTGGATGTGGTCTCTCTTAAGCTTGTGGCATTATCCTCAGCCCCAATCCCGTTCCTCTCAATCTTTTCTGCTTTTGTGATGGCTGAGTCCTCTGGCAGGATAGGCTGTGGTGGGTGAGCTACCTCTGTTTGTTCGCCATTGGAAGGTCTCTTCAAGGGGTTGTCTGGGTCTAGAGGATTAGTAATCTTTTCCGTCATTCTGAGTTTGGCCGTAGAGTTTTTGTCCAGTTGACTTGTTGACCTTGGGGTTCGAATTGTGAATGAAATTATTGGAAGAGAATTGTCGAAATGACTCGTAACCAAAGATCAATTGGGCAGTAACGGGTGGTGTCCTTAATTACTGCTCATGCCAATCGTATGTATCAAGCCAAGTTTGCGCCCTCTGCTGCGTAGGTAGGTAAAAGCTTGACAATGAAGAGCTTGAGGTCAATTCCACGCTAAGTTAAAAAGCTCTTGCCCCGCTATCGCTATCTTAGCGCTGAACAGCCACAGCATTAAATTTCCAAACAGATGTGGCGGTGCTTGATCTTCTCCCCATCGAATTGCTTTTCCAGGTTTGTAGAAATACCCCTGAATTGATAGCTCGATCGCATTCCCCACAATCAACATGTCATTTCTCACAATCGTCCCAGGGATTTCTGTATATCTTCATTCTTGTTAATGGTTTTGGTGATTTTTCCGAGTTGACAATTTCCAACCATCTTGAATGCTGATGCACCCCCGGTTTGAAACTAATTACAGGGGAAAGTTGATTTCTTCTACCGCGACTTCAGCCACCATTCCTCTCTCACGATATCCTTCTCTCGAACATCTTCAGCAAACAATGAGCATAAGAGACTCCCGCTTGAGATTCTTGCGATATTTGCGGCGACGACACAATGGCTGACTCTTCAAAGTCCGACAAGGCCAATCGACCTGCAATCAAAACAGGCAAGCTTGTACGGTCTCAGAAGATCATTCAGCTGTCACCATCTGATACCAGACCTCCCGACATTCCAGAAGAGACCGAACCACCACAGCAGAGTCTTCCAACTAGGAGTCATACACCAGGACATCTGTCGAAAAAGAGCGAAAGTAGAAGGAGAGGGGCATCGACATCCTCCAAATCCTCTTCGAAACCATCCTCAAGTACCGACAATGGCAGACAAACCCCCAAACTAGAAAACTCCCTTTCTCCCTCAACAGCCAATGCTCCGCCACTACCGACCGCGGCATCTCCAGATCCCAGACGACCCCTCAATCTACGATCGACATCCGCGATAGCACCGAAACCCGCAGCGACATCTTCCCCCGCGCCTCGCACTGCAACACCTGCCCAACGCGCACCACGAGGTCCTCACATCCCGTTTCCACCTATACCCGATCCAAAGACAGCTCCAGATGTCGAACCCGCGCCAGCGAGTGGCATGTACTGGTCCCGGGCACCTGTCTCGGGAGCTTCGCATACTTCGCTGAGAGCACATACCACTACGCTTATCGGGTCTAATATATACGTTTTTGGGGGCTGTGATGCGCGGTCGTGTTTCAATGAGCTATATGTTTTGGATGCAGATGCATTTTACTTCTCATGTCCCTATGTTTGCGGGGAGATTCCTGTCCCATTAAGGGCTATGACTTGCACAGCTGTGGGCAAGAAGTTGATTGTGTTTGGAGGCGGCGACGGGCCAGCGTATTATAACGACGTATATGTCCTGGATACCGTCAACTTCCGATGGAGCAAGCCGAAGATCGCTGGAGACAGACAACCTAGTAAGAGGAGGGCACATACAGCTTGCTTGTGGAGGAATGGGATATATGTATTCGGCGGAGGAGACGGAGTAAGAGCACTGAACGATGTCTGGAGACTTGACGTAGCAGACACAAACAAGATGTCATGGAAACTGATCTCACCACCCTCGACCGGCCCAACAGAAGACAAAACGAAACCCAAAGCGAGAGGATATCACACCGCGAACATGGTGGGCAGCAAACTGATCATATTCGGTGGTTCAGATGGCGGGGAATGCTTCCGAGACGTCTGGGTATTCGACGTCGAGACTTTGACTTTCTCTCCAGTACATATCCCAGTCTCTTACCCTCGACTGAGCCATACAGCTACGATTGTCGGATCCTACCTCTTCGTCATTGGAGGTCATGACGGAGTAGAGTATTCGAATGAAGTCCTTCTCCTGAACCTCGTGACAATGGTTTGGGACAAGCGAAAGATATACGGCCAACTACCCAAACCTCGAGGCTATCACGGAAGCGTCCTTCACGACAGCAGGCTCATAGTCGTGGGTGGTTTCGATGGCGGAGAGGTATTTGGTGATGTCCAGATACTGGAGTTAGCTGTTCATGCGTACTATAGCCAGATTAGTCATTTCAGTATTGATGTTTGAGAAGTAGGAGGTGGATTGCTGATTTAGTACCTGGATTGGAGACTTTATGTTGCAATGATTTATGACTGCATATGATGACAAAATGTGTATATATATCCAGATAGCGACTTTAGTACAGTCTTTTTTGTATTATAGCCTCCTATGCTGAGACTTTATGTACAATGTGTTTGAGCGAAAATGTCTTGTCTTGAACATTGATTGAAAAGTACGCCTGCCGAATGCAATGATGCCGCCTTATATATGTACAATTCTTCCCTTCTTCTCTTCCCCCTCTAAAGTCATTACCCCAAGCTCCCTTTTCATCCATCTATCCCAAACTCCAGAAGCTTACACTTTTCCTCGTCCCTTAACCTGAACATCATCAAGCGGGGGCGCCGCACTTTCCCTCGCATCCTTCTGCCTCTTTGCTTGCACTTCTTGATTCTTCTTCTCTGTCTCCTCTGCTTCCTTATAATCGACTTTTCCGGCAGATTTGCTCTCGTGGACTATCTTATCTTTGGCGTCCTTATGCTTAGGTTGCTTGTTCGAGGACGGCTCTTCTTTTTGACCAGCTGTCTTTCTCGCTGCCATCTTGCGCTCTTCTGCTGCTACCATATCTATTGTACCATTAGCATAACTTCAAGTCAAACCATCAAAGAACATACCTCTCCACAAGTCCTCTCCCTCATAAGCCTCATGATGGATCCTCTTCTCAATCAAATGCTTATGCTCCGGATCATTCGGATCAATAATCTTAACCGTCTCCCACCTCCCCTTCCCCTTACTCGCATCCCCCACCTCAAACGCCGCCGTAGCAATCAAAACCGCCAACGTCAATCCCTGAGCATACACTCTTGCCTGCACCAACTTCTGCGCTCTACTCAAATACGGATTCCGTCCCACAAGTCCCAGCGCGATTCCCATCGACGCAACCCATGAAGCTGTCACGATCGGGTATCTGTTCTCCCGGCCCCAGTCCTTGAAACGCTGGAAGGCGGACTCGTTCGCTTTCATGGCTTCGAGGTCAGAGGTTGCGCGGTCCCGGTACTGGCGCTGCGGATCGCGGTCGAATTCGAATTTGCGGGACGCGCGATCGGCTTGTATGATTGCTACGAATGTGCCCGAGGAGGTGACGAGGAAGGTCTTCATGGGGAGGGTGAGGTGGCGGAAAGTGGGGAATCGTAGGTGTGCTCCGTAGACTGCTGCTCCGCCCTGAGAGAAGAGTTAGTTTTTGGTATTCTTGGGGGTGGAGAGAGAGACGAACAAGTGTTAATCCGACGATGCCGCCCATGATGCCGCCTTTGACGGTGGTATTGTAATGGGCTTCCTCTTCTTCTTTTGTGAGGATCTTCATGTTGAGGGTTTTGGTGTTTGGTGACTTTCAATGGAGGGGTAAAAAGTTCGAAGGGCTGTGTCTGCTATTCAGATTCCTCCTGCGGTGGTACTTCTGGAAAATACTGCAGTCGATTGGTGCGGAAGTGATTGTTTTTGATCGTGTGCTACCTGTGGTGGTGGTCTGATCGGTATTTTGAATCTTCGACAAGGGGTCTTCTCAAATTGTGGATGATGGAACGGCTGTTGGGCGAAATACGTAACTCCTGATGATGAGGAAGTAACAATTGACAGCAGGTCAATGAATTATATCATTCAGGTCGAGCTTCAGATCCCGAAATCTCTGTTCAGCGGAGAAGCAGGCGTCCGGAGTTGTTCTTTCTCGAATCTACAATAACTAAGCTATCTGCAGGAGAAAACGCATGACATCAACGAAAGCAGGCCACTGTGACGAAGGAGTGTGGTATAGCTTGACATTATGAATGTCCAAAATAGCTAAGATGTCTCCAATTAACGCTGTTCATTGGTCATACTATTACTAGACGCACCCTCGGTGTTTGACTTCCATACTCCAGATCCCGAGCTGTCGCCGATTACTAACACAGCGGTATTATTTCGAGTGTGCAGATGGCGAAAACCGGAGTGCAGCATGGGAATAAGCATGTTCGTCTGAGGATGAGTTCATGGCCTCATAATATTGTGGTAATGGAGATGCCCGAATCCGTTCTCTCTAGCAAGAGATAGCATCACATGGGTGAAGACGGGAACTTAGAGGAGGACGTAAGGTTACCGAGACTGTCAAAAGCATTGACATCTCCATCCCATACTTCCTCTCATATGATATGGCTGAGTCTCGACTTGTTTTGATATGGCCCTTTGCATATATATCAATTTCCGCTACCAGTCAACAAAGCATTTGTGGTCCTGTGGGTAGCTTTGTCACATATGCTAGGGGGACCATTCGTTCCTTGAATGAGCCCAGCACGGCTTGTACCAGGCATCCCATTCGTCTGTCTGGTTGACTGTCAACAGAGCTGCTGCATACAAGGAGTATTATTCGCCCTTTCAGAGCTCAAGTATGCCTGCTGCAGGTGTCTTACTATATACATGTCTCTCCTCCTTGTCTCTTCTCCATACACAGTCCATACGGAGGATCTCCGCATTAGTCCTTATCATGGAATACGGCAGTCCCATAGATCTCGCCATCTCGATCATCTAGATCTTAACAGACGTGCAACCACCTTCCCATGTATCCGGAGGCTTTTGATGTGCGAGACACCCAGCCAGAAGCAAATAATCATACGTTGCAGATTATTGCTCAAACATCAGCCTATTCGTCACTGTTCTGAGAGACCCAAACCAAACACAGTGCATCCAAGCGCAGAGTAAGACACGGCGCATTGAAGCGGCCATGAAGGGCTGAGGATTGGAGAGATATTTCCGAAGAGAGTTCGCCTACTTGAATGAGTTCAGGGTTCTGTTATGACTCGACAACGTGCATAGACCTTGTTCTTGACAAACGCAACGCCGCTTGCTTGCCGGAAACTATGGGGAACATGAACATTTCTGGCGTCTTTAAGTTCCATATGTCAGGGTCAGGATTCTGTGCAATCGTCAGTCCACCGTGCCAGCCTGGGCCGGGCTGGGATGACTGAGTTATGTGAGAGGACCGGGCAAGTATCCACGAGATCCTGAGCCTGTCCTGTCCTGTGATGAGATATTGTACATCGACCTCCTCTTGAACCGGCAACCCATGTGGATGTGGTTGTCCAAGGCCGGACTGCCGCAGGAACCAAAAGTATACAGACAGAAAAGTACTGGCGTCCCGTCTTGTCCATTAATAAATGTTATTGACCGCTCCACTACCCAAGTCACAGACATCATCACTACTACACCGTCTCCCCCAAGTTCGCCTTTCGCTTCCTGCTTTAAACTAATGTCAAAGACCGACACCAGTCAGGACAACCTCAGACCTCACCTTTCTGACTCTGCATCATTCACTGTTTCTCATCGTCGTCGCATCGCACGAGTGCTCCCAAGTAGTTGTCGCCATTTAATAAGTAATAAATACGTATTCTGGAAGAGTTTTGGTGGAGCCGAGTCCGGTCGTTCACCATAAAAGATGCCCAGCGCAATCGATTATTGGTTCAAGTCCACGACCAAAGTTGCACCTCCCGCGACACTAAGCGATAGTGATCAGGCTCCGGCTCTGTCTCCATCGCCGTCACTTTCTCAACCTCTCACACCAAACGACGACAACTTCTCGAGCGACCACTTTACCATGCCTATGACCTCCCCCATAGACATTGCTACACCGCTCCGAAACTCGTCTTCGCCGTCATCGCAGGGCCAGAAAGCCAGCAACTTCCACGATCCCGACATCATGAGTGGCACCGCCTTCGACTCCAGTATGGGGAGAGGGCGACAGGATTCCTTCGCAGGAGCGAAACCCATTTCCATGAACAATCCAAATCGAAACTCTGACGGTCGGCCGCGGCGCGAGAGTCTGGCTGGAAGCCTCGTTCAAGGCATGTCTTTCGGAGGAGTGAGCGTTGGCAGTTGGATTCGAGACGAGTAAGTTATCTCTCATACGCGAGACTTCGAGCGACTCAGGGGGAAACTCCAGTAAAGTTCTCTTCGACGACTCGGGGCGCGTCGATTGTCTGTCTCGTCGCGTCGCCACCGCTCTTTTGTCGACGGCTGTCACTAACACTCACCAGCATAATTATGGCGGGCACCTCACCTTTCCCCTATCAGTCGCCGTCTTTCCACTCGTCGTCCTATCTACCAAAGCTCGAAGCCAACTTCATGAGAGATTTCGCATGCTGCGGCCAAACATTACCCACTTTACACGATCTGCTGCAACACTACGAGGAGGCACATGCTCAGCAAACGCCGCAGTCTCTACGAACAGCATCTGCAGCTGCGCGGGCAAGAGAGAACTCGACGCCAAATAGTAAAGCAGCTATTGCAGCACAAGCAGCTTCAGCGGTTCAACAGCAGGCTCAGCAAGCTCAACAACAATCGCAGCAGCGCCCACATGGTTTACAAATCCCTCAAGGTGGAGTGAATGTTAGTGGAATACAGATGATGAGACAGCAACAACAATCACAACCTTCAACGCCAATCCAAAAGAATGCAGAGCCAGTTTCAGAAGATATGGATAGTGTGGAAGACATGGAGATGGATGATGCCATCGGTCCGCTCGATAACGCACCCGAGACTCCTATTCAAACACACCAACAACCAGTTCAACCTGTCCAGCAATCGATGTTTGGCCAGCAACGACCAAACTTGAACTTGAATTCTGCTGGTTTGCAACACTCCGGCCTTCGGACATCACAACCGACAACCCCTGCAACAGCAGGTTTTGGCTTCCAGAATAATCCCACTGTTTCATCTGTAAATACCCCAACCCTCAGTGCTCAGCCTATCCAACAGCAACAGTCACACCAGTTCTCGCCTGATACCTCGGTTCCGGGAACTCCCGCTGGAGAAATGGAAGATAATTACCCCAATATGCCGATGAACATGGGTGGTAACATGAACATGATGGGAAACATGAACTTTCCGTTCGGAATGGCAAATGACAGTTTGTCGCTGGATCTTTGCATTGACGAGCCTGCAAAGCGATTGTACAGTCCAAATGGATTCCCAAACCAGCAGAGACTCCAACAACAATTTGCGCAATTTGGCCTTGGACAAGGTCAATTTGGTAACAATGCTGACCTCATGAGAGCATATCAACAACAACATATGATGCAGATGAATGGAATGGGAAGTGCTCAAGCTGCTGCATTGATGATGGGCGAAGAGCACAAGCCATTCAGATGCCCAGTCATCGGTTGTGAGAAGGCTTACAAGAACCAAAACGGACTCAAGTATGTTTACCACTCTTTAGAAATCTTCAATAGCTAACATTTTCAGATACCACAAGACTCATGGTCACCAAACTCAACAACTGCATGAGAATGGAGACGGCACGTTCTCCATCGTTAACCCCGAAACTTCCACCCCTTACCCAGGAACTCTCGGCATGGAGAAGGAGAAGCCTTACAAATGCGATGTTTGTGGCAAGAGATACAAGAACCTGAACGGGCTGAAATACGTAAGTCATTCGCAACCTATTCTAGAGCCTCGGCTGACTTTGATTAGCACAAGCAACATTCGCCCCCTTGTAATCCAGATCTCAAGCTCGGCAATCAACTAGTCGCAGCAAGTCTGGGTCCACTCGGTGTCAATGTCCCTGGTTTACCAGGTATTGGCGAAGAGATGATGTGATATCTTCAACAACAGCTACGAGTTATGGCTCTCATTATCCAGCATGTCCTTCCGCGGACCTCCTTCATACATCGGCGTCATACGTTTGCTTCCACAAAAAACCTTGCATTGGGCGGAGTTTATGTTTCATCACGAGCTAAGACTATACCCCTCCGGATTTAGATTGAATTGGGCGAAAGACTGGGCTGGATAGAAAAATCATGTGTGTGCTTTGAACGTTTATTTCACTTCGAGACGTACACGACCGAGCACTCGACCCGACTTTTTTCGACTACACTACTCCTTCTCTGGTCAATATTTTCGCCCTGGCGGTATCGCTCTTCACCAACACAACACAGAACCAAAAGTTTGCTACTTGCTCTTCCTTGTTTTTACTTTTTGTTGCTGTTATTATTTCTTTTATGGAGGTGGAGTTGAAAGGTAGTCATAGGTGTTTATAGATTGCAGTTGCCTGAAATGGTTGCGTTTTCCTTTGTCTGTACGTATGCTTGGCTTTAGCCATGGATAGTTGTGTTTGAAAGGAAATGGGTTCAGTCTGCAGTACATGCTAGAACGGTATGGAAAGGCAGAGCGACATACGTTTCGATACTACTGTCTGGAGTATTTAGATGGACGAGATCTGTCCTTGTTAGTCTACTAGAAGTTGAAATCAGCTTCATCATAGACCTTTTCTTTGAATTAGTGACCGTTGTCTTGAATAGGGGTCTAATCAAACAGGTGAGAAACGCAATTCCCCAACATCTGGCAGAGGCTATTGTCCAGTTGTCATATGTCATTTCCGTGAGCTAGGACTATTATCTAACGACCGTTTGTCAAGCTTCTGCAAGAACTGACTCGTGATCCACTCCCTTCCACTCTTACATCGCCGAACCCCTGAAGATCACTTCCATCGTCACGCTTCTCAACATCACCACCACCACCATTGCTCGTCTCAAGCCCCAATCACAGCTAGCCGACCTCACTCGTTCTGTTCAAAAGCTAAACATATGATGCAGAGGAGCAAGCACGAGCGGAACGAGTCAGGATGTAAGCTAATTACGTGTGCCGAAGCGAGAAAGTTTATTATACAGAAACTCTATTACTTGACTCGGATTACTAGTTTAGGTCCATACTACTGCCGGTCAGCCTTCTACGGAAGAGGCCAAGCAAGCAAGCAGTGCAGTATCCGACACGAAAGCCGCGTCTCCCGCTGTTTGCTACTGCTGCTGCTGCTGCTGATGCAAGACATGCCCACGCAACAGATTATGTAATGGCATTGGTCCCTGCAGAACGCCACGTTGTGGCTAAATGTCAGTCTGTCACAAGAAAGATCGGGCGACTCCGACAAAGAGAGAGAGAGACAAATCCGATGCCAAGCACTGTGCAACATGGACTGAGGCTTCTAGTGCGGGCTTTAGAAGGAATGGATGTCTCGGCTGTGAAAAGCAGTGCTAGCATTTGCCGAGTCCGTGGTTGGGCCGATGGATGAATGGGTTTTGCCGTTTTTAGGCTAGGGGAAGGGGAATTGGTTGAGGCTGAGAATGATGGGGGTTCGGTGTTAGGGGATTGCTTGGTGGATGATGAAGGGGAGGAGGCGAATATGTGAGTGTGAGAGAGTCAGCACGGCTTTCGGTGCCGTTGAGAGGAAGTGATGACACGGAGAAAGCGGGTGGCATCATATTGGACGGCGAAATACGAGGCTGATGAATCAATCATTAGGAGCTTCGAGAACTTCGACCGAGGTTCGGTAATCCTGGAGGGCTGGAAGGGGGCTTCTAGAAAGGGGTAGGGAGATGAAGATTGACGGCAAGGAGGCGAATAAAGCAAGGCAAGCATACCTGTCCCATGGACATGGAAGCTCAAGAATCAGGGGACCCCTTGAGATATGCAAGTGGTTTGTTGTGCTTTGCTTATTTTGGATAACTCGATGAGATGGGGATATCCCAGAGCTTCCAAGTGGAGATCATTTCGGATGGAAACAAACAAGCAATGCTGGCTGCAAGGGTGAGTTTTCTTTTGGCATTTAGGAGTGATGGACCCTTCTTCAGCTTCTAGAACATGAGATGAGGGATCGGTATGTGTGTCTTGCTTTTCATGCCAGTCCGAGGCTCAGTGAGGCTCTTGTCCTCGTCTAGAACTGATGAGTGATTTTCATGAAAGGGGTATCACGTGTTAGAAGCTCCATCACGTGAAAAAGGACAATGTTCCATCTTCCAGACTTCATTGTCTTACGAATCAGTTGCTTTGGCTTTCATTAGAGCCGATAATTATCTAGCTGCCATCTGATCGTTTTGGCAATAGCGTAAGCGTTTGATGGGCTCAGTGGTTAATCAAAAGAGTCCAAATTCGCAAGACAAAGAACTCAAGAGTCTTCCAAAGAGGAGTACCAAGCAGTTAAGCTTGAGGGAATGTTGCAAAATGCTTCAAGATATTGAGGGTGAGAGAGAAATTCTGCTCATGTATTTGATACTTGAGAGTACCGGTATAGTTGACTAAGTTCAAGCCTGCTCACTTTCTCCTGCTCTAAATGTCTCAATTGTTAATCGACATTGAGAGCGTATGTCCTAGACTTGCTCTGACATTAGAGGCTTTTGAATGTAGTAGATATTGCTTTAGATACCTTTTACAATGCCGTTCTTGAAGATGATTTGAGTGTTGCTTTGTTTTGACCTTTGTCATGTTGTCAAGTTGGGAGCTCTATCTCTATAGCCTCGTTATTGCCATTGGCTGAAATGACGTACTCGCTAGCGCTCTTCAATTTGTTTACTTCAACAGGTTTAGCGTTCTGTCATGGTGAATCAGCCCATTTCTTGCTCCCTCAACAACCGCGCTCTACTTCAACGCAATCGCATCACAATCACATATCTACTTACTGGCTCATATTCGAAGTCTTTGATCTTGATCTTTCTGAGATCATAGATAGAGACCTCGAGCTTTTCCCAATTGTGCTCTCCTCCTAAACCCTTCCTTGCAACCCTTTGAACCTCCAAATAGTCTTGTGCTATTGTCTTTCCAAGATCACTTCATCAAAATCGGCACGCCCACAAGGCTGAACTCGAGTCTATCCCATCAAGATGGATAACCAAACTTCCTCAAGTCTGTTTGCGGACATGGACGATGCCACGGCCGCGCTTATCCTCCAATTACAAATCGACGATGCTCAGGAATACATCAATCAAACCCCAGCCCCAGGTATCTCCATACCTGCTGTGTCTGATGGACGTGCTACTTTGGAGATCTATAAAGCAGAACTTGAGCGAGAGAAAGCTACATTAGAGGACAGAAAAGTAGCATTTGATGTTGATCCTCTAGGTATTGGCACTAGGTTCTACATGCTGCTAGCTGCTCGAGCTCGACCTGAACCAGCAGCTGTTCCAGCACCAGCTCCTCCCGTCATTCCCGAGCCCCCTGCGCGAACTCACGAGCGATGTGTCTCCTGCGACGAATTCCTCTTCCCCCAAGAAGTTGAAATCGATATTCCATGCAATCACATGTACTGCGTCCAGTGCATCGAAGAGCTGTTCAGTCAATCCTTGGTCGATGAGTCGTTGTTCCCACCTCGATGCTGCAAGCAGCCAATCCCAGTTGACAACGTTCGAGAAATCTTGGCCCCGGACTTCATCCAAACTTTCCAGGACAAGAAGCAAGAGATCGAGACTGTCGATCGTACGTACTGTTCTGATCCTCGGTGCTCCATCTTCATGCGCCCTAAGAACATCTCTGGCGATCGAGCTACCTGCCCAACATGCCAACAAGTGACCTGCACTATGTGCAAGGCTCCTTCTCATGATGGTATCTGCCCAGCGGATGAAGGCACACAACAAGTCCTTGAGCTGGCGAGAGAAAATGGTTGGCAACGTTGTCCGGTCTGTCAAGTCATGGTCAGCATCTCAACCGGATGCAACCACATGAGGTACGTATTATTTCATGTTTGCCGTAGACGTATGCTAAAACAACCAGATGCCGCTGCGGTGCAGGATGGTGCTACCAATGCGCTGCTAGATGGAACAACAACGTCAAGACCTGCGAATGTCCTCAATGGGAAGAAAACTTGCTCCTCAGACGTGCCAATGAGGTCGTCAATCTTGAAGGACCACAAGAAGGCCAGACTCGTGAAGAACAAATGGAGGCTGCTATCGAGACCCTCAATGTACATTGCGAACATGACCGGGGCTGGGCTTTCTCTCATGGCTCTGCCCAATGCGCTAATTGCTCTCAGGTCATGCCCGTGTTCACCTTGCAGTGTAATGGATGCGTTATTCATTGGTGCAGACGTTGTACTCTTAACAGAGCCTAGATGAATTGTTGATTATCAGTGGTAAGCATACAGAATCTTCGCAGTTTTTTCTTCCTTTTAACTTGAGAAGCATAGCTGGGGTGTGCTACTCTGCATGTCGGATTATTAAGCGTATGCTTGGAAGATCTTTACTTTGTGTTTGATAGAAGCTTTCGGATGTCCTGAGAGCGCTAGGATATCCGAAATGACTTCAATCTCTTTTTGAAGGTGCTCCTTTTGAATGTCTTGTCATTTCTAGTTTGTTCTTGGAAAGAGGAGAAGAAAGGGCCCTCGAGCTTAACCCGAAAACCCTTTCTGTTAAGCTTTGTTAGAGTTAGCATCAACAATGAAATCCTAATGTAAACTTTGGTAATCTTATTTGATCGTGATGCAGAATCGTTCCTAGTTCTCTATGATGTATGTATTTTTCAATTTATTGTTTGAATCAGATTTCGTCTATGGCTGGAAACTATGGTGCGTTCTGGAGCCAAGTGGCTATTGGAAGTAAGGGGTCGATCTTTCTTTGCCTTTGGCGATGAAGCTGGGTACTTAACATCAGCACAACCTTCATGTAACCTTTCTTCATCTTGCACACCGCCACGCTCTACCTTTCTACTTGGTCATCATAACCCTGATCCGGCCATTCGACATGGCTACTGACACTTCTCAATTATCGGAAGATGAAGACCACTCTGACCAAACACCGCCACCTGTCCCACGACCTCTATCCCAAGCTTTTCAAGAACGTACCACGTCTATATGGACATGGCAGGATCTTGAGATTCCCGATAACCTTGACTCCACGTCCCACCGTCCTGAGACTAGTACGATGTCATTTCAATTCTTTCCAGCCCGTTTTAGAATTGAAAACAGTTGGTGATTCGAGAGGTGATAGGAACCATAATTTAACAAGTATGCAGGTGAAGGACCAGAGATGTCTGGAGATAGCAGATTGCCCACAGAGGTTAATCGATATGGCGGCCGAAGGCACTTTAACCTTCGAGAAACTCACGATGACCACGAGAGACCTTCCTCAGAGGTCCTATCTACAGCACGCTTTGACGAACCCTTCAGACCCAACAACGTCAGCACTTTTAGTGCCCCACGAGATACAGAGGCCAGAACGAACCCGTACATTAGAGCAACGCCCCCCGGTCTCCTCCCTCATAGCATCGAGCAAGGAGGACTACTGGGAGCTTCGCATTTACCACGGGACTGTTCCATTTGCGAAAAATCTATAATCCGTGAATCTGAGGTCGTCGCACTGCCTTGCAAGCATGAATACTGCATAGATTGCTTTCGAAAGTTGGTCAAAGAGTCATTTACACAAAAACACCTGTTTCCGCCTGTGTGCTGGTACTGCCCGGGACAAACGATCAATCTCGTCAAAAGGTTCCTACCAGATCTGGAAGAGGAATACCTATCCAAATCTGTCGAATTTGCTCTAGCCCCCAAACGTCGTGTCTACTGCCCGAATTGTGGTCGATTCCAATGTGAGATACATAACGACCAGAAATGGAAAGATTGCTTGACTTGCAATACCAAGATTTGCACCATGTGCAAAGCTCGTTTTCATTCCGGAGAATGCCCAAAAGATGAAGGTGATCAACTTCTCAGTCAACTAAAGAAGCAGGAAAATTGGCAGAGTTGTCCAGTCTGTGGGAATCTGGTAGAACTTACAGGTGGCTGTCCCCAAGTCACGTATTTTATCACAAATCACTCATGCCTGACTTTTAGCTAATCAATACAGATGCTTGTGTGGTACGCAGTTCTGTTACACTTGCGGAGCTGAAAGGAAGGCATGCGTGGGCCACAAAGCCAACGATACGGTTTACTTTCGACCTTTGAATTACAATCAATTGGCCGATCGTCTTCCTACTCGATCTACTTCAGATGGCCACCCCGACACTCTCGAGATTGATGCTGCAGCTACCGGTTCGGGTTCTATGAAGGACGTACAGTCACCAAAATCTAATACTCTTGCGTGGTGAGAAACGTTTAATGGGAGACTCACTTCAGGCATACTCTTCCCTAAACAAATTCCAAAGATGTAAGGATAACTTTGGGCATGTTAAGGAAATGAATGAGGAATTAGATACTGAGGAGACAGATACATTGGCCTTGTACTTGAGGCCTAGTAGACACTGCCCTTGATCCTTTTGTGTATGTATTGGTGGGACAATTTAGGGAGTCGGGAGTCATACTGATTTAATGTTCTTGCAGTTGGCCTTGGCAGAGTTTCTATTAATGTTGATTCACAGTACTCAGTCACACTACACGCACTGTGCCCGAAACTAAAATAGTGGGAGGTGAAACGAAGAGGAGACCGCTATTGCAGTAAAGTCTTTTTTTCTTTCATTCTATGCTAGCGGCACGTGATTGGTATTAAAAGTATTAAAAGTATCAGAAGTATTAAAAAATAAAAATCGTACGATCGTGCTTATTTTACTCGTATTTTAGTTTTAAGCAATTAGGAAGCGAAGCTTTCCCCTCGAGTTCGTTTTTGTATTGACTTCGACAATGACACTCAAGCGTCGAATATCGACGTGTAAAATGTCTGAGATCCTTGAATTTGCATTGATCATAATCTGGAGGATCTCTTATATTACTGATCAGCCATAATATTTTTTCCACTTGGTGTCTTCTTAATGGGAAAACAATAACAGAAATAGTCGTCAATGCTAAGACATGCCCCTATCTCGCTTAATAGGCGAAAGGTTGGACTTGTCACAATTTGATGAGCTTGCTATTTGTGAATGTCTGTTGGTGTCGAGATTCCGGCATTGTGAATAATTTGATAATCAACGATCAGCTATAAGTATTCCTAACAGTGCATAGTGACGATCTCCAGCTTCGACCACCGACACGCATCAAACTTCGGAAAATCAAAGCACTACGTATTAGCCTATCATGGACGAAAGACAGGACCAAGACCGGCGAGCGAACACCGCCCAGCTAAAACTACTGTGGGATGTGTTACTGAATCCGGAAGTGTTAAGTAGCATGAAAAAAGACTCGGCGTCTGACCTCATCAATTTCTTGCTCGATGAAGCTCGGCAAATGGTCAAAGATCAAGAAGCGGCAAGCAGTTCAAATGAACATCAGGCTGGGAGAAGCTTGTCCAGCCTTACTGCTAACATTGTACGCACATTGGAACGATACGCTCGACGTACTGCTGCAAGAGCAGATGACGGAGGCAGTAAAGGAACGGCAAGCAAGCGAGGTGTCGGCCCAATGTCTCATGACGTCCTTATTGTTCCCACATTCCTCGATGATAATCCTGAAGACATCATTGCTACAGACTACCATCCACTGCAATCTCCTCAATCAAGAAAGTTGTTACGACAAGGAGCTTTCAGAGAAAAGCCGCGAACTAAGTATGGCCCTCGGAAATTTCGATCAGTCAAAACTACAATGGAAGATGCAGAAAGCCCTACGATGGAGTGTTTCATCTGCAGAGAAGAGATAGTGTTTATCTTACTAATTAGGCTTCTTTGTGGGCACTATTACTGTCGCGAGTGTCTGGGGAGAAGATTTCAAGTAGCAGCAGATGACAGGAGACTTTATCCACCTCGTTGCTGCGATACCAAGATATCCTCGAGAACGTACGGGTCTCGCATCGACTACCATATCCTAAAAGATTATCTGTACAAGAAGATAGAGTGGGACACAAAGGATCCAACTTACTGCTCCAATGATCGATGTGGCAAATTTGTACGACCGAATAACATCCGAGGTCAGGATGCAAAATGTCCATGTGGAGTCCAAACTTGTACACGATGCAAGAGAAGATCTCACCAGGGTGATCTGGAATGTAATGGGCCCATTGATACTGCACTTCAAGCAACTCTGAGACTCATGAGACAGAGACGTTGGAAACGATGTCCAAATTGCCACACTGGCATTGAAAGAATCCGGGGCTGCTCACGTATGAGGTATGCATTCTTCGTCAATATAAATAATAATCCTGCTAAAAGTATTCAGCTGTGTTTGCGGGACAACTTTCTGCTATGGTTGTGGCAAGAGGGTGGATCTTTGCACATGTAGGTCAAGGCTATCTTCCTTCTGCAACCCCTCATTTTTAGTTCAGCTCTGTATGCTGGACGCCAGATAACTTGAAGCAGTGGCTTTCATTTCTGGGAGTCAGAACTAATTGCAAATTATTGGATCTAGGTGTTGGTGATAGTCCAATTCGAGATAACGCTTACTCACCGCCTGTCGCAACCAACCCCAGCCTATCTCAGATTTCTCACAAACCTATTCAACCCTTCATGGCTCAAACCAAACGGCTCCCGCCAGAATGGAGACCTGGCGTGATGAGATGCTCGCTCGGGAACTGGACCACCTCTGGAATAACGGAGCATATTCGGGAGAGACCATTGGTGAGATCAACCATTCGCAATGGAATGCCAGCGATAATCGACCAGGGAGAACATCAACTGGGTTGATTGATGGAGCCAACTTGAATCTGCCATGGGACGCAGTCACTAGCATCGTGCGATATCAGCAACTGCTGGACGCCGAACAACCAGGAGCTGACAATGGATACAAGAATACCACTAATTTAGATGCACTGATCGAGCACATACCATCCGATATCAGCCTTCAGAAATACAAGCATCATCGCGATCAACTCATTGAACGCGCGGAACGTATCAAACGAGAGAAAGTGGGGCCGCCTAGTTTTGAAGGTATTAACCCGCTGGGATGGTGGCATGCCTTGGAGTGACTTGATGATTCTAACTCTTTTCAGGTACAAAATGAAGTTGAGCAGGGTAACGGTTGTGTCATTATGTAGCAGGCACGGTATCTTCTTATGCCAGGTATTATGTGCTAGAGTTATGAAGGAAACGTGATGTCATGGACGGAAAATGGCAATTCTTAATCCTCGAAAGTAGCCCATCTACAGAATACATCAGACAATGTTATTCGTTTTGCCCATTTCGATGGTTGAAGAGCACTGGAACATTCACACAGGGTACAGCTAGGCACAATATTTAAAGGACTCGCATGTCCTCATCTGTTTTGTTATGTTCCAACATTCTCATCTCAAACTAACATCTTGCTCACGATCTTACGATCTTATTAATTAGAACTAGACCTAATTCTAAAGACGTCACTGCAATCCCCAACGAAAATGGATATTCTGTGGGATCCGAAGGTTCTCCAAGAGATGGACTCTGAAACAGCCAGCTTCATCCTGGCTCTAGCACTCGAAGATGCACAACAGCTAGGAGATCAAAGTGTCATCAGAGACTTGGAAGTCTTGGCTCTTACAGCAACGCGTGATGAACGCGTCGACAATGGAAACGGGGAATCTTCGGCTACTGGTGCTCAAGGAACACCGGCCCACGAAGCCCGACAGGATCAGCGTCAACACTGTGAGGTTGAAAAAAATGATAGCTAAGTCGCAACCGCATACAAATGTGTCATATGCAATGACGACTTCCAGAAGCAGGAAGTAGCAACACTGCAATGCTCTCATCACTGGTGCAAAGGGTGCTTGGAAAATAGGTTCTCTCTTTGCAACGACCGGTCGTTGTACCCACCAACATGCTGCAATGTTGAGATTCCACTCCTTCCAAGGTTCATAAACAAAGAAGTCTTAATGAAGTTCGAAGAGAGAAAAGTGGAGTGGGAAACAACAGATCCTGTGTACTGTTCCAACAAAAATTGTGGCAGGTTCATCCCACCAGTATCGCAGAGTACATTTGGCAGAAACTTCAAATGTCTTCACTGTGATAGGACTACTTGTTCGAGGTGCAAGAAAAAAGCGCATGGAAAGTATCCAGATGAGCTTCGGAAGTGTGATGAGACTTCAGATGAAGCTTTGCAGGCGGCAATCAAGCTTGTTAAAGAGAAACACTGGCAGCGTTGTCCGAAGTGTAAAGCGGGAGTGGAACGAACTATCGGCTGCAACATGATGAGGCAAGTACTGCGCATTCTATATTTTAGAAACAATATAGCTAATACTGAATAGCTGTTCATGTGGGGCGAAGTTCTGTTACGTATGCGGGGAACTGTGGAAGACTTGTGATCATCCATTTTTTCCAGCAAACTACCAAAGACCACCTGAGGTGCCTCTCATACCACCAGAGCTATAGAATGACAGACTCCCTGTACGCCCGGCAAGACAGCGACCCTCTGTGCCCGCTCGATCTCCGCCTCCGAGAATGGCAGCAACAGCGGCATTGCAATTGATGCGTCAACAGAACCTCCGAGCAGCGCAATTGGAATTGATACGTCAAGAGAACAACAGAGCATTGAGGCGAGAACTTGAACAGAGAGAGCTAGCATCACGTTTGAGACTATCGTATCCAGGGAGGAACAGACCTAGAGGCTTCAATGGTGGATATGGACATTGGCACCCCCCTAGAAGAATGTAGACGATTGTTGATATCGAAGAAAGGCAAGAGATATAAGGGAGCGAAAGTCAGATAGACACGGCCTCACATGGAGAGTCATATGTAAATGTGTATTTGATATTATCTTAATATGCAAACGTGGTATCGATTAGATATGACTCGAGATGTGCGTGCATTCACGATCGTTCATAGTCTCCCCCAATCACGACTGTATTATCTCTGAATAAGCGACATTGAGTGGCTGGCAGAAGTCGGTCCTATATCTAAAGCTTGAGACCATTTATCTAATGACATAATTTACTTCCCAGAAGATTGCCAAAATCGTTTTAGAGGTGTCACATTAGATATGATGAACTTCTTCCGAAGAAAAAAGACACCGACGGATCCACCGGAATTGACGCGACAGACAGCTACTCACAAGAAGTCTAATGATGAAGATAAGAAAATAACGCAGAAAGGTAAGGACATAGCGCTCGAAAGACAGGAGTGCTTGGTATGTACGAATTTATTTGAACGGAAAGATCTCATCCACCTGGACTGCAAACAACGCTGGTGCCGCACCTGTATCAAGGAAGCATTTGTAGGCGCTACAAGAGATCGATCTCGTTATCCACCGAAATGCTGCAGCGTGATCCAAGTCGATCGAATTCGGGACCAATTAGGAAGCGAAGTCTTGAAAATGTATCTCAAGAAGAAAACACAGTGGGATTGTCAAAATCCGTTATACTGCTATGACACGAAATGTTCAAGATTCATCGACAAGACGGATATTTGTGGAATAGAAGGCATCTGCCCTGCTTCAAAATGTAATAAAAGAATATGCGTCAAGTGCAAGGCTCAGGCTCACGGCACGGGCCCTTGCGCCGACGAAGAAGCGGAGACTCAAGCACTTGCGCTTATGACTGCCAGAGGATGGAAGCGTTGTCCAATATGTCGACATGGTATTGGACGTACCGAGGGATGCAACGAAATGAGGCAAGTTTTCTTAGCAAATGTGCGCACTGTACATGTATGGCGCTGACCGATGCTTCAGGTGTCTCTGCGGCTGTGTCTTCTGCTATAATTGCGAGAAGATCAAGGGATCATGTATATGTCCAGGACGAAGAACACCAGACCATGTTCCATTACGTAGACATCCCCATCCAGTCATAAACTATAGAGATCAGATACACTGGCCGCGGACACGGACAGACTTCGAGAGAAGGAGGTTTGAACATGCACGTCGGATTGGTGCCCGGTCCAAGACGAAACGACGACTGGATGGGTGGTGGCCTCTCTACACTGCAGCAAAATTATAGGGACTATGAGAGGTGGTCAAGTCCCTGGATGCCGAACCTAGATCCCTGGCGGCTGAACCTAATGTGTTCTTCTGATCGACGTCAAGCCCAAAGATATTATGGAGGACAGCATGGCCGCTTTACGCAACCTGGGTTGCCACAATTTCGTAGATATTAACCCTGGAAAGGCTTCCACACCGTATACAATCCTCTTAGAGGCATTTTGGGGATTGGAGACTATGTTTTCAACGCAAACGAAACCCTCGAAAGTTGGGAGGGGAGCTGGAGATTGGCTGGGAAAGTCTGAGAGACTACCAAATCGAAACCCTAATAGACCAGTCAATGCTGACAATCCCAAACAGAGCTTAACGGAAAAAGATTACCATATGCTTGAGAGTCACATATTTGCTTGACCAAATACTTGATTCAGATGGCAAGGAGTCGTCGTGATCGAGATTACCTCGCTTGCCTCAAAGGGTGACGAAGCCATCAAGCTAGCATTGTGGAAGTCTTTAAAGTCTTTTAAAGAAACTTGACAAACTTGACTTGAATTACGATCTAGCTTTGGAAGTAACTGCTGAGAGAATTCCTCATCGGAAGCCGAGATACCTGCATGATCATCAAGCCAAAGGTCTTTTGTCAGTCTATAATATCACGTGATCGATACTTGCACTCAACCTGAACTTGCCGCTTCGGGTGGCTTAGTATTCCACTCTTAAGTGATCTCTTTGTTAAGCTATATGTATTTGTTAATGGTCAAGAAAACGCTCTGATATACCCATCAGTATCTCGGCTCGTCCAATTGCGGCAAGACGTGATCCGCTAAGCGAGGGAAGCTTAACGTCGACTTCCTCGTCCTCTCCAGATTCACCAACTTTTTCTTTTCTGTATCCATTTCGATTAGAAACTTACTCAAGCACATCCCTCTTTATAAGCTTTCGTATTGAAACTTGCGCCTAGATTCCATACATCAGGTATCGAAGCGCATATTTTGTCAGACATCATATTTCTGATATTGATTCTTCATCTTTGACTCCACCATCAAATGCAAGTTGAGTCAGGTCAGACTAGCATACTTCACGATCCTCAAACCGCAACGATGGCAGCATTCCCTGGCATCGATGATGCTTCCTCGATTCTCATCATCCGTTTGCAAATAGAGGATATCGATCAACAGCTTCCTAGAGGCGGAAGAGTACGCGATGGAGCGCAACTATCCGATTGGCAACACATTTTGCTTCTTCAAAGAGAGGAGCTTCAAAGTCGTCTCACTATTCTCGAGGGTAGACAAATTGGAAATGGCCTTGCAAATGCGCTTCAATGTAAGAGACAACCTAAGATCTAGTTTCATGAAAAGTTGCTAATACTTTTTCTTACTTAGTGGAGCCCAATGCTATAGTTGCTGCTCAAGCCGGGGAGGGTCAAGTAGTAAATGACCGCGAAGTCACTAGCGGAGTTGCCGAAGTTCCTGTCTCTGTGCCGATTGAGGCCGAAGAAACAGTCACTTCAGACCGTTCTGCGGTTGGCTCGAAGCGCAAGCGGGCTTACGAAGAAGAGGAGGAAGAAGAGGACATCTATCGCAGACGAGGTCGACGACCACGACGTTATGAGGTAGATGATAGTTCGATACCTGTGCCGATCAAGGCCGAGGAAACTGGCTCTTCGGGCTCTTCGATGCTCAGTCTAAAGCGCAAGCGGGCCTGGAGAGCAGAAGAGGAGGAAGACGAAGCAGGAATCTATTGCAGACGCGGTCGACCACGACAACGCTATGGGCCAGAAGATAGCCCGATTCAAAAGAATGCCCTGTCATTGCAAGTCGATGTTGAAATCATTGACTTAACACAGTCTCCTCGAGCTTCCGGCAGTGCTGCCAAGCTTCCATCCGAATCGACTACCCATGGGACTGACTTTTCGTGGGAGCCCAACAAGCCGACAATCCCTTGTGTTAGCTGTGGTGATGAATATGAGATTGGTCTTCTAGCTTTAATGGAATGTACGTGCTAATTTCCAGCGTTGCTGCAATCTTCTAGAATCCTCTTGTTTTTGTACCATTGTATGTAACGAGTACTGACCTTAGTCTTAGGTGAACACAGCTACTGCCAAGAGTGTCTTCAAACGCTAGTCTCAAATTCTCTACAAGACGAAGCCCTGTATCCCCCACGTTGCTGCAGGAAGCCATTCGAGATGGATCTCATGAGACCCTTTCTCTCCCCAGAGCTCATCAGCGGTTTCCACGAGAAGGGAATAGAGTTTGGTGTAGCCGATCGTCTTTATTGCTCAAACCCAACCTGTTCGACTTTTCTGTTTCCTGCGAACATCACTGGGGATGAGATCGAATGCCCACTATGCTTAGTCATAACTTGTTAGTTATACTGTATTGTAAGGAGAAGAGGATTGTATTCCTGACATCATTCATCTAGGCACACTTTGCAAGAGTGCAGCTCATGATGGAGTTTGTCCTCTGGACACTGCTACTCAAAAAGTCTTGGCATTGGCGGAGGGCGAAGGATGGAGACGCTGCTCTAAATGCAAGGCAGTCGTGCAGCTAAGATCTGGGTGCAATCACATCACGTGAGTTGTTTTGTCTTTTCGTTGTCTCCAATATCCTCTACAGGATTTCACCCAAGACCAGACACTACGATCACCTGCTAACATTCTCTAGATGTCGTTGCAAAGCTGAATGGTGGTAAGTTGAAGCTCCCTTGAACACGAATGGTCCTACATTCGGAACCGATGCTGACCTTTTCTAGCTATGTATGCAGATCAGCATGGAAATCTTGCGAGTGTCCCAAATGGAACGAAGCTCGTATCATGGCCTGACACGGCATGATCGACCGGATTCAAGATCCTGACTTCCAACGCATCATGGAACGAATCGAAGCCCGCCACAGAGCTGAGTACCTGGCTGGCCGAGTCCAAGATCCTGACCTTCAGCGCATGATGGATCGAGTGCAAGCCCATCACAGAGCCGCTTTTGACCTTCCAGACCTCAATCGACCTGCCGGTCAAGCTCTTCAAGTAGGACTCGATGATGAACGCGCCCCAGGAATTCACGCTCATGCTGTTCATCAAGATCCTGTATTCCAAAACCCTTGACGAGCAGCTCGAAGAAACCCGTGCTGCCCTTGCTCGAGCTCGAGAACGTCGAGACGCAATCCTTGCCGCTGGAATTGCTCGTCAAGCTCCTCAAGTAGAAGTTATGGTCGACCAAATTGAGGAACCTGTTGGCGCTGCTGATTATGATGAACAATATCAAGAATTTCGCGAGCAAAGACGAGCTCGCCGTATGGAAGCTCTTCGCCGAGCTCATCCAGTAGAACCTATCGTCGACCAAATCCAAGAGCCTACTCAAACTGCTGGTGTTCAAGGCTGGCGCGAGCTAATGCAAGCCCGCATGGAACCTCTTCGTCGAAATCGTCCAGCAAAGACTATCGTGGCCCCAATTCCAGACCCGGATCGAGCTGCTCGTCGTCAACGCATCCGAGATGAACTTATAGCCCGCAGAGAAGCTCATCAAAATCCACGAGCTGAATACTTCACCCGCCGAGCCGAAACCCCAGCTCCCCGCGCTCGTCCGATCGTACCAGCCGAATCCATTATTATACCCCCACTAGCTTGCTTGGCCAACGCCCCGGCTCGACCCCCTCGAATGGTCTCCGAGGAACCTCCCGCTCGGCGCACTCCAACAGGTCGCGCTGCTCGACACCTCCGTCCAATTCGTCGAACCCGAAGCCAATTCGTGCTCAAGGATCGTGACTGTCGCCATGATGAATGGGATAGAGTCCGTGGGAGCTCTGCTTGCCAGGGCTGTTTTCGGGAGTGCAAAGACTTTCATTTCCAATGCTCGGGGTGCAAGATGAATACTTGTAATAAGTGTATGAAGGTTAGGTCGTAGATAAGGAGTGGCATGGAAGGACGGAGCTGGCTGGGGACTTTGTACTGGATATAGGAGGATGGGGTGAAGAGCTCGGCCGGAATTGGACTGGAGTAATGATTGTGAGGTGGGAATATCTCGAAAGCGATCTTGGCTTTCCCGAATAGCAGATCAAGGGAGCATGTTATTAGTTATGGTAATACAGCAATGTAGACAACGTGAAAAAGTAAATATTTGAAAGCAAGCTTTCGGAACTTGCCCTATGCACTGAAGAAAGCTTCTGGTTTTCCTGGTGAGAATCTTTCAGATGAAGCCTAGAGCCAATCTGGTGTCAAGAAAGTAAGCGTCAAGAATAGCGTAGACAGTAAAATACAATGAGTAGACAGGTATGGACAAAGACTACCTCAGCTTACCTTTGCCAATTCGAAGGCGAAGAAAGCCCCTGGACAAGGCTCACGTGGACCCAGAAGTTGCTAGTCCCGCCGAGACTCACGGCCAAACACGTCTCTTACCATAGGAGCATACATTCCAGCGTAATTGAAGGATGAAACATTTTATAGGGGGCTATGTTTACAAACAACTGCGCTTCTCGCAATATACACTCTATCACCCCGTCTTTCGCTCCGAATCTACTCCTTATGCGTTCCTGCTCATGTCGTTCCGAATTCTGTAGGAAGAAATTAGAAAGGCTTAATTTAGCCGATAATACTTTCGAGAAAACGTACCTGTTGTAATCCAACAGACCCTCAATGCTTCCAATAGCACTAACTGCAACGTCCTGGTCCCATAGCTTTCTTTGCGCAAAGCTCATAACGTCCTTCTCTGTGATTGCTCCAATGACGCGCTCAATCTCCTCTGGTCCCATACGACGGCCAGTTGTGATGATTTGTCGTCCAATATCTTCGGCAACAGCGGTTGTGCCATCCAGTGAGAGGAGAATAGATGCCTTCAACTGAGCCTTAGCTCGCTCAACCTCGGCGTCTGTGACGTTATATGATAATCGGGACCATTCGCGGAGTGTGAAGTGAACAAGATCATCGATTCGGGTGAGCTTGTCGGTGACGAGATAGATACCCCAGAGACTGATCGAGTTAGCTTGTCACGAATCAAAGCCATAATAAATCTTACCCAGTATCGCTGTAACTTGTGGAGAAGCTCATGAAGCTGTTGGCCAGATCGTTCTTGTGGACGAAACCACTGAGCTTGCTTCCCATATGAGGAGCATTGCCCATTGCTTTATCCCAGTTACCGACAATAGCTTGTGTAACCAAAGCAGTGAAGTAGTCGTCATCTTTCCAGCTAACACCCTCGACAGCAATAGCAATGTTCGCAGTTGGGATGGTATCATCACGGATTCGGACCTCAGAACCAATAAATTCTGGCTTTCGCTTTGGAGCAAGGGAAGCAGAGCTGTCGCTTGAAAGACCGGAGAAATGCTTCTCAGCAAGCTCAACGAGCTGGTCATGGGGAACACCACCAGCACCGACAAGAACCATGCGATCAGCAGTGTAGTTTGTCTTGATATAGTTGACCAAATCCTCGCGTTGAATACTCTGAATGTTCTCGGCCGGTCCCAGAATTGTTCGTCCTAGTGGTTGACCTTGGAAAGCAGTTGCGTGTAGGTGATCGAAGACAACTTCCTCCAATTGCTTATCGACCTCCTCTGACTCTCTTAGGATTACATCGCGCTCTCGCTCAATTGCTTGGGGCTCGAGTTTGGAGTTTGTGAGGATATCGGAGAGGATGTTGACGGTCGCGGGTACATCGGCATTGAAGGCTTTGGCGTAGTACACAGTGTTTTCACGCTATAATCCATATCAGCATATGCCCTAGCTTTCCGAAGCAGGCAAACATACAGATGTGTACGCATTCAAGTGACCACCCATATTCTCGATTTCCAGCTCCAATTGTTGTTGTGTTCGGTTGCTGGTACCCTGCAGACATGGTCAATTGTAATTCATCACTCCTGTAGATCAATTGAGTTACCTTGAAGGCCAGATGCTCAAGGAAATGAGCTGTGCCATTGGTCTTGTCTGTCTCTGCTCGGGAACCAGCATCAATCCAAACACCAACGGTCGATGTTTGTGCCCATGGCGAATGCTCTGTAGCAATCTAAAGGTATTAGCAGATATTAGAGCTCAAAAAAAGGCTTTTTCGTACCGTGAGGCCGTTGGACAGGGTCGTTGATTCCGTCTTCACGCCATTTTTCACCACGGGCGTCGCAAAGCCTCTTCTCAACGGGGCGACAGTGTTGAGGGCAGCGCGGTTGCGCAGTCCCTGGGTGAGGTTGAGAGCTAACCGCCGGGACGCCATGGAGGTTGATGTGAAGGTGGTTGCAGATGTTCTTGAATCGAAGATCTTGGAATGGAACCTGAATGTCGTTCGTTCCGTAGTTCCTTACAGATTTGTCGGAGCTCTTTTCGTCAACCAATCAGAGGCGACCCGAAAAAGCATGACCCGTCCGGGAAGGTGCGGACGCTTTTGCCGAGGGAAGAGACGTTCACGACTTCACTTCAGACCTCAGATCATCCACGACCACTTCATTGCGGACAGCACAACGAATCAATATGACTTCAATTGTGCGACCAGCAATGCTTCAGAAGACGTGTTTCGCAGCAGCTTCGAGGCGTGCCTTCTCGACGAAGCTCTCTTCTAACCCCGCCACCAATCCTACCTCAGTCTTATCGAGAAAGGTCGTCCGTAATACGTTTGCCAGAGATGCTGTGCCAGGTTCGATGCGAGTAGCTGCTTTCCATGCAAGTGGCAGACGATCACTTCTTCCAGCTCTACCACGTAAGACCAGAGCGGTTGTTTAATTATTGATGATAGCTAACGTATGATCTAGAGGTCGTTCAAGGAACTGGTACAAACATCTGCCATTGAGTCTCTGACATCTACTGATTGTCTTGTAGCGAATGATCCAGCACCAGTGCCCACCCCAAGTCCCTCGCATGGCTCCTACCATTGGACCTTCGAGCGTTTGATCTCTGCCGGTCTCGTCCCACTCACGATTGCACCATTTGCCGCCGGATCATTAAACCCCATGATGGACGCTATCCTCTGCGGTACAATCCTGATCCATTCACATATCGGCTTCGAATCCATCGTCATCGATTATATCCCCACGAAGCGATTGCCGAAGACAAGGGTGTTATTTTGGTGGGGTTTGAGGGCCGCGACTGTCTTGGTTGGTGTTGGTTTGTACGAATTCGAGACGAACGATGTTGGTGTCACGGAGGCTATCAAGAGGATTTGGAAGGCATGAGGGACGAGGAAAGCTTGTATGGTATCGAGTGGGAATGGATTGAGCATACCAGGTAGGCCGTGCGAAGTAGCAGATACATTTTGCCTCAAATGATTTCGAACTTGAATACTGTTTGTTGTGGAATCTTTGAGACATATCGTGGCGCTTTTTTTTCGTGATATTTTATTTTCCAGGAAATCAACTACATATCTATCATAATGAGAACCACTAAGCTTCTTTATTCAAAAAGAGCTGGCACTGTCGATATTGCAAGGCAAGAAGAGTGTTCTCTTGGCTCTTAAGATATTTATTCAAGTCGAGCACATAGCAACCTCAGGCGATGTACTAGCTATCATTTGGCTGTGCCTCGCTTAGCTTCGAAAGACCAAAAACTCACAGAGCCAAAGGCTGGTGTCATAAGAAATCATTTTTGCGACTAACCCTCTCCCATCTCGGCCAAACTTGCATTCGCTTATTTTGCAAAGAACTGCGGCAATTGCGAACACGAAAAAAAAAGAATGAAAAAAATAAGAAAAAAAATAAGAAAAAAAAATTATTTTAACCTGGGCTTAAGAATGAATTGATTATGAATATTCATTTAGGTTCTCTCATATGAATAACTTAAACTCTTTTTCTGTCAAAGCCAAGTCCATCTAGGTTCTCTCACATGGATGCTATACGGTTTTATCGTTATGGCAAAGAAATGCTTATTTAAATCTATACAGACGTTTCTGGCTAGGAATAGACCTCGCTTAATCGCGTGTTCAGCCTTATGCTAGGATCAATCTTGCAATCTGAGCCTTCCTCCCTTCCATGGTCCTACACTCTGTCTGTGTTAGCGCGCTTCCGTCTACATCATAACATTAATCCCACAATTCCTCTTCACCAAGTTTTGCTTTGACCATTGCGCATACACCTCGCGTAGCGCACTTCTCGTTTACATCATAACATTGATCCCACAACTCCTCTTCAACAACCTCTTGCTTTGGCAATCACGCACTGTCACTATGGCGCCGCACATAGATACGGGCGATTTGCAACTCCCAAACTATGACAGGATGTCTAAAGCTGAGCTGGACGATGCCCTTCTCGCACATGGGCTCCCTCCCAACAAACACGGTCTGAAATGGGAACTGGTCCAGACTTTAGTCGAAGACGACAAAGCGAAGCTTCCAGTCACTCCGGTATTTACACAACTCAATGATCCTCTCGGAACATTGGAGGAACAGCACAATAGAGACGTGTTGAAGCACGGTCTCAACCAGGTCACAATTGAGAAAGCAAAGTTGCAATACCAGAAATGGCTGGTCCAGACAACAGAGGCCCACATCATAAAAAAGGCACAAGTTGCTTGGGACAATTACAACAGTAAAGAGACTACGCGCAACAACCGCGTTCGGGGATATACCGCAAGTGAATCACAAGAGTGAGTTATTTCTCAACTTTGATGCTGTTAGCGATATGCTTCCGGCGTGATAGAGACCCAGATCAGTCATGTGGATAGCAGTAATAACGCGTAATAGAGCTTTCCTAAAGGGCAATATTCCTGTAGCCGCGCCTCAGACTGCTCCAGAAACTACGCAGAAGCACACAGAGCTGCCTGATAGCGCGCCTCATCTTATTTCTAAAGTTCCCCTTGCATCTACCCTCTTGAAGCCATGGCTTTTCATCTCTAGCAAAGAATGCGAAGTCAGGGGAGACCGGATTGATCGTATTCGAGCCAAGTATACCAAAGCAGGTAATGCGAGGAGTGTTCGAGCAGATAGGACTGGATACTTTATCCTCTTCCCTGAAGGCGAAGGAGACGAGAAGATTAAAGCGTGCTATACGTATTGGGGGAGCAGAGATAATTGGCTCTATGGTGCAGTGGTACACTTCCAGTTATTCCTAGCGGACGAAGGTACGGATAGTTCTGAAGATATTGCTAGTCAGACAAAGTAAGCTATACAACCCCAGGCTGATCAGCATCGAGCCAATGGTAGGACGATCAATGCTGACTGTTGATAGATCTGTCGAGCTAGTTGGTACTGAGAAGATAGTCACAGCTATGCCAGATTCCAGGTACGTTAGTGCTGCATTGTTGTCGCAAGTCGACCTTACAAGGTGCCTTCCTTTGTACAGCGCGATTTCCATCATTTGGCTATGAGTCGAAGCTCTACTATTCGATATATTGAGACTGACTTGTACCAGACAACTTCTCGATGCCGCCCATAATCAGGGTTATGAAGCAGAGGAGAGTAGTCAGCACGCAGCGTCAGTCACATCTCTCTATAATTCAGAAGCAATAGCTTTTGATGCTGACCATGTATAGCCCTAACACGAACGGCACGAACGAGGTCATTCCAAGTCATAGCACGAAGCGCAAGAACAATAGTATGCATGATGCCACTAGTGCAATAGCCAAAAAGAGCAAGAAGAAGGACTCTTCAATGGAGCCCCAACAGCCCACCATTGAGACACCGCCCTCCGCCCCGTATCTGGTTTTGCCTGCATCTAGAACGAATATTGATCGTGAATGGCTCGAAAAGTGGATTAGAAGAAATCACGGATCTCGCGACATCCGCGTCAGAACCGATGAAACTGGATACAAGCTTCTTTTCAAAAACTTAGAAGCCGCTTGGGCGTGCTATAAAGTTTTCCAATACAGGGCTTTCTGTACCTTTCCAGACAAACCGCTAGGTTATCTCCAATATTTCGAGGAAATCCATGCTGGAAGTGGGGTAGCGAATTTGTAAGTCCTACGATTACAGAACCTCGAAGTCCGCATTGTGCTTGTGCTAGAATATCATGACTAACTTAAAGACACAGACAAAGTGATGACGGTGCTCGTGGGAAGTCCACCATCATGAGTACTATCGAGTAAAAAGCATTCTTAACTATCCAAGTTTATCTTTGGTGTTTACTTGAATCATGGCGGGGCTAATTTAGATTGATAGACCAGCCGCAGATGCCTCCACAAAGCCTACGAATTACATATTCATTGCCAAAGACCAGCTCCCTTCCGAAGAGGGCCTTGCTATGTCTTTAATGACAAAGTTCAAGTCTCATGGTCCACAGAGTGTTTGGGAAGACTCTATGGAATACTGTATCGGTTGGCCATCTGGAAAGGAAAAAGCTGTTATCAAATGCTATCGGGATAAGGGACCAAATGACTATCACGTCTATAAGGGTCGAAAGATAGAGCTCATGTTCAGATTGGCGAGGCCGTAAACACTAACGTATTTGTCTTGATGTTTTGCTGTACATGTAGGTTTTGATTGTATATGTGGCGAGAATGGGACGAACAAGGACAGTAGGGTGGGCAACAAAGTGTGTAATCGGGAGCCAACAAGGTCTGGGAAGATACCCTATTTGTAGAATAATCTCAAGCAAATTTTTGAATGTACATCCTCGAGTCATACCCTTTGTCGCTTGTATATGCCGTTCTAGCCATCATATTCGAAGTTCATGACATCGAGCTAAAACAGATTCTTGAATGTACGCTCTCGAGCCGCACATTTCCTTGCTTATGTGTGCCCTCATGGGAATAATCGAGGTCGACGATTTCGGGCCACTAAATGAATGCTCAATTCACCTTTGTAGGAAGTGCAAGAATTCTAAGCAATACTTCCACTGCGACTCCTTCATCCACAGTACCACAACATCAACCTCAACAACAATTCAAAACCATCAACATCATGCCCAAGGCAACAGATGATTCTATAGAGCTCCCCAAGTCCTACGAACAATGGTCTTACGATCGAGCGCGATCCGAATGTAGCCGTCGTCATCTCTCAACCACAGGCCTCAAGTATGAACTCATCCGCAACATCGTCAACAACGATATCGAGCAACGCGGCCTTCAACCTGTCATCGTTTATGACAATGACAATGACCCCGACGGCTCCCTGGAGATGGTCCAGATCGCAAAGGATGAAGAGGACTAATTGCGCGATCTATCCGTCCATGAAGCTGAGATGACTTATATCAAGAGAAAGGTCCATCGGTTGAAGGCGAGGAAAAAGAAGACGGAGGAGCGCTTGAGAGCTTTGAGTGATCGAGCGGCCAATCTGATGTAAGTGAAGCTCCTGGTTGAGCCTGGAAGACGATTCTGCTTGAAGTTTAAATACGTCTTCAAGAGAACATCAATGCTAACTTGTCACATCAGTGTTACGAAATGTCCACACAAGACCCAACCCAATGAAGGCTCTTCCGAAGGCATCGACGAGTCTGGCGACGTCAGTGAAGGTGAAGCGGGATTGGAAGGAGAGACTGCTGAGACTTAGAAAATGAAGTACGAAATGGAGAATGTTGCCACTGGATGGCAATTGTCACAGAATCGGGAGTACTTTGAGCAATGATCGGTCATGAACATAGGGGGATGCGTCGGCCTCAATGCTTTCGTTGCTCATAGAATTCAATTCATGAACTTTCACATCCAGGCCTTTCTTTGCCTAAAATGATTCTAGGGTTGAATCGTCAAGCAGTCATTTCATATAATCTATCTCTGTACATATTATCTCTCATCTCCCATAAACATCTGCACATGATTCGTCTCCCACTGCAAAAAATCTCCCAAATCATGTCCAAGATTGAACCCCATAGGTATAATATCTCCATCCTTCAACGGACTCACTCTCCCCAGATCCAGCATCGGCGAATCCGGCATGCTTTCCGCTACTGACGGTCTCCTCACCTCAATGACAGGCGGCGGCATAAGTCTCGGAGCTGCGGCTCTGGGTCTTTCGTTGATGACGAACTTATTCGTGTCTACCTCCTCTCTGGGAACTTCTTCCACGATCTTGTTAGTATCTATCTCTGCTCTCCAAGTCTTTATCAACTGCTCTTCTGCTGCTTTGTATATACCATCAGCTCTCTTCTCTCTCAAATCGTTTCTTATAGGCAGTGGCTTAGATTTGCGAATTTCGACCACTGCACTCTTCACGTCCATCGGCAGCGACGACTGCAGCCCTCCCAGCTCAAGTCCCAAACTATTCCACCAAGCCTCAATCTCATCATGCTCTACCTCGTCAAGTTCCCACTCGCTATCACTTCTAACGTCATGGCTGTACTCGTCCATATTCCCCGATATAGCCATTTGGAACGCTACCCAATCCAACCCCTCCTCGTCTGGACTGAGCGATTTATCTTTCCTAGGTTTCAGGATCCGCTCGATTCGTATAGATCCATGTTTGAAGAGCGGGGATAACATGCTGAAGTTTGTGGATGGGAGGAGGATAGGACTTCGTGGTTTCTCAACGACTTCCGCGACTGATCCGCTCTGTGCAAAAAATTGGGTTGGGGAGAGGTTTAAGGGCGAAACTTCGGAGATGGTGGGCAGAAGTGGCACTGCGGACGGGCGTCGTGGGTTCTTTGGTGGTAATGGTGGTGCGGGGAAAGAATAGTCGTTGAATATCATACCGGCTTTCGCTTGAGGAGGAGCAACTGGCGTTGTGAGCTCGCTGTCTTTGCTCGACGCACTCGACGTGCTTGCCGTCGCGACGCTTTTGTTTACTTGTGTCACTGGAGGCGGCGGTCTTGGACTAGTAAATGCAGGAGGAGGCGGCGGTGGTGATGCCGCTTCTTTCGAACCACCAGTCTTGCCAAATGTGTCGAGATAGAACGGATCAGTGGGTGTCCCAAAATCATCATCGCCGTCCGTTTCATAACTAGTACTTGAGCGTGATGACTCTGCACTCTTCCTCCTCTCTTCCTCAGCCGCAACTTGCTCCTTCAGCTTCTGGATCCGCATCGGTGTAAGCATTTCATCCGCCTCCAGCCTGAATCGTCTCCCACTGAACACGTCCACCATGTTTGCTGTCACATCGTTCAACGTCCATCGAGCTGGAGTGTCAGATTGCACTGGCAGGGGTGGAGGCGTCGAGCCAGACGCTCTATTGAATAAATTCGATTTACTTTTCCTATGTCTCTTCGCCTTTCCTGTCGCTGCGAGTGGAGTGGGTTTAATTTTGGCGATAGGGGACCGAGCGGTGGGTGATGCAGGTACAGGCGATCTGGACTTCCTCATGATGCCACGAGAGATCGATAGTTTGGGTGCTACAAGTGTGGACTTGGTGTCATACCACTCTTGAGTCGCGGCTTTTGCGTCGGCAAGAGCTGTGCCTACAGCTTTGAATGCTTCGTCTGTTTCGCGGATTAATTGTTCGACGTTGTTTGAGAAATCTTCCATATCAGGTTGAGAGATGTATTTGACGCTTTGTGTTGGTGTTCTGTCATTGTCGTGGTCATAGGTTGCTGTCTCGAATAGATCAGCCGCAATGATTGGAGGAAGTGATGGAGGTGTTGCGATACGTATTTTCGAGGCTGCAGTCAAGCTCGAAGACCTAGGCAATGACTCTGGAAATATGAGTCGCCATGATTTCGCATCGTCAGAGGCATTTGTGGGTAGTGCTGGAGGCAAATAAAGAATTTCTGGCCGGACCGTCGCCGACTTGACTCGAGACAAAGACTGCTCAATTGGTACCGGATTCTCATTGCAGTCGCAACTGCACAAAGAACTTGATGATGAATGTGCCGTTCCTGATTGATGTATGTGATGGCTTCGCACTGTCGTGTTGCTGTTCGTCCGTCGAAGGGCGATCACTTCGGTTGAAGGTGCTTCTGACAACCATGATAACCTTTTTGGACTGCTGATCGAGAGTTTCAAGTCTGAGAAACGTGCTTCGTCATAATTTACGCCTAGATCCGGAGTGCTTTGATTCCGTCGTTGAGTGATGAAGCGTTTGATTCGGAAACTCGTCTTTTGAAGCATCATGGTGAAGGGAAATCATGTATACTCGGGCGACAAAAACAGCGAAGAGGAGTATACGAACGATGGAGCAATTGATAACTGAGGCTAAGGCGACATCTCGTGGAAGTATGCTAACAATGATGATATCACGAGGTCTTCTGGTAGGACATGCTCGGGAAAGGAGCGTAAGACGGATTCATGGAACGCAGCAGGACCTTAACCAGCCTACTTTGCTCGATGGGGAACAGATCTAAAATCGCAAAAGAGGAATCGGAAAGAGATTCATTTACATTCGCGTGCTTGACAGCGATGCATGGCGGATAGCCACTTCAACCTCGGAAGGTGATGCAGAAGAATTCCATATTCGGCAAGAGAATATCCAGAACAGCTAGTTTCCATCAGCTCGGCAAGGGCCAGAACCTGAGTAACAGTCTAAGCATTCCAGAAGATTGGCCCTTTGCTCGAATTAATCCACTCGGTAGTGAAATGAAAGTTTGCATGGCTTTGTTCAGTTGAAGAAATGGTACCGCAAAAGTGGCACAAAATGTGAGCTATCACAATGTTGAACAATCAATCCTATCAATATATTGGACAGGAGAGGGGAAAGTCTCGTAGAACGTAGGGTAGCTGCAGCGCTGACCACTTTCCACCTTTCGCTTCCTCGTATGGTGGCTCAGGAGAGCACAGGTACGGCCCGATACATGCAGGATGCTCGTGAAGGTTGCGAGAATGGGAAGAGCAGCAGGTTCAACGGTTACCCACAGCAAACATGCTGAGGAAACCTTTCAGTGACGAGAATTTAGACTTTGATGTCGTGCAGTTTGGCTCTTGGGACAAAGATACCATGATCGAAGCAGGGGCTTTTCATCGCGTACCTGAACCGTGGAAAAAGACATCCATGAAGGCCAGGGTTTCCATCTCATCGATCTTGCAGCCTGTCGATGATAGATTGACCGTTGCAAGGAAGAGGCGCATCTGCAGCAAGCTCCCGTAAGGAGCGGAACTGCTGTGGCCTGCGCCGTCTATTGTCGAGTCTTTCAGCCTCCGATGCAGTAGCTCGGAGGATTGAGTCGGAAGAGGCTGAACGTTTCCGCCATGTTGAGCAATCCAGCATCCGAAGGCTACATGTTTATTGGCGGTGAGTGTTACACATGGAATCTGTATTTGATCTAGGCACGTTGATGTTGGCGTTGAGGTCGGGCGTATTTGCGAGGAACTGTTCAGGTGAGGCGTCGTTGACCACGTGACTGGGGAGCATGTTGAGACGGGAGCGAGGAGATGAACCAAATGTTCTGCAGCAGGATATGCTTGAGATACTGGGTGAGAATGTTTTCTCATACTGAATCAGAACACTTCAAACGTGGGGAATAGTGTTTCACGTGACTAAGCCCAGCCCTAGGTAATGAAAAAGCGAGACATATTGCGCGTTCTGATGACCACGAGATCAATTGACTTTGTGCATATGCATCCTGCAGCTTGAACGGTCTAATATTGAGAATGGCGATGTGCAGATTCGTCGCGGTGAAAAAAACCTCGTGTGATACAATGTCTCGGACAAAAGGTGGGGGAGCTCGCCGAAGGCATCGTCGAGAAGCTGGAGGTCCTAAGTGCTTCCTAAACTGTCAGTTGATGTATTCCGTCAAATTCGTTCTATTGGACACATGTAGGAACAGAGCCTGAGGCCATCAATGATAATGTGAGGATTTGTTTGAAAGCTGAATGCCCTCATTGTCCATATAATTTTCGAGGATCTCGACAACTTTATATACAAAAGAGATAGCCTCGTTGGCTTTTGTTGTCATGAAACACCCCAACAACTCCGGAAAACTCTAACCTCTAACTGTGAACTCCGATTCATGATGCGTTAATAGTCGTTTAACAGAAGACGACGCTCACCTCTTCCCAACCGTATAATAAGAAATCAATAACATCTTTCCGTAGTAGCAGTAACGAGTGTGCCAACCTCATGGGTATCGAACGCCTAATCCAAAATCAATTCGTACAATCATTCCTCACATCACACTCCAAATCCGAAACCCTTCAGTACCAAGAAATGCAATGACGCTTCATCGTGACGTCTATCATCATGTCCCATCCAAACATCCAACATCCTGTGCCATGCCCCTTATATCATGATCATCTAGATCAAGCTCTCTTGTGTAGCTCTGTCCTGCCTCTCTGCAGCTTTTTCGTCGATCGTTGACGTCTCGGAAGGTTGTCTGAGGTGTGGTCCAAGCATGACGGGACTTGTAGCCGTTTTCATGAAAGAGGATCGAGCGTGTGTTGGGACGTGGTGGTACTTCTTCTCGTCTTTCCATGCTGGTTGTGGTGCTTCTTGTGGGGGTCCTTTGAATATCCGGCGTAACCGAGCACAGAACGATTTATTGGAGGGTGTGTATGAGCATGGTTGGTAGCATCTTGAACCTTCGTTGTAAATAGAAAGTCCTTTCATGATGATGATGTCGGATGGAGGTATTGAGGTGGGAAAGAGCTCAGGTTTGTGACTTTGATGATGTTGGTGACAGTGGCAATGATGCTATGATGTATGATAAAGCCTTCGACCCGGTGCTCGTCGTGCACGTTAAAGTATAAATCGTACGATGACAGCTATGAGCTTTTGAAGGTCGTTGAAACAGAATGACGCTGCAAAGGTACCCAAGTAGTCGAAGGGCAATGCTTACGACGATCAACCCCCAAGGCTGACTGAGAAAGCACCGATCCAATGAAGACAACCGACTCAGAAGAGAATATAAGACCACTGATGCAAGAAGACGGCGGAGATGTAGATTTGCCTTCAAGGCAAGACCAGGTGACAGATCGTCGCAAGAACGTAGAGATGCAGATGTACATTGAGACAGCACAGAAGCTCACTGTATATGTACCCTCCACTTGGAGATCAGGCACGTTTCAGAGCCTCAGATATGGACCTTTTAGGACATACTTTTCCTGATGGTGGTCGACGACTGGTTGTTGTGCACTTGGCAGCATCCAGAACGAAAGGAACGGAGTGAGTCCACTCTATTTGGTATCCAATTGTGTGTCAAGAAGGCCAAATGCTATGTTAGCGAAACCATCAGTCCCGAACACAGCAAGCCACGAGTGAACATCATGGCCGAGAGTCCACACACACCAAGTCCACGTTCCCGTCCCAAGTGGCGACTGACAGCTTTTCAGAAATCCTTGGTCATACCCTTAACAAGGCCATAACAAACCTGATATGATCGACCAAATCTACAATCGTCAACATCGATGACCCCAGACTTTTCGAATTCTCTCCTCCTTACGCCTGCGTCGATCGGACGATTCGCGGCGGAAAAAAGCAAAAGCCAAAGCAGAGCATTCTGGAACGGGAACAGTCTTAGGGATACCTCGGATACCCTCTCCAGAGGTTGAAGAGGGGAAATAACTCCACATTGGAGTTGAAGACTGCGTGGGACCAATAAGGAATTCAACTAGCCGGACATCCCCAAAGGAAAAAATTCTTAGCTTGTCATGCATGAACACGCCCCAAAAATTCAGGGTGTCTCGACTGCTCTTCGATGCGACGATGCATCCCGCCCCCAATCTGGACCTAAGATAAGAGAGGGCTGAAATCTGGGCGCTGAATCTGTGCCGCCATAGGATTCAGCTGTCAAAATGGTGGTGTCAGGACCAGTCAGGGATTGCACTACAAAATCCAAGACTTCACTAACAACCCGCAGATCCAACAGACTGGATCAGTCTCGGTCGTCGCAGCTGCCGAAAGCTCACTTGAGTGCGCCACAGGCTCGGTGGTGCCCGATCTCCTGGACTTGATTGCTCGTGTCGTGAGTCGTGACAAGCTGTTGATGTTCTCCATTGCGCGATTTCGGTGAGTTTCTTGGCCTGGAAACTGCTGACTAATAACCGTTTCTCACATCGATCCTTGCCTTGCTGCCCTCAGCCCTTACTCTGACGGCAATACGAACCGAGCAAGCCAGTGGTGTTTACTGTATGTTCAGCCGCGGCCGACACTGGTTTGAGAGGTGTCAATACGATCTGCAGGTGAAGGATATGATAGGCCGCTGAGATCTTTCATCGAGGCCCTTACATCTCCGAGTTTATGGTCACGTTGACGTCGAGGTTCCTTGAGAAGCCGTTGCTGTGCGACAGAATCGACAGAATGTCTTCCATCGTTGGCGAATCTGTTCCACCAATCCCAAGAAGGTAGAATGAGCGTGGCGTGCGTTACTTCAGCAGATTTCCATGACCGTTGAATCACTACCAACATGGCGTGATAATTCCATGAGGAAGATATCAAGCGTGTGAGTTTGATTCGTTAGTGACTCCAGCAAGGAAGAGGACTGGTCTAATTTTTAGTACAAGGTGTCTGTCTCGGCATAAAAGGCCGAAGAAAGCTCAACAACATGCACCAGCTTTCTCTCGACTACCCAATGACCCCAATACGGCTTGATACATTATCAGTATCGAAGAGACCCATACTCTGCTTCGCAATACGAGCTTCGGCTTTCGGATCTATAATCTTCAACGACAATGCAATCGGATATCGTCCAAGCAGCCGTCTTACTACGCCAACGCCCCCAACTCTCGGTGTCTTGCACAGTAAGACGGCCACCTCGGCATTTCAGTATACCGTAGTATTTCACCTCGTGCGAATACTGCTTAGTGCTAAGTTCCAGCCCGAAGCCGCTTCATCAGCTTGCTTGACATGTTTTTGTTTGACATCCACCAAGCTATTTCGGGGTCAAAAGAACGCCCCAACCTTATCCCAACTATTCAAATTATATTCAAACGTCCGGTATTACATAATTTGACTCAATCCCCTCGATAATCTGGAGAATTAGACAGAAATAAACCTGAGACAATTTGTACACCGGCTTTAGTATATGAGTGATAGCTTTGAGTAGAGATCGGCAATTTCCAGATGATCTTGTCATCTATTTGGAAAGTGGACTTCGTAGCACTTCATCAGATTACTAAAAAGATCTTGAGCATCAAGACTTAGGCACGTGACTATGCTGGACTTCTTATTCACTTGAGGCTTCTCCTGCAACTATCGCTGATATATACACAAGAGGCTTGTAAATCATAGAGGTAGTTCCGTCTGTTTCCTGCAACTGCAAGTGAAGCTGTCGATTACGTAGCAACACTGGACGAAGCTACGCCCGACCAGATTGTCTAACGGCGACTAGGCTTTGGCATGCATTCCAGCTGCGGGAGTAAGAAGAGCTTCTAGACAATTAAGATGGATATGAAGCACGAAAAAACCATCATGGAAGGAATCCAGAGCGACCTCTTTGAGTTACCTAGGTAGTTGATCGACCTGGAAAAAAGTTTATGATCATGTGATTCTCAAACATTTGGGTACAAAAAGTCTGCAAGCAATAGAGGAAGGAGCGACAAGTAAAGCGACATGCAACAAAACTGAATTTGAAAGTCCCTCAGAGTTTCGAGACTTCAAGCGGCAGGTGCAACCTCGAAACTCATCAAGTGAGCCTAGCCTACTAGGCTTGGTACCTTGCCTTAAGCGACTCCATTCAGCCAATGAAACCACGCATAACAGTGATTACTGGTCATGACGTACATCACCAGGGTTATTTGGAAACGGCCTCTATTCACTCCCCTCTTCCTCTCAGCCTCCCATTTGACATTTAACTTCACAACCTCCACCTATAGATTTTCGACTTTCGAACACAAAATCACTGCAATCATGAGCGCACAACAGGTCTGCCCCGTCGTTGGCACAACCAACACTATGCTCCCTCCCTCTCACCCAGACTTTGACAGTAAGTAACCCCCCTTTGCCTTTTACTTTAAAGAGGAGTACGTTGACGAATCCCAGTGTCAAAATCTGGTCAAGTCTGCCCTGTGACAAACGCCTCGACCGATCATCATCACATCCTCTCCAAACACCCTGGCCTCCCTTCCAACATCACCGACAAGGACGCAAAGGCTTGCCCCGCACTAAAGGAGACAATCAATAACGAGGAAAACAAGGCTCTCGACGAGGGTATCTGTCCAGTCGTCGGTCCTGTTTCTACTGTCCTCCCACCCGATCACCCGAAACCCAAAGACGGCGCCGATGTCTGTCCAGTCACGAAGGCATCCTTGAAGCATCATGAGGGAAAAGTTGTGAGCCATCCTAGCATCCAAGGTGCAGCTGAAGGTGCTGTTTGCCCAGTTGTTGGAAAGACCAAGGCTTGATACATGAACATTATTGGATTGAAATGAATCCAAACTGGTTGCAGACTGCAGCAAGTGGCTGAATTCGGATTGGAAACGGCGTTCTTTGGCAGGTGGTAGGAAATGGATGGGCGGCATGCGTTGTCTTTCAAATTCAGCAGTATCAATGCACATGAGTTTCCACAAGTCTCCTCCTTCCGAGTCGTACCATCGGAAGAAAAATCATGGCAAGTCGCAGCACTCTGAAGCCACCCTTCGTCAGATTTGTGATGATATCATGACCTCTACGATGTGGTTCGATAAATCCAGTAAAGTTTGAGAGTTACACAACGACGGGTACTACCCGTAGATGCGGGGAAGCTATCGACAAATTCCGAATTCATAAAGTTCTCGGGAAGAAATAGCAAACAATGCATGTAAACACCAAAGGAGGAAGAGACTGAACGTTGCGGCAGTGGCAAGTTACACAAGTTAGACTGCATGACATAAGCTAGAGACGAAAACTCCAAAACATGCGAGGCGAATATTGTTTCTCTCGAATTGCAAGTTCGAGGTTACTCTGATAAAAGTTGACAATGCTTCTCCTGACGACTCCTTTATTTGCACGAAAATGAACTTAGTCTGTTTCGAGCCCTAGCGCGCCCCGCATCATATTGCTAAGCAGACCTCCATCTTCAGCAGTCAGCATCCGCGTTATCCTTCGAATCATATCCGGTTCAGTGCAGTTTGGACGTTACTTTCTCTCTCATTACATTAGAGGGCTTTCGCTAGAATCATGGACATGTCATCTGCAAGCGCTTCTCCAGTGCGGGTCAGCGAGGATGACTGGCACAGCGTCAAGGACGCGAAGAAGCGCAAACAGATCCAGGATAAATTAGCACAGCGTGCAAGACGTGGGTCATCTTTCATTGAGGGGCACTCAAGTCACTGTCAATTTGTGTCATTGGTCATAATTACGACAATGCTTTAGTCGTTGCCAGTGGACCGAAGCATGTCCATGTCAACATCTTCACGTCTGAAGTGTTCAGGTGGCGCTAGAACTCTGAACTGGGGACCTTTGCACATGCTGATCTTGTTGTGCTTAGGAAAACGACTGCGAGAAACGAAAAAGATTAAGCAACAGACAGTTCAATTTCCAGAATCGCAGATGGGTCACCATGGGACCGAGGGGCAGACTGCATCGGATGCTACGGTTCAACTTGCTCCTTCTTCTCTCGATCCAACTTTATGTTCATCCTTTGGAGATGTTATATTATCATCGTCGTCTCTTACTCCGTCTTTCGACTCTTCGTCGTTCCTACAACCTCCCAACCTGAACTACGAGCTCCCTTACCAGCTGACTTTGGCTGGTGCTCTGTTCATCAACGGCCAAATCCTGGGTCTATCTTGCAGTGTCAGTATTCCAGCCAGATCCTCACCTGCCTCACCGGATTGTCCCCCTGCACTGCGTCCTACTGCGACTCAATTGCTCACAGTGCATTCCCATGGAGTTGACCGTTTCCCATTCCCAAAGATGCGAGACAATGCTATCAACCTTGCCTGTCTTATCGACGAGGAAGAGCTGACACGAGACCTTTTTCTTATGCCGAGTTTCTCTCTCGCTGCTGGATGTACACCGTGGGATCCGAGGGCATGGAAGGTAGAGAGACCCTTTGCAGATAAATGGGCGTTTCTGTTCCAGTGACGAAGCTGTCGCTTGTATGCTAGATTGGGCCACCACACCTTCCTTCTAGTTTTCGATCCCGAATCACAAGAATGCAGAACTCTGACACGAATCGAACAAAAAGTTGAGATAACGGTCAATTTCTTGGACCGCCGTCTGCTCCAAAACCTCTAATCTAATACTTCTAAATGAGAGGTATACACAATGGAACTACGCCTTTGCAATCACACTCAAGATCCAATCAATCACTTTTTGTGGCTGACTTGCAGGAGGAATGTGCCCGGTCTTGATACTGGTAACATCGACCTTCTTGCCACTTACCTTCTCAATCAATTCAATCTCGTCCCTCTGCATCCTCAGCGGAATAACCAGGTCTTCCTCACAGATCAAATACGACACTGGAATGTCCTTATATCCAGCATACGTCAACTCGTTGGTGAAGCTGACGGCGGAATGGGCAGGCATTCTTCGGATCCAGGCTTCGCCTTCTTCCTGGGGAATGTCGCTGAAGGATATAGATGCTGCCCTGGGGATATCATTCTGGTGAAACCAGCCACGTTCCTATCATATTATTAGAGAAGACGGTGAAAAGAGGAAAGGACGACATACGTCAAGCCTGAATTGTACCCGGTGCTCTTCCTTCACGTCTGTCAACATAGCCATGGCCGACTGGCCAATATCGGGGACCAAGCAAGTCATATAGGCCAGCTTCACGATTCCACCCTTCTTGCCCTGGGCCTTTCTCTCTTCTATTCCCAATCCCTTGGTGCTCTGGGACAAAGGAATGCCTCCATATGAATGTCCAATGAGAATGATATCCTTCTCCTGGTCTACAAGTTTCTCAACCTCTTTGGCAATGAACGCAGCGTCGTCGTACATAGTTGGCGGAGCTCCCTCTCTGGGTCCAGTCGTGAGTCCTACGGTGAGAAGGTGCAGAGCTCGGATCTCATAGCCTTGAGCTTTGATCGGATCCAGGACCACATCGTAGAACTCTGGGAGTGCAAACGAGCCTGGGATGAAGAGAATTGAGGGCTTGGATGTAGACATTCTTGATGTAATAGTGGAAATCAATGAAGCTAAGAGAAATGATAGAAATTCGAGTCTGATGAATTTGGTGTTAAGTACCTTCTCTGTTTGTGCAACATCATCGCCTACCTATATATATTTCCCTCTTTTCGTAATTAACGGACAACTTTTTTCAAGTCGGAGACATCTTCTGCTCGATCCTCTCATAAATCTAACTTCCTGTTCCGCATGCGTTCATTTCTGACGCTCGGTATGGGATTTCTGATGCTTCTGACAGTCAGAAAGGCGGGGCACAGACGATTTAATTGGGTGTTCAAAACGAGAGTTTGCATTGCGGGGCAAGTAGGATTCGAGCCTCCTTTATGGACCCATGCTGCTATTACCAATCGTACCACCGACGGTCCATTGTTTGGCCGCCCTTGGTAACTTCCGCTGGCTTCTAATGTTCTTTCCTTCTCTCCTGAGAGTCAGAAAATATGAATTCAGGATGAGTTGAGCAGTTACGGATCGTCGTTAACCACTCAGCTTAGCACTTGGTGTTAAATCCGATGATCTAAAATAGGTGGGTTTTGAAATAAAGTGCTGACAAGTGGGACAAACCCAGACAGAGCTGTCGAAGCTTGATGTTGGCCGAGGCCATGATAAGATTACTACGCAAGAGAAATACCGTTCATGTTGCGCAAGCAGCGGGCATGTTTCCACGAAAAGAATTGGTGGCCGCAACTTTGAAGTCTCCTGGCAAATCAAAATCTTCTAGCCGGAAGACCTCGGCAGCATCATGCCTTACTTTGCTCCGTTTCCAACCCACAAAGCCTTGCCACCATGCCACTGCACGAATTGAGCGAGGGCACGATCATGCAACATGAATCGCGGTTATATGCAGGGCGGGGAGTTGAGATGTGAGCTTGATTTGTAAGAAAGTCAATTGGTCGTCTCGCATCGCATTCTCCTATATCGCGTAACGTCATGGGTAAACGGACGTAGACCCTTCTTATAGCTCCTCTTTTCCTCATTTTCACTTCCTACCTCAGTTGACGTCCAGATACGATACTCAATCATGGTTCAGAACAAAGCTCTCATATTTAAGAAGATTCCTGAGGGACTGCCAGTTCCTGGCAAAGACCTCGTCGTCGAAACCCGCGAATTCGATCTCGAGCAAGCCCCTCCATCTGGTGGGGTCACGACCAAGAATTTCTATGCCTCCCTCGATCCCTACCAACGAGGCCGTCTACGCTCTCCCGAAATCAAATCCTACTCTCCTCCATACACGCTTGGCCAGCCTCTCAACAATAATGTCGTTGCTAAGATCATAAAGTCGGACAATCCCAAATTCAAGGCGGGCGATTTGGTTAGCGGATCCATTTCTTTCGAAGAATACTCGGCTGTCTCCAAGGAGATGGTTGATGCTACGTTCAAGAAGATTGATAACCCGTACAATTTGGATCTTATGACGTTCACTGGAGCGTTGGGCATGCCTGGTATGACTGCATATTCATCCTTCTACGAAATTGGCAAACCACAAAAGGGAGAGACAATGTTTGTGTCTGCAGCTTCGGGGGCAGTTGGTCAGCTCGTTGGACAACTGGGAAAGCATGCCGGGCTCAAGGTTATCGGATCCGTTGGTTCAGACGAGAAGTTGGATTTCATTATCAAAGAACTGAACTTCGATGGTGGTTTCAACTACAAGAAAGAGAAGCCAATAGATGCTCTCAAGCGCTTAGCACCAGAGGGCATCGATATCTACTACGAGAACGTTGGAGGAGAACAGCTTGAAGCTGCTATTGATTGCATGAACAATTTTGGCAGAATCATTGCTTGCGGAATGGTGTCAGAATACAACAAGGCTCCGAATGAAAAATATGGCATCAAGAACTTGATGTTGGTTGTTGGCAAGCGGTTGAAGATGCAGGGTTTCATTCAGGGAGATGAGAATATGGCGCCTAAATATAGGGAGGAACGGGATAAGAATGTTGCGAAGTGGCTGCATGAGGGAACTTTCAAGGCTAAGGTGAGCGTTACGGATGGAATTGATAATGCAGCTGAGGGTCTGGTTGGAATGCTTCAAGGCAAGAACTTTGGAAAAGCAGTACTGAAGATTGCTGATCCAGAAGTGAGTGCTAATTTGCCTAGATTGTGAACTCGATGCTAACGTTCTCTAGTAACTATACTGACATCAGATATGAATATGGCATTTTGAGTGTACTATACAAGAATGCATATTGAATTCCAGCTTCTTCGTATTTGATGGCGCGACTCACAAATGCTATCTCTGCTGCATATTGCCACTTTGTCCGTTGCAAATGTTCTGTGACCTCGTGGAACATTCGATCAAGTGAAAGGCTGAAAGCCAAGTAATTATTTCTCGAGTTTTGAAAACCGTTGGACAAGACGTACTATTTCATACTGCACTTGTCTACTTTTCGCAAGAAAGAACCTTCACCCTGACTAGAACCCAGATGTTCTATCTGTGACGTGCTTTCAATTTACTCGGAAGTTGCGATAGGTACTCTATCCTGGGCAAAGTAAACAAACATCCTAAAACAGGTGAAAGAAAACACTCTACAATCGCAAGTACGGAGGAAAGAACCTCTTCACGGATACATGTAAGACTCGCATTTCTTTCATTTTCGCGTTGTTTCGAAATACGCGCTAATCAAGTCGTCTTTCTTTCCGTTAGATTTGCGATTCCTCGAAGCCACACCCTTGGTTCTCAACGCGCAACGCCAGACTCATCTACCGCAGCCAAGATGGACGATCACAGCCTAAAATGGAGGGGTTTCAAAGTGCATGAGCTACAGGAGAAGCTGGCTGAGCGTGGTTTGCCTAAGAGCGGTATTAAATCTGATCTGATTGCGCGTCTCGAGAAGTACGAAGAACAGTACAGTCCGAAGCCTACACCTCCTGTATCTCCACCTCCACCTCCCGAAATACCATATGCTCGAGACAGTCATCGTCCAGCAGAGAACGGTCGGAGCGGGCATCGACGCGATCAATCTCTGAATAATCGTAGCGCAAGTCCGTTTGCTCGGTCTCGCATTTCCGGTGGTGCTCGCACGTATGAGAGACAAATTCGACGAGAACGAGGTCGCGAGCGAAGCCGAACGCCGTCACGGTCCTCATCATTCTCAAGCCGTAGACGCCAATCTCGTAACGATCACTATTCCCCAAGGGAGATCACCTCTCCCGCTGAGAACAATCCGACAGAAGCCGAACTTGAAGCTATCTGCTGGGATAACTTCAACAAGCCTAAGGGTGACCGGAAAGTACTTCAGCGTCGAGCAACTATCGAGGCCGAATTCGATGGTAAAACTAGTGAATTTAAGATCAAGAAGGAAGCAGACATTGAAAGACTTGAGAAGAAATATCGAAAGGATATATCCGCGTTCGTGCAGGAGAGGGACGAGAAACTTGATGCATTGGAGAAAGATGAGCTCCTTTTCAGTGAGAAAGATAAAAGATGGGTCTCTGCCTTTAGAAAATTGAAGGTATGTGCTTTATTCCAAGAATCGAGTGTCCAGTCCATTGATGCCTTGCAGAATCTTCGAGCAGCCAGAGGTCTTGCAACTTGGCCCAACGACTTCGACCCTGATCGCAGAGGTCATCACCGCCCACCCCTTCCAGGCTCCATCAACTCCGAGTCTGCTGCCAGTACCATTCATTCTCATGGATTCCCAGCAGTCAGTACTCTCAAACGTAAGGCAAGCGAATCCATGACGGCCTCCCCGACCCTAGAAACTCCAAACAAGCGTCTCCATGACGAGAAGGATTACATCCACACCAAGTCGGGCCCGATCCCCATTCGTCCACTCTCTGATTCCAATATCGAGAATACGCCCATCATCTCAACACTCAGCTCATCAACTCCATTCATCTTCCTCCCCGAGTCAAGTTGCAAAGTCAAAGGAGAGAATATTGAGCACATGAGGACTATGATAAATAAAAGAGGTTATGACTACGAGGCCGTGCGGGCAGATGATACCGGATACTTTATTCCCTTTGAGGAGTCGGAGAAGGGGAAGAATGATGCGAAGACGTTTCACAACTGGTATGATAAGGAGTTGTTCAAGGGCAAGGTCATGCACTTGCAGATCTATAATTATGAGTGATTGAGGAGTTGCATTATTGTTTGGTAGTGATGGAGTGCTGTGGAAGTATAGGGAAGGTTCTTTGCATAGTGTCGCCTTTTTTTATTGCAAAGCTAGCTATGATTGTCTCATTTTCTAAATGCCAATACTCTCATTATAAAAGAGAATTCCAGTGTTGAACGTTTGGAAGTTTTGCAATGTTTGTCGTCTTGCCGAACTTACCTAACGCCCATCCAGATTTCAAAGTCCTGTCTCGAAGTCTGCACATTCATTGCCCCCAACTTCCAGAATCGAGGAAAATTTTCACTGCCTCATTCTCCACCACTTTCCATAACCCATGCCCACCAAAGGCCAAAGTCATGTTTCAAAACCAGTGCAAAGTTTCCAAATTCGAGATGAAAGACAAAGATTCAACCTTTTTCTATGCCCTTCCAAGCCTTTCTACTAATCTTGGTCAAATCCTTCAAAGCGTCACCCAAGTTCTCAAGCGCCTCCTTCAATGTCTGGATCTCATCCACACTAACCTTCTCATCCTTCCCCCAGATGTCCCGAATCTCCTTCTCGACACTCTCTATCACGGTGCTAACCTTTCCCTTGTCTCGATGGCAGAGAGTCGTCACCATTTGTTGCCGTGTGCGGCGGCGCCAGACGACCGTGTCCGGCTGGTAGTTCCTGCAACAAGCGCGAATTCCTATACTCGTAAGTCTGTTATAGTTTGTCACTGTGAAGGAGGACATGGTGGACGATGTTGAAGATGGTGGAGTTTTGGTATCGTGTGAGCGATTTTTAGAGTGAGATGAGAGGTTGCTAGTGTAAGATAGAAGCGGATCGCCATTGAATACTCAGATTTGGCGCTAAAAAGGGACACACTAACTTGCAGAGCTTATAAAAAAGATTTACCACAACGTCTTCTGACATAAAAAGAGAACTCAACTTTCAAATCACGAATGCCTCGAGCAACCCCCCAAGTCCTATGGTTGTATGCTCGTGTATTATAAGTAGACGTCTGATTAGCGCGATCTTAATCATCAAAGATGAACTTTCAGGTGTTTCATGCTTTCAGCAGAGTCCAAAGCACAGATGCGCGCCTGGCAAACCCCTACTTCTGCTAAGCAAACGCTCTATTGTGAAACGCCACCCTGATACTCGCGTATGATGTAGCAAATTATTAATATTATGCTATTAATTGTCCTTTTACAAGAATCTCAGCTTTATGTAAGCAATATATTCCTCCCATAAGTTTTACCCCGCCCCCTTTCATAACCGAAGTCTCGCTTAGCTTGCCAAGCGTCAAAACTGCCCCACGCCATCAGCATGCATCATGAACATGATGAGAGAACGGAGATCGACGGCATGGTTTTCGCACAGCGATGATTGGGTTGAAAACAAAGAATTCATCTGAGTCTTGATTGATAAACTTGCTTTGCTGGATGGCGGACGCTCAGACGATACTCGATCCTACTCGTCGCCTCCTCTTTTTTACTTCATTTCCAACAGGCCCCTCTCATGTGCATAATACTTGAAATAACACTATTCCTCTCCACAACGGTTTAAGACCGACGATGAGCCAGTTAACCTATCTTTCCCAAGCAGCAGCATTGACATACAACCTCAGAAAGATAGAGGAGATACTTTCTCACCATGTCCATCAGGAGGAGTCGTGATCTCTGATTGTAGGTCCACCAAGGAGAACCTCAAACATTCTTTCTGATCTGTAGCTTGAGTTGCTGCTTGCCCGCTAATATCTACCGTCTTGTCTGGCATTTGAATTTTCATGTTCATCGGCTTCTTCTTCTCTTTCTCCATCGCGGCAAACTCGTCGAAAGGCGACATCGTGGGTGCTTTTCCTTCAGGGAAGAGTATGTCCGAGCTGGGATCCCTTATCAGCCTCTGAGCCTTGGGCGTCCTAACCTCCTCATTTTGCTTGTTTATGCTGGGTACCGAGTTTTCGTTCTCGCTTTTTGATACCTCGCGCTCGCCGGTCTTTGCACTATATCCCAACATTTCGCCTAGGTCGTCACTCAACTCTCGCATCTCTCTTTTGTATTCTTCCTGCTCCTTCTCCTCCATTTTCTCTATGTATCTGCTTGCGCTCCGTGGACCTATCAATTTGTCTCCTACTTCAGCATCGTCGAAGGTCGAATGAATTTGGGTTCTATATCTAGTTGCGGTATGATCGAAATGCAGAGGAATCTCCTCGTTGGTAGGGCGGCCACTTGGAAGCCTTTCGTCCATATTGCGTGAGGCTTCCATCTGCATCCGAGCATCATGCTCCAGGATGCCTTGTATGAGCTCAGCTTGATTACCGTGAGAGTCTACGCCAAGGGATCGGCACAATGCTCTAAGGTCCTCGATCCACATATCTGCGTAACGTACGTATGCGTCATATGTATCTGGATCCATGGTGATGGTGTCGTGCCTGAATGATGATGGAATATGTGGTGGGTTAAAATTTGAGATGTTTGTGAAGATGCCGAAGGATAGGCGAAATCGTGCATCGTTGGATTGAAAATGGAAAGCGCACTGTTGCATGATACGGAAGGTGCGTTGGGAATGTATACTTGAGGAAAACTAGAAGTAGAGAAGGAGCAACCTTACCGTCAATCAGTAAAAACAAAAGTTTATATTCACCAGCAATACCAAAAGCATTAGAGTAGTCAAGGTTCAATTCGATTCAGCTGCTAAGAACCAAACCGAAAACTCGTGTCAACGAACTGAGCCAGGTAGCATCAACCACGGCTGAGGCACTCCTGCAGACAGTTCCACGGAAATATTCTTCCTACCCTAAGAGTACCACTCACAGATTCTCCTCCTCACTGATCTCCCCCGAAGACGTGAAGCTTCCACTATCTCCTCTGATGATTTCTGAAAAATCCAAGCTCATTGCTTGATCAGTTGCTTTGTTGTAATGGGTTATTGGCGATGTAAGGCAGTCCATTCGATGGGTGATCTCCTCGATGGCGGGGTCAATGTGTTGCTGTGATCTAGATTGAAGAATTAGCATTTGGCTTGTTTGGAAAAAGGAATCTTGATTGGCCAGAGACCGACAATCACCTTGCGAAAGTGTGGAAAGGGCTGACGGAGATTGAATTTGCTTACTCTTCAACAGGAGGGCGTAGCTTTTGACCATTCATCGTGTCTGGTCCTGTCTGCGATTCACCCATCGTGACATCCTCTTTCTGTCCCGATTTTGTATCGATCCCATCGTTCATATTATCATCGTCGACCAGTGGCAAAGATCGATTTTGACCTCCTGGCGGAAAGAGCGTACGTTTGGTTCTGACAATCGGGGCAGGAGCGTCTTCCTCTCTGGCTCGTACATCAGAGCTTGAGCCTCGAAATCCGTCCTCTATCAACGTTCTCAGACTATCTTGACGTACAGCGTGCTGTCGTCTCCGATTATCTTTGCGCTTACCAACCCGTTCTCGTTTTCCACCTCCTCGCCGGGTGCAATCAGGATTCCTAGCTCGCCAGGCTCGATCACTAGCTTGAGATCTAGCAATCATTTCCTCGATCATTTTCTTAGTGACTGGAGGCATATTGACAAGCAACTGTTCCGACTGTTGACGAGTTTGTGCGAGAGGTCGAGGTATTGCAAAATAGATATAGGTTTTGAGAAGTAAATGTGAATTCGAGATCTTTGAGATTTTATAGGCTCTTGCGCTCGACGTCGGACTTACAAGCGTCCAATATTGACAAACACGTGCCCCAGCAATCGTTTCCGTGAATGAGCCGATGAGACCGAATTGCTAGTGGAGTTCTGATATGTTCCCTATCGATATCCATACCGGAAACTGCCAATGGAGCCCTGGTAAGGCTATTGCTGGCGGCGCAACTATCATCCCATCTTGTCCTTCCAAGCCCCGATCATTGAGCAAACCATCCTAAATTCCGCTCTCCTATGGCTCGTCGCTCCAAAGAGCGCTGCTTCCAGTCTTCAATCATTTTCTCAAGTTCATGCTTCATATGATCAAGGCCCAGTAGAAATCCTGATCTGAAGACAAAGCCTTGTAAGCCTGTCAAGGTATTGAGGTAGCCTCTCACATTTCTCACAGTCCCATTGGCAAGAGCGTCAAAAGACTATGTGAGAAATTGGATGCGTTGCTCTGGTTGCCGTAAGTCTCCGAGCACAAGATGGATCACTGGCAATACTCCGCAAATTTTACTGCGACGTACATTCGACTCTTGATTCTTTCCCAACTGTCGGTCCCACCTCGAGATTTCTAGCTGATGAAAATCCAGCGTATATTGATTTGTCTTACACTCAGAGAAAGCGTCGAGTGTGTCAAACCTCCTCAAATACCTCACCTCTCATTTCTGCCCACCAACGACTTTGTTTACCTAGCTCTCCTTCTGGTCCGCCAGTAACCATCCACCATTTCCGCAGGAACCATGGTCGACATTCCCAACTCCTACGATCCCAAGGAGCACCAGTGCCAATATCAGTATCAGAGCCCCAGCAAACAATTCCATCCGCATCAATATCTCTACAAAAGTCTTCTTCATCAAATATCTTCTCTCCACCATCAGCTCCAGCGTCTCCGAGATCTGTGACACAAGATCTCAAAGCTAAAACTCTCTGCCGGAGTGATGGAAATGGCAACGTATCGATGTAAAGAGGATGAGGCTGTTTGACTTGCGCAGAGCAAGGACGCAGATCAGGCTTTACCGAATCGTAGAGTTCCGTAAGTATACTTTGGGGGAGGGAGGTGGTAGCGAATGTAGACTGATAGAATGGTGACGGCGTGAGCTCATTGTGACCTTTTGGACGGCGAATATGTTCATACACGTTTATGCCGATATGTGCCGCATTTTCAAGGCAAGCTGCCATGAGGGCTACGTGGCGGAGAGGCAGATGAGTTACTGAAGGAGATGGGGTGAAGGACAAAGGCATGGTGGACTGAAACCCTTGCGGAGCTGAGGAGTTGCCAGTGCTCGATGAAGAAATAGTCGAAGCGCGGTTGAACGTTTCTGTGATGGATTGCAGACCCGCAAAGATGATTTGATCGATCGAAAAGCCATTTTGAGCAATAATCTCGTTGACGTTACCGCTGGGAAGAATGGGAATTTCATCCGAAATCGTGTTCAGTCCTCCTGAAATAGGCATGGATGAAACATTCTGTGCCTCGAAGGAAATATAGTCTTTGGGTAAGGTCTGTGACTCAGTGAAAGATCTCCAATCAGGAGGTGTCTCTATTCCATGACCGATAATTTTTGCTGCTGGAGGTTGGAAGTTTAGTGATGGTTGACAGAAAGGAATTGTATCTGCGTTCCAAATATCTTGATGTGTCTCCGCATTCAATGCTCCTGAAATGGTCTCCGGCTCACTCCAAGGAAATCCAGCGCTTGTAACCTGCGGAGGGATATGCAAGGCCAGCACACCTGACTCCAAGACTGGTTCAACCAAGCCACTTGTAGCATCTATTACTGAGCGGTCTCCAAGACAGCATGTATCTTGAACTGGACTGTTCTCGAAACAAGACTCCAAGGTGTCCCGCCTGGCACTACCAGGATCGTGCGCCTGTTGAGGACTTTGGCTTTGGGCTTCAACTAACGGCTCTTCCAGGATACGCTTTTGCTTTGCGCCTACAAAGACAACCTGGTTAGTGACGGCGTTCATGTGCAATGAACTTGCGTGCTTACGGGCTCGATGATTCTTCTGAGCTTGCCGATTTTGTTCTCTTCTTCTTTCAGTCATCACCCGTCCACGTCTCTTTGGCTGACAGGCTTGAAGTCTCATATCTTCAACCTGGAATACGCTCATTGCATCGCCATTTGTGACACCTGGTTCTTGGAATGCGCTCATTTCGTGAAGTGGACTTTTTTTGATTGGAGAATCTCCAGACTCGCTCAGCATAAAGGTGTGATGCTATCACTTTGGCATAGCAATGAAGTGAGTCGAGATCATGTGGCTGGAGATGGCTGACCGCTGCAGTCAGCCAACCCTGCCGCTAGTGATGCATGCAAAGGGCTGACGATTAGTAATGATATTTTCCAATCAACGACTTCCTCTCTCAAGCTTTTATCAAGCCTAATGAATTATACGAACCATTAGATGATTAGAGCTTCATACGATGTATCGAAAAAACGAAATCGACATGCAGAATCTGTCAGCCATAGCCGTCAGCCTTTCTTCCCTCAGAGGGAAATTGAAGTATATAGTCATCGACTAGAGAATGGACCCGGAAGCTCAAACCATCTTTGTTCTTCAGACCTCGAGAGATATCGAATATAATCATTCGAAAAACTTGAACCACCACCATGACGACTTTCACTAAGATCCATCATCACAAATCTTACCCCGCAATTGATCCCACATCGTCTGCAAACTCCCAGAAAGGTCGCACAGTCCTCATCACCGGATCTTCCGCTGGAATTGGCTTCGAGATTGCTCGTGCCTTTATCAGCGCCTCAGCTTCTCGGGTCATAATTCTTGGTCGACGACAGGACGTACTCGATGCCGCTGTCTCGAATCTCGAATCTTGGAAGCCTGCTTCTTCGGCCACTATCATCACTCCTTTCCGTTGTGATATTAGTCATGAAATAGAGATCAAAGAGCTCTGGGAGAAACTAGAGAGAGAAGACATTGAAGTTGACGGCCTGATTCTGAACGCAGCCAAGACTGGGCCTTTGGGTGCTACTGCTGATTGGAAAAAAGTGTGGGAATATTTCGAGATGAATGTACTTGCGAATCTGCAAATGGCTCAAATGTTTCTTGCGCAAGGACCAGAAAAAGGGAAAGTAAGTGCACGACGTGATCCGGACAATTTTACAGACTGATCATCAATTCAGGCAATCGTAAATGTCTCAACTGCTGCAGTCCACGTCAATCCAGTGGGAGATCACGGTGTTTATGCATCATCCAAAGCAAGCTTCACTCACTTGCTTCAAGTCCTAGCTGATGAGGTGGATGTTGAATGTTGTCAGATCCTCAGCTATCATCCAGGGCGGATCCTTACGGAAAGTGCAAAAGAGGCAGGATTTACGGAAGAAAGTTTTTCATGGGACAGTGGTATGGTTTTCAGTTTGATATGTTATTGAGGCTCTTCGAGACTAGAAATCAGCTAACAGATATAGTTGAGTTGCCAGCAGCGTGGTGTGTGTGGGCATCCACCAAACAAGCATCATATCTTCACGGAAGATACCTGTGGACTAATTGGGACGTGGATGAACTGTTCGAGATGAAGGAAAGACTTGAGGACCAAGGCTTTTTGAAGTTGGGCTTGCAGGGAGTGGATTCTCTTTCTCATGACGCACTTTTCTCATGACGCACTTTTCGGGAAGATTTGAGGTTGTCTAGCTTTGTAGTTTGTATATGAGTTGCTGAATACTCCTCAATAGAGATACATTAATCACTACTTCGTCACTGGTACCTGAAGTTCGGCAATTCGAGATAGAAAGCCACTTAGTACGTGTGAAACAAAGCTCTGAGGAAGTCGCAGTTCAAGTGCACAAAGAGGTATTCTAAAGCGATTCTTGGTGAGTGGTGGAAGGTAGCAAGGTGAAGACATGACCACAAGCTCCAGTAGTAGATTGCAAGGGCCGAGATGATCAAAGACCAGGGAAATTAGTATGAAGAAAACGAAGCAAATATTCTAATCTTTCTCTGCAGATGTTTTGGACTTACTCAACCTATTCTGCACCTGCCAGAGAATGGTTAAGTGAGAAGAAGAGTGAAGGGGTGACGAGATTGCTGAGCACGTGACTATGATCCAACATGACTTTCCTCTTCTTGCTGTCCGATTGGACGATCTTTGATAGGTTATTGCATAGATCCGAGGTTGAAACGACCTTGAGTTACTTATGGCTTGAGCGGAAAGTCAAATATACTAGACGCGTCAACCATCACACGTGAATATATGTGTACTCTGAATTGTCGGCAAGTGGGGACAATGCATAACCTCAGCCGCGGTGTCACAAAACGTGGGATCTTACTTAATATAGACTCCAGTTGCGTAGCTCGTAGCCCTACAGAAACGCTAGAACGATGAAAACTTCCGAAAAGCTGTTGAATGAAGTGAGTAGGTAGGTGGTGTCGAAAATTATTCACATGTTGCGCCTTCTTAGCCGAGGCACACTACCCCACACTATCCTAGACTCACATCGTCGATCAATCCGGCAGTCCAGCGATAAACCGACGACATGCATCATTGATGTATGCCTTGATGCTTGGATATATATACAATTCCATGCGCAAAGGCAACTCGCATTTCACACGTGTCCCATTTCCTCGATGGTTGTTGTTGATGAGTAGCGGTCCTCGAAGTGAAGACTTTATATATAACAGACGCGAGCCCTCTTGCGAATTCCAGCTTTTAAGAATCTCGATCACATACTTTTGTTGCCTAAAAGACCTCGCAAGAAAGTTCTCTCCAATCGCAGCCTGGAAACTCTCTCGCATGAAAAGTTTCGAGAACCACTTTGCGCAAGGACATCCCGACTGCTCTGAAACAGAATAACGTGAACGGCCGTCAGCCGTGCACTACCCCTCGGTACCTCAACAAAACGCTTTTTTCTGGAGAGTAATTCAGTATGCATACCTTCTTTAAAGAGACTCTGCTTCTCTGTTGTCACGATTTTTGAAGAAACCATGTCTGACCTCTTGTGCCCAGTCATACACATCAACATGAGTGTTCCCACTCCCTTGGTCCTGGTCCTGACCTCAGCGTCTCTGTGCTTTCTGAACGTCCTGGTATTCCCGGACATCTTCCCAGATACTAAACTCACGACTCTGTTTGTTTCTGTGACGGGCGTATTGCTCGTAGTTTGGGGGATATGGAGTGTTGGCATATATCCCACCTTCTATCATCCATTGCGACATCTCCCTAGACCAAAGGTAAGAATGCTATTGTAGCAAGATGTATGGAATATGCTGATCGATTTCGGACAGTTCGGTGCTATACCATTCATCGGCTATCCGAGGATCAGCTTTAGGACACCGCGAGCTGCAGATGCTATGCTCGAGATGATTACTCATACACCAAATGACGGACTGATCCAATTCCCTGGGCTGCTCAACTCGACATATCTTTTGCCAACTGATCCGGCGGCACTCGCGGATATCCTGGTACATAAAAGTTATGATTTCGAGAAGCCGACCGATATTCGCAAATTCCTGCGCATCATTTTGGGAGATGGATTGATTCTGGTGGAGGGAGACGAGCATAAGTTCCAGAGAAAGCACCTGTCTCCAGCATTCAGCTTCCGTCATATAAAGGAACTATACCCAATCTTCTGGTCCAAAGCGACAGATCTGTGCGGACGACTTGCGGCAGAGATATACGAAAATCCAGAGCCGTCAACAGAGCTCAAGACGAGACACCGGGAAGGAGTCGTCGAGGTAAATCACTGGGCGACGAAAGTCACAATGGACATTATTGGACTTGCAGGTAAGTTGAAGAACGTTTGCAAGCCTCAAGTGGAAAATGCTGACCTTTTCAAGGTCTTGGTCGAGACTTCAACACCCTCTACTCTTCGGATGACGAATTAGTGGCCAGTTACGAGGAAATACTCGAGCCTACCGTTCAGAAAGCTTTGTACTTCACGGCCAATCTGTTGTTCTCTCCTGACTTGATCAACAAACTTCCATGGAAATTGAATCAACGGCTGAAAGCAACAATGGGAACCTTGAGAGGTGCTTGTCGTCAACTGATTCAAGAGAGGAAGGAGACCAAGCTTTCGGACCAGGATGGAAAAGTGGATATCTTGTCATTGTTGATCAAATCCAATAACTTTGCTGATGACATGCTTGTGGATCAGCTTTTGACTTTCTTAGCAGCTGGGTAAGCTTCCCAAATCACTTTGTCAGACACAGTACTAACAGCCATAGCCATGAGACAACTTCGTCATCACTCACTTGGGCCACTTACCTGCTTGCGAAGCATCCCGAAATTCAGGAGAAGCTAAGGGAGGAGATTCGGACGAATTTGCCATCACCATCTGCAGCCGCAAACCCAGACTTCGACTTGGGTGGGATGCTTGAGACACTTCCCATCTTGCACGGTGTATGTAACGAAACTCTTCGCCTCTATCCGCCAGTGCCTACCACGGTTCGAGTAGCCGTTCGCGACTCCATGATTGGTAACGAACATATCCCAGCCGGCACAAAGATTTTCCTCTCGCCTTGGGGCATCAACCGATCACCAAAGTTGTGGGGAGAGTCTGCGTCTGAGTTCGTCCCTGATCGTTGGATTGATGAAGAGACGGGAAAGCCGAACAATCATGGTGGCGTAAAGAGCAACTATGCAACGCTGACCTTTTTGCATGGACCTCGAAGTTGTATTGGAGAAAAGTTTGCAAGATCGGAATTGAAAGCATTGATGGCTGTATTTGCAGGGACATTTAGACTGAACATGGCGGATCCAACCGAGGTCCCAATTCCGGCTGGGGCGATAACGACGAAACCGAAAAATGGGATGAGACTGAAGCTACAAATTTTGGAAGGTTGGTAAGTGGTTGATTGATGAAGTGAAGTTTGGAAAGATGGATGGAGAATATGATTGAAAGACATGATCTGACTGCCGGAGCCTTTGTCATCGAGTCATTTGACTTCGTATTAGATTTCAGTGTGCCAGAGTCTGAAGTCTGATGTACTACCGAACATGCGATCTCCGCATCCAGGTGCGACATGATAGCGAGTATGACGAGTGGGGCAACAGAGCGTTCTCTCAATATGTGGATTTGGGAGGCTGAGTTCCTGATTCGATAGGGTCATCTTGATCCAGACTGCTGAATGTGTGTTCGAGTTGTTTTTTGACAAACAGTAATTCTTTCAGATGTAAATGTCTGAAGATGACGAGAAGCAAAGCATCCGATTCTGTAGATGAGTCAAACATGCGTCGAATCCATGATGGAATGGCCAGAGGAGCAAGCTTAGCTCCATTGCTTGATAATATTGTCTCAATCAACGTTTGCATTCCATCTTCGGGCTGCGCTCTTAATGTCCGCACATATATGGTATCCCGGTCTCATCGTACATAAGTGCCAAAGCATCGGTTGTAATTATGGAAGAATACGCTTCGTGCTTGGCGGTTGACTCGTGTCAGTGGAGGGAGAACATCGCATAATGCCATACATTTGCATCTCTTCGAATGCCAATGTCCCTCAACCGTACGTGATATAGCGATTATTCGAGGACCAGGGAGTGCATAGTGGAGAATGCTATGTCGAAGTACAACAGGAAGGTTGCTGAACTGAGGAAAGGAATAGGTATGCAGAGCACCGTCCAGTGGCCGGGGCGGTCCGAAGGTCTCGAGGAATGCCAGCTCTTTAACTTTTCCACTCCCTGGCGAACAAGATCAGTCAATGGCAGAGCTGAGAGGTCTGGCGTTGCAGCATGGGCGGGAGACGATCGTGGGGTGAAGACCTAAGGTATTGTCTGGAGGTTCGCCAAGACTTAATCACACTAGTCTCAAACTTGACTAGTTCATGTCTTCAGACCTCACCTCCCATCCCAGAATCAGTCAGTTCATATTTGAGATTACCTACATACTCAGTCCTCGTACGGCGATGGAGATGAGTATCCCTCGAGATGCAAGAACACGAACTTGGGACATTCATGGGAAGCAGAATGTCTGGAATTGGAAAGTTTCAACAGACGCAGATGAGATCCTCTATCAGACGCGTTTTCCTTGCAAGCACCTTGCTATGATGTATCGAGGCGCGGGAGAATCTGCACAGTTGCTAGCCACCATTGAGACTGGTGCACATAGCTGGGAGGCGAGTATCACATTTCCGCAAGATGACAGAATAATGGCCGCACCGGAGCCTATCACTATGGAGAACATCTCGGATGAGGGCATGTCAACACGCTGGCCAGTCAAAGTGCAAGCATTAGGTGGCCAGGAACTTCACTGGGAGTATGAGCACCCCGCTGTGGGCGATAGAGACTTGCGACTGGAGGACCCATTGACGAAGGACGAACTTGGCAATGCTAATAGCAATTTCTTGTCGTTAAGCGAGAAGCTCCCCGAGGCTGCAGTTGAAGAGCTTGTTATCACGGGAACCGCAGCCCAGATCATGCTAGCAAGTTTGATGCATAACGATATGACTATCGCTGCTGATGGACCAGAAGGACATGCTCAGTGGAAATATCAAGAGCCAGAGTGGTGGGAGAACGAGGGTGATGAAGAGCAGGAGGCCACTTACGAACATCATGAAAATGAGACGGATGAATTGGGAGAATCGAAAGGGGATTAGTGCACGCAGTCACAATTTCCTGGCTGTGGGTTCATCAAATTCCGTGTGATAATGGCGAAGGACATGAAAACACGTTAGGATTATCTCCCGCGGCGAATGGAATATCGGTCTCCTATACGATTTCGGTCATCATTGGTCATCGACTACCTTTTCTATGCCGAGAATCTGGTGATGGAGGAGAGAACTCAAAGGCTCTCGACGATGGCGTATGGTATATGGCATCCATGATACGAGACCTGGTGCTGGAAGTTGTCTCGTTGCTTGATAAAGACAGGCGTCGAGTTCAGAGGACAAAGAACCTCAATCATCTTTCCGCCATCGTACATCTTGCCATCGTTGAAGTCTTTCCAATTTACTCCCTACGGCAAGTAGACTGATCTTCTCTCAAGACCAGCCTCCAGCACAGGACAGCAAACATATTTGTCTCCATACATATACTAGTCTCCTACGCTCCACCAAATATCATCTTCACGGGAATTGTAAAACATAGTGCGTATTACCGACGTTTCTTTTCATGAGCGGCTCTCTGTCTCCATGTAATCTCATGACAGGCCAAAACGCTCCCCACTAGAACTACCTCACGAACAACTCTCTGAACGCTGGGTCTCTGGGATCTCCTCCATGGAAACCTCGAATATCCGTGGTACACCAAGAAAATCCAGCAATACCCATGTTCAAGCCAACAGCAAGCTAACCTCGAAAACTCGACCACGAGGAAGCAGTATCTTCGCTCCAAACAACAGCTCCATACTTCTGGCTGCCTGCCCAAGCACAACGGAGGACGTTCAAATGTTTTCCTGCCCAGACGCTTCCATTCCTTTGTAGAACGCCCTTGCATACTCGCGAGGGTAGATGTTTCTAATTGCCAAATTCGAGCTAAGGTGGTAGCGGTAACTGTCGTAGTCATAAGCAGTATATTCTAGCTCTGCTTCATCCAACCCGAAGACTTTGATACCTTTGGAGTGGTAATTTACTTTGGCTTTCTCCCAAAGATACTTGCGTGCTGTAGGATTCGTGGCATCGTAATGTATGGCATTGCCCTCGAAGTCCATACCTATACGAATGCCTCGATCGGTGCGAATCAGAAGACCTTGCTCAAGCATTTCAGCGAAGCTTTCCGACCGTGTGTCTACAGTGTGCCAGATGGAGACCGTCAACTCGATCTTCATCTCTTGAAGTTCCTTGATCATAGCAGCTAGGCCTTTGTTAGCGAAGTCCTCTTGCCTATTACAAATCTCTCACCTGGATCGGGCCAGAAATTGGCGTCAAATCTCCAATCGCCTTGTTTCAGCCAGTGAAAAACTCTATCACAATGAAGTCAATTAGCAACTGTCTAGCTTTGTACTCTCTTGCAACATTCAATAGCTCCTCTTGGATGTGATCTCTCAGTTTACATTGCCAGAATCCGAGACCGTATTCTAGCATCAGGGAAACGGTTCGAGTTACACGAGCGTATGCTTCTTCGATCTCGGCTGGAGTATCACCAATCATTACCCAGTAGTCCAAACAATTCGTGGAGTACACTTCAAAGCTCATGAGTGTTGTTCCGAAGAATTCGACTGGGTGGGGGCGGAAATTGCGGGGTAGTGAAATAGGGCGGGATGCGGCGAAACTTTTCTGTAGCGTCAATATCTATATCGATACCGCACAACGATTTCTTGTAATTTGAGACGTCTCAGTTGACTTGCATAGATCTCCTGGACACGATGGACATAATTTCAACCATATCAATGTGATAGAATGCTTCTTAAAGGTCGCAACCGCTCCCCTTTTCCTTTAGCGACAATGGGCTAAATAGCCGAAGCACTAGGAAAAATTAAGTTCAGAGCTGCTATCCTGACTGGAAGTCCACCTTCTACTTTGAGAACTTTACATCATGACTGTGCGTTTTGAACGTTGTATCCTTCGTTCGTACCCTGGCAACAACACTTGATGGCATGGATATGTAGAATGTGGACCAGAATGAAATGACCTTTATATGACGTGGGTATGGAAGTAGCACGACCTTTTCGATAAAATCGGCAGGCGGTAAAGTGAAACTTTTGTACTAGACGGTAGCGAGACCCACGAGTTCTAATGCTATCAAGTAAAGAGGTCTCAGCGACAGAACCATAGGCATTGAGGACGAAGTTGATGGCGCTATTTATGTTGTCTCTCTTGCTGGCCTTGACGGAAATACGAGGTCGCCAGAGACACTCTTGAACAATCTCTCTCAACGTAATCAAATGTTTTGCATGGAACTCCTACCGAATGCAATCTAGCTCAAAAAACGCAAGTTCAAAGGAGGATTGAAGTCTGTGCGCCGAAGATTGTACATCAATTGCGGACTTTGACAACTGCGGTCTGCACATACCCTCAAGAAGAAAGACATAATTTACTAAAGGAAGAGTCATAGGCCATATAGTTTGTTGAGGAATCTGGTTGACGAGCCAAAGAAGCTGTATCTCAGATAGATGATCCAGATTATCTAGCATGTTAGCACCTACTTCAAATGTCGGTCTTTAGAAATTCACTTATCCTGCCTCGATCTAACTTGTACCAGAAATTCAAAGATCATACAAATCATATAGCAACGAGTTGTCGAGAAGACGGACATGGTCATGCCAGGTGCAACTTTAAGATACTCGCTTCAAAGCCTTTGAAACCTCGTGCGATAGGACAAAGACTCCGCTCTAGAGTCGAGGCAAAATCTACTAGAAAAAGCATGCTTGTTCTCGAAATGACGTAGCTTCCCCTTGAACGCTTTTGAGCATGGAAATTGCCGCTCCCTTTTGTGCTCCAGCCTTGTCGCGTTAGTCGAGTGAATCTGAATTTTTCTCGTCCCCGACCACAACCTCTTCGTTGCAAGACTTCTTCCGCTCGTTCTCCTCGCAACCTCGATCTCGAACTCTTCGATCATGTTTTCTGGCAGTGATCATTCTTTTCGTCGCGCAGATCATTCTCGACACCTTTGCGCTTTCAGCCTTCCTGCGACCAGAGAAGTATACCTCCGTTCTTTGCTAACATCACCTGTGCTCTAGATTCTTGATAGGTTCGCCTTCGGCTTACCATCGACTTCTTTTCGCTGTGGATTGTTCTTTTCACGTGCCGTGAAAGTGAAGATTCTCAGTGAAAGTGCCCCTTCAATCAGGAGGTGAGGAAGAGGAACGCCTTTCTGTAAAGAAACGTAGCAGTACTCCCGAACCTCTGGGTCAAATTGAATCTCCTCGAGTTTTCTCCGGGGGTATTGTGTTGAGCTACCCAGCTCCACATGCCTTGAAGTCTTTGTCTCATTTTTGGGCAAAGCCCGCAAGTTGGTTATGCCATTGCGGTACAATTTTTGGTCAACCAAACTCCGTAAGGAACTTTGTGTGTGTTTATGTGTGTGTTTATGTGTGTGTGTGAGAGAGTGAGAGAGAGCGATCGGGTTAGCAGAGATTTACTATCAGATCGTGATCAGCAAGTCATCACGCCGGTATGCATTGCGAGACTGCAGTTTTACTTTCAGACATGCTGACAGTCTAAAAACCCAGGGAGCATTACTCTGATAGACCAATTCCTGAGCATCTCGAGGGTGAGAAGGAGGTGATCGAAGGTTATGAAGCTACAAGCCAAAGTACTGAGGCGTAAGCCAGTGACGGTGTGCTCGACTCTGTTGCTAGACCATTTACTATAGGGAAAAGTTCATTGGAGGACGTCAGAGACCGTCAGGCAGTACAACCCATCATGTATAATTTATGTAACTTGATCTCTTGAATCACCGGCATCGATTTCGCGACGTAAATCCTGCCCTTTTCACTACTCAATTATCATTCGTCCTGTTAATCCTCGTCATTTGACTCCCACTTGCAGGAAGCTGACTTAGATTTGGGATTACAAATTTGGCCAAGTAGAAGGCACCCTACCAATTCGACTCTTGAACCCATATCACAAACACCTTGGCTTCGGCATTCTCCAAAAGTCCAGGTATCCCGAGTGATGGACCCAAAAATGATTCTCGCCATGAATCTCTAACCTTTCTCTTTCTCTTCTTTCTACCTATCTGGCACTCGCGAGTCATTGATCAGCCTATCGGTAATTAAACTTAAACGAGGTGCTAGTGTAGTGGGGCCCAAATTTTTAACGACATCAGTCTCCATCTTCAGTTCAGCAGCCTACCTAAACCGTTATTGCTTTCGTGTTCTCTTGCTATTCTAGGCACAGCTTCAATTATCATGATTTCCACTCCTCGTTGCTGATTTATATGGATTCCCGCTCCCTCCCACCCCGCCACTCTCCAACCAGGCGAACTTAGCTTTAAGCATCGAGTTTAGTTAGTTACACATCAGACTTTCGATTAAAGCACACTATCATGGATGTACTTTATTAATACACTAACTCTGTATGTTAGATAAGCATCTAGTCTATGATATCTTCCAGTAGCTCATTGAATTATTAAAACAATATGAATGCAGCGCTGGGTAAGTCAAGCTCTATGAAATTTGAATTTTGATAAATTGTACCGTTGCTTATTTTAATGTTGTACTCCGGGAAAGAAAAATACTCGTCGATTTATTGCAGCACTAAGTGTCCCCTTTCCAAAGCTATCGCAAGCAGACCTAACTAATAAATAATTAAGATCTTTGATCAGGATGAGTATCGAGAGAACACGTGATTTCACAAATATAAATGCAGTCTTTCGTCTTCCAACTGGAAGCTGGGCGATACGCTCTCTCTTACTCGAAACTCTTTTCTTAAGTTTAATAGCCTGAGATAAGTTATTGTTACTTATTGATTTAGGGTGCAGTAAGTGGGCACGTTGAAGCTCTGAGAGTATTAACTTTGAGAGTATTAAATTTAAAAGCTCGATGTAAACTCTTAAGTAAAAGCCCGGATCAAAGACTGGCCGCTTATTTTGTTATGTTAGTGAATATTGGACCTTTAAATCTTACTCGAAAAAAATCCTCCACCCTTAATCCCTTTACCAAGGTTTCGGGAATTCTTGGCTAGAGCGAGTGGCAAAAAAGTCCCAAAAAAATTATAGGAAACAATTGAATGTTTTTTGGTCTTGAAATTTTCTATTGGATTTTGTTTTTCATTTGAAGTTTTGTCTTGAATGTTTTTCTTGGCTTTGAAGTTTTCTATTGGATTTTGTTTTTCATTTGAAGTTTTGTCTTGGATTTTGGTTTGCCCCCGAGGAATAGGGCGAGAACCACCAGGTTTTTATACTAGGTGTAATTATTTTGTACTAAAGTTCAATAAACCGACTCGGTGCTCCCCAACACCGCCAAACTGTAGTGGCAAGGAATTGCTTGTTCAAAATTATAAGGGTCGCTAGCATTTGGGCTTCATTGGTCAGCCTTGTCGGCTATATCGCGGACGACACTTCGTCTTAGGAAAGCCCGTAAAATCCTTATTATGTATTCGGCAGCTTCACGGTATGCAGGCATTTATTCTATTCTTTATTCTTCGTTTCCTCGGCCTTAGAATCCTCTGTTGACATCGACAGGCTCTCTTTTGCCAGCATCTCACATCTACACGGGACCTACATTGTTGACAGATGATCTATAAACATAATTTCACAATCAGCTATCCTCAGTGTCACAAGGACTGTTTTCTGAATACACAGGTTTGTCTTGGACTATAGTCAATAGTTCTACATTTACATCCTAAAGCTACATGAAGTTCACGAAGCACCAAGTACATGCCCCATATCCAGAATGTCTTCCCTCAACCATGATCGAGACCAAACGTTCATGCCTCGGTTACGTGACAACCATGCCGACACTGCGTAATGCAAAATGAACTCAACTATAAAGAAGGAGCTTTATTTCATTCCCTGATTGCCCCCCACATAACCAACTCCATTAGATGTTCGAATCTCCAACATAACACCTCGCAAGACATTCACCTTTTGACATCAACTTCATCGGAATCAACTTTTCACCATCAGAAAACTGGGCTCCGAAACATTTCGAGGCAGATTGAAGCCCAATTTCTGTCTCTGGAAATAAAACGTAGAGGCCCAGATCATCGAATATCATGGACGCACCCTCGTTTGCGGCTGCCCACTTACGAGCTATTGTCATAAGTTCTTGTGATCGTTGATGGTCCTTTTCACTTGAAGGGTCTTTGATAAAGATGTAATTATCATTAGACAGATTGGTACTAATGGTATTTCTCTCGGCTTCCTTCACATGCCCATCAATGAGGTCTCGATGAGAAGCTGGAGGCTCTTTTGCTGAGTCTGTCTCTGCCTTGATTCGTTTCACGTTGGCTTTCAGCGAATCTCCATCGGCTTCGTTAGCCTGGCGCTTGGTAACTCGACTGGTCTTGGATTGCCCAGATATAGTCGCAGGCTCGGACACATTCTCAGATGCTGGTTGAGGTAGATTGCGGAAACCACGAGGATCATAGGTCGAGACTTTGATTGTGATACCTTGTGCTGCTTTTCTGGCCTGCTTCATATCAATATTGCTCTAATGAGTCGCGTTGCATCGTGGAGGCAGTACCTTCTGCTCCAACCATGCGGCATTCCAACGGTTCTTCTTGTCCCTCAATGGACCGTGTTCCGCCTCGTGTGCAGCAAGCTCTTCATCCCTGACGCGCTCGAGTTCAGCTCTCTCCTGAGCATACTTTGCAGTGACTGACAATCTTTCATTGTCCTCGTCGACCTTCGTCTGATCGTAGCCTCTTTGGTATCTTGTATGCACTGCGGACGGGCTTCTATACCTGCACGCAACGCGCTGTCTCTCAAGTTCTTGAGGCCCTGTCTTTGTGCCCTATACTTCGTACCAACAGTCGCGTATTCAGCTGCTTGCTTGGCATTCAATAGAGTTTCCCCATCTTTGAATCGGTTGTGAATCGGAACGCGAGAAACCCATGGAGCATCCCGTTCTTCGCGCGTCAGGAAACTTGCGTACAATTCCACGTCAAGGTATGCGACTCTGCTCGGATCTGGCGGATATTCAGGTGTGGTGCTATTGTTGCTAGAATCTGGTGCTGAAGACCTTTCGTACTCTGTTCGGGTTGCCATTCTTGAGATTCGCAATCAGTTCTGAGTGTTGAGGTATTTGTGGCTGTTGTGATTTGGATGAGTTTGCATAGAGCAAAGTCTCATATAAGAGCTTCTTTCGCTTATTTTGGATGCTAACAAATCAATGTCCTATTGTCTGTTCCAACAATTTGTTGTTAGGTATCATAAGATCTCTTGAGACCCTTAGGCAAAACGAAAACTAGAATATGGTACAAGCTTCTACTTACGTCTTCAAAGTTAACTCGATACAGTATATTCTTTCATAAAAGACAACAAGCTTGGAGGCTGGCCAGTGGGCAAGGCAGTCAGTCATCAGCTATATCAGTTTAGCTCTGCCGTATGCGCAAATTGGTTCTTTATCTCTATCTCCACCAATCTTTCTGTTCCCGCTTTTCTCAGATTCTATGCCTGTAAACAACTCCAAAATGATGATGATATGCCTGATAGTGATTTTGGCACATCGAAGTCTGAAATGTCGGGACAAAACACAGGACATTCAACAAATGATCCCTTACCGAAAATATTTTTACTCGAGCTGCGCAGCTGATCGCAACCACACTGTCGACAAAGAACAACGATTCAATTTACAGCCACTTTCTCCGATTCCCCCTTCCTTCTCATCAACAGCATCTCCAAACATCCACCTCGGTCTAGATCATGGCAGAGGAGGCAGCCACGAGGGTATTGCCAGCGATTCAAGGGATGATAGATGCTTTCTACGAAATGACTCCCATGCAGAGATTAGAAACCTCCTTACTATTACCCTTTATCCGAATGACGACTATGAAAAGGAAGGTTGTAAGTATTTTCTGTTTCATTTTAAAATGCCCTACTGATTCGATAGCATATCAGGCGCTTCGAAGACTTTCTCGACATGACCAAGAGAATCAACGACCGCAGTGAGGAGCGGGAATTCTGGCGCATATTCATAGAGGAGCTTCGTGGAGTCCCGGCAGTCCTTGATTCTCATCCAAACGCTATCAAGGAGTTTGCTTTTCAATTTACATTGTTCCTACTCGACATTTTTGCCAAACGGGAGCAAAAAGTTGAAGATCGTCAGCTCGAGCAGGAGTCTACCAGCAGTGGTTAGTCTTATGGAATACTATCCATTTCCCAACTCAAACTGACGAATCCGATGTCAGAATTAGGTGAAGATTTATGAGCAGCGGTATCTCGAGTGCTAGTCTTGGAATGTGAGTCGACCCTGTCCTTTCAATACAAACATTAATTGACCAAACTTACAGGAACATTTTCTCTCCGACGATCTCCACCTGTAGGATGGAATTCGACACCTTCGAAACGCATACTCTGAAACCTCTATCACCCCTGTAGGACACAATTCATGCGGCCGGATCGGTTACCCTTGTGAATGGTTTTGAAGGCAGGGGAAAATCGCTTGAGCAGCAAGTCAAATAAGCCTCCAGCCTAGTAGATTTCCTACTCATACAAAAGTCTCAGAAATTATTCGCTGTATCGTGCTCTGTACCCGTGCATACACACACTTTTATAACCACCTTCGTAACATGGCTTATCAATTCCGCAAGTTTATTTGCCTAAAGTATGGACTTTCGAAGGAAGTGTTCTTCTAACTCGATGACAACGCATACACAGTCTACGACATGTCCGTCTACCTCTCCCCATCTCGCTCCGACAATCTTCTCGACAAGTCTCCTCATGATTATCTTCCTTCATTCCACATACACTTCACATCCTCCGAGAAGAATTACAAAATTGGAGCACACAAAGAAATTGATGAAGAATGTGATTTTGGTGGAGGCGTTTTTATACCCAAACGAGGGGGCTCCATTCTGCTTTGTGGGGGGTTTGAAATGAGTGAGATTAAGAAGAATTCGAGGCACAAGCAATTAACCTCAGTCCAGTCTTCACGCTTAGGAGATTCCCCACCCCACAGCCACCTCGCAAGCCGCCTTACTCGTAGACGAGAAGTATATAAACCACCCATCAAATCGGAAGAAGAATATTACTTAGTAAACGTTTGTGATAGCAGCGCTTCACTCAGCAAGGACTACTCTAATGACTTCTGACAATTTTGCTCTTTAAAGTGCCAGCTGTAGATGGAACATTGTCGAAGTATGAATTAAGCATGCTTAGTGAAAGATTCGAGAGAGATGTGATGCTTGACAACAAGGAGTTTGTGACAACAACACGAAACAATCCTTCCAGGCCTATTTGCCACCCCACCACAACTTTCATGCTCTAAAGTATAGAATACTCGAGGCATTTGCAATCTCCTCCTTTGGGTTCTATGCTCCTGGTGAAAATTTGAGGTGGGAAACACGTGTCTTTATAAGCTTAACAAGGAGGAAAGTTGAAGCAGAGCTGAGGGGTCGAGTTCATCTTGGCCGGAAATATCTTTTCTGCAAGCAAATGTAGCATTCCTCGTTATTTCTAAACGTGACATAGCATAGAACGCGCTTCTGACGGGCAGATTGCGACTCTGGTTTGGATGAGGAAGGAACCGCTAAATCCACGCTAGTGAGTGACCACAAAAAACAGCAGCTCGCAACACTTTCTCTTCTCGCCCTCGTTCCGATGGGTGGTCATACCTTTTCTCTCGTGAGCGTCCAGACTCAATTCTCCTCTTGAAAGCAACACCTGAAAACTTCTACAAGCATCTCAATTATGCCGAACGACGGCCCCTTTCATCAGATCGCACTCCTCACTGTGGTTCTTCACGACATGACCCCGACGCGTAGACTGGCATTCGTATTGGATGTCTTTACTATGACTCTTTATCCGGGCCATGATCGTCGCGTCCCAGTGTCTGGTATGGTTAGTATCTTCTTTTCTATCTTTATATATTATACTAACATAGGCAGCCGAGAGGACAGTTCGAAAGTTACCTCGAATGAGTCCATGACGCTGACGAACAGCGTCGATTCTGGCTCTTGTTTGTTTAGCTAGGAGAAGTTTGGGCAGTTTTCGCTACTCATCCAACGGCTATCCCGGACTTTGCGAGGCAGTGTACAATGTTTTCATATACCATTGAATATGAACTGCATCACCCTGAAGACTGTGAATACTACCGCGAGATTTGAGGACGGTCATTGCGAGCCAACTACTAGCAGTGGTCAGTCTGAAGATTTCGCTCTTGCTTTGATTGAGCCCGAACTGACGAACAATCCAAGGTCAACGTTAAGTGAACCATTGGTTAAGTGAACTATTGTCACTCACTTGTCGTCGTTTGAAGCCTTCGAAACCTGTTCTTGCAAAGCACTATCGTCTCTACGCGAAAATTGAATCTCGTTTCTGGTGGTCGGCTCTGTTCGGGAAGGACAATATGCGGATTTCATTTGAGATGCAACGATTGCTTTGAGCGGAAGGTTGTTTCCTTGACAATGGCATCACATCGGAGTGACGTACCCCAGGGTTGAGCGTTGCTAGCTTTCAATGAAAAAATTCTACATCCTGACGTGCTTCGAGATCGTGCATTTGAGGTTCCTCGAGAAAGAAGAATGTTTATAAAGCCTCGCTCATTCTGGCATACTGCATGCAGCGAGATATCATAAAGGGAATCTGACGGCTGCTACGATTTTGCCATGGTGACTTGATGAAGAAACCTCGAGTCTCCAAGATCACAAGGCTTAGTGAGTGCATGCCTTTCTTATTCATTGTCCTTTTTTCCTCGACATCCCAGCTCTGCTATTAGTTTACTTGAAAGTACACGAGATCCAGGAGTATCATCTAACAATCCGAAATGCTTCACTAGGCGGAAAATCTTCTTGGAATAGCAAAGTTGTTCTTCGACTGCCTTAACCACAGGTCTCGACGCCTATGAGTTTTCACCGAAGTATAGGTTAACATAGATGCACTGCTAATGTTGTTATATAGACACATGAAGGGGTTCCAACTCAAGGCGAAGAAAAATACTGTCTAACTCATCGCCATTGCCCCCCATATATGCCCACTTGCTCTCAAACGTCAGTCGTGTCTGAGAATTATTTCCTACGGCAAATAAAGAGTTCATAACAGCTATGCCAAATTCACCATCTGTTGACCTATTGGTGACTCTGGTACAAAGAGATAGTTCGCTTACAGCGCGCAAAATGGAGCAGGCTGGCTAACTAGTCAGTCAGTCAGTTATCAGTCGAGCTGATTCTCCAACTGATAGACTGATCAAAATGAGGGCATTCAACTGATCGACTGTCAGTCACTTATAAGTGCTGATAAGTTAAGAAAACGTGACTTTTGATCACGTTCCCCTACCAAAAAGTGGCTTTACCAGGTTATTATTAGAGTATATATTATTAAAAAATGTAAACGTATAGATTGCACAGCACAATAAAAGAGTACACACTAAGAGAGTACATGCTGAAAGAATGCATATTGAGAGGATGCGGGTGCACTTGCATGCTTTAAGACGGCTCATAAGTCCTAGAAGAGGGCTGAGAAACCATAAGATTAATACCAAGGACTTGACTAGGCTCTAGCTCAATAAAAGGCATAATTCTTAGTGTTTTGGTAGAGTTTTAGATAGATGGAGTGATAGATTAAGGATCAGAATCATCATGATGGAAATCCTAAGAGTTAAATGTTCGTTTCACCGCCTTTTTGTTGGCCAATCAGAAAGCTTTTTTTTGCTTGTCCGCCTTTGAATCCTCCCTAAAAGGCTTCAAAAATGACTCCAAAATCGAAAAAATCGAAAAAATCGAATCTCTGAACTAATCAGTTACTGCCAGTTGGACTATTGGATCACTGATAGACTGAGACGATTTAAAATGTCTAAACTGATTCACTTTAATTGCTCACTTGTCAGTTAGTTGACCAGTCGACTGACTGGTTGGCCAGCCTAACCTAGCCTTACTACTCTCTAAATTGTTCTCTGCGGCTAGTGAATCTATAAATTCACTTCTTTCGGTCCTTTGCTTTCCGTTTTTCACTCTTCGCCCTCCATTCACCTCCCTCAGCCCCCGTCCTCCGTCTTTTCTATATAAACTCCTTTCCAGCCTCTCTATAATCCGCACAAAAACGTTCCTTAA